GCGTGTTTCAATTTCGCCTGCGCCCACCCAGCACATACACTAACATACACGCACGCACAGAGAGAGAGAGAGAGAGAGAGAGAGAGAGAAAGGGCAGTTGATCAAATATTCGCCCGGCGGCGCTCGCTCGGCGAAACAACCCTTTGCCGCGGCGCCACACAATAAAAGAGCGCAAAGTCGCGGCGGAATTAACATGGGCAGCAGCCAGAGGTACGCAGTATATGTATGGCCGGCCGTGTTTGCGCTCCGGCATTGTTTCGCGCTACCTCAAGGCTGCACACCGGCGAAACAACGGCGAACAACGCGCGCGCGACGGACCGACGGGGGCGCGCAAATAAAGAGCTGACCCGAAGAATAAAGAAGGCAAACAAAGCGGCTAATTCAAACAGCAACACGCAAAGGCCCTCGAGAGCGGAGCGCAATCGGCCCCACCTGCCCAGCAATAATGCAACAAGCACCCTTTGTATTAATGCCCCTTGACCAACCCTTCAAAAACTGAAGAAAAATACAAATCTCAGGAAAATATGAAAATCTTCAGTCAATTTTATTACTCTGACGTGAAATTGTAAAAAAAGGCCGAAGCATGAAGAAATCAATTCTTCAAAATTCAGTTACTAGGTAACGAGTTAAAATATTATTTACTATATTTAGATGTTTCATTGAGCCTCAACTCAGAAAATTATAAAAAATATCGCGTTTGGGGTGAAACTGCCTGGTTAGCCAGAAATAAATTTATATAGAACTATTCAAAAGAGTGCAGTCCTATTTGTCCTGGCAAGTCAAACATTTTATTTTCAAAAAACTTGTGTGCTTCGAGCAATAGATGATGATTTCGTCATTAAGGATTGCCAGGATACGAAGGAATAAAGTTTTTTAAACCTCTGTAAAGAGTCGTGAAAAAATATTTAGTCCCATCTGTCCTGGCAGGTCAAACATTTTATTTTCAAAAACTCGTCATGTGCTTCGAGCAATAGATGATTATTTTGTCATTAACGACTCCAGAAGTTTAGTTTTTTTTTTAACCAGGTCGCCTATATTGAATCAATTTATTTTGTGAATAATTTTTGCAACAATGAAGCCTATTATAACTCCTTAGTGCAAAATCTTCCAATCAACAGGGCAGCTAGAGAATGGAAGAAGTAACTCTTATATTGGCAAAACCATCGGAAAATACCAACGCCTTGAAAAACACGTTGCATTTAGTGAGTTCTATCAAGAGAGGTTGAGTTTAAGGTCAATTTTTGACACCCCTATAAACTGCATTCTGGGACCAAATTTTATAAAAAAATATTTGCCATTGGTGCTCCTATATGATTGATTGATTTATAAATTTCAATTAAATTATTGAAGTTTGTAGCTCAATTTACCTGTCAGAAACATCAATTTTAACAACAAAATGAGGATGTGATCTTAAAAAATTAACCCAGTTTTTAAAAATAAATATACTTGATATGCACATGAGGGAAATCATTTGATTGGTTTTAATAAGTTAAAAAATTTATTTTGCGCTGAAATTGACATTCATGAAATATAAAATTTCAATTTTTGACAAATTTGTTTCTATTATTTTTTCCCATTGGTTTTACTTTTTGATTGGAGTTGGAAAACAAAAAGAAGAAATTGCCTTTGGGGTTTGTGTGTTTGTCGCGGTTGAATAGAGCGATTTTTGTGTGCAACGCGCGTTTTCGTCTCATCGCCCTCGCAATCAGCACTCGTCTCGCGTCCGCCGTTTAAAATCACGCAGCGCGAGAGGGAAAATAAAAGGGCTAAAAGGGCCAGCGGCTGACGAGGCTACTTTTCCACTCGTCACGCCCAGACTCGCACACAACACATATATTTATTTATGCAGCAGCGTCGGGGCGCATATTTCGCGCACAGGCGAAAATAAGGCGCCGCGGGTTTTTCGTAATAAGTCGTCAGCGGCAGGGTTGCTCGTGGCCACCTTGGCGCGAGACCATTTATCAAAAGGCAGAGAGAGCGAATAAAAATCAAAACAATAAACGCCGAGTGACGTTTTGCGACGCCGTCGGCCACGCTGCACATCACAAGCCTCTCTTTCTTTTCTCTCCAAACGAAAACCGCAACAACACTCGTCGCTTTTGTTTTCCCTCCGACACACGGCGCCGATTGGCCCCGGGTCAAATGTGCAAATTCAGAAAATTTCAACAAAAAGTCAAAAATGCAGAGAATAGTATACCGCCCAGAGAGCACCTCCGCCAAGGTTTTTGCAAATTTATATTTACGTGAAAAAGCCACCAAAAAGGTCACATCCTTCAGGCTCCTTTTTTGCTAATAGAAGCTTTATAATTAATTACAAAATAGGTACATACAGAATAAGAAGATTTTGATTTTTAAAAACTCTAAAGCAAGTTTTTTTCTTGCAAGGAATTACTAACAAAATTAATTACAACAATCTCAATATCAACCACAGCATTACTCGCAATAATTTTTTTTAATGACATAATTGATCTTTCTCATATGGTTGCTGTTAAATCTTGCAAACTTTTAATGCATATGGGTTCAATTGTTGCTTAATTGTTTTAGAATTGTGCTTTCGCTGCATTCCAATCCATATGGCCAACTTTATTTTCATGGAAAAAAACTTAATTCAGTGTTGCTTTTTTGTGAGCACACCAATTTTAAACCAATACATTTTTAAATCGAACATGAAACGACGAAATTTAAACTCAGGTTTTATGAGACAAAAATTTTCAAGCACCTTTCACTTATCTCAAGTATATATTTGGGGCAAAAGAGCAAATTTCTCAAGGGCTCTTTTCCAGCTTTTGCCACAGAATTTGGTAAGAGATTGTGGAGAGGGCGAGTGCAGCAGTTGGTGAGATGAAAGTCGCGGCCGCGCGTGTGTTTGCTCAAAAATGTAATTTGACGAGCGTATTATTTGCTCAGGCGGCGGCCGTTTGTTTTGCACAGATTAAAACGCAGCCGGGCGCGCCGTGTTTTTAATTTGCGCCCAATTTCACGCCCGCCTACCCTTAAGCTCGGTTCGCAGGAACGAAAAAGTGTGCGCGTCCCTGTGCCCCCAAGAGAAGAGAGGACGAAACGGGATCGAGAGCAGAGGATTGAGGAATTCGCCTGGGGCACGCACAAGAACGCGACGATGGCCGGCCAGCATCGCCAGAGGGATGAAAACGAAAAATAAGGGACCCCGGCGCCGTTTCCATTGTGAATGTGCCTCAGGGCAGGAGGGGAAAGAAAAAAATACATTTATGAGAAGGAAGCAACGGACACTAGCAGCTAAAAAGGACAAGGTCGAGTTAAAATTTATGAATTTATACAGAAATATGGATTGTTTACATAGTGGAAAAAAAAATGAATAAATAAAAGAACTATGGCAATTCAAAACAAGTAAGGCATTTTTATTTGGCACTTTACGATAACTTTTCAATAACTTGATTACTTAATATCAGCTTGCCTTTCTCGTTTAATTAATTTTTTTATGAGACAAATTAGAAAAGGAAAAAATTCCTAAAAAGTTTATTGTTAATGTTCGTTGAGTTTTGAATTACGGATAAGAAAAAAATGATTTAAGTAAAGAGTAAAAACGAGATAAGTGAACTTATTGCTTTGAGAGCTGATTAAACTGATATTGGGTTCAGTTGGCGCGTGTACGCAAAAACATGTCATGTGAAAGTCTTTTATAATATTAAGTTCTTTAATTAAATGACGTTTGAAGTTTTGACGTTTGAAAAATCGATTTGCATCCATCTATATTTTAATCCAGTCAAAATAGATAAACACAAAAAAGTGAATTTATTTTATTTTAATTCGTGAGATTTAAGTGAATTTATCCGATTTTTGGTGCAATAAAAATCGGAATTTTTATTTGCTCCTCGTTTGGGCCGCGTTTTTCTTTCTCTCTCCGATTCTAGACTGCCTGCATTACGCGCTCACGCTCGTGAGGAATTAAAGAGGCTTGAAAGGCGCGTGCCGCTCGTCGTGCTCACGATTCTCGGTCCGACCCACAAATCGCGGCCAACGAAACCCATTAATCGCGCGTGTGAACTACTCCTCTCCGTTCAAAAACAAAAAAAAAATATCCTGGAAAAATTAATTTATAAAATCTGTTCAGAAATCCACACTTTTTAATTGCACGCCTGATATGAAATGGTGTTCGATCGGTGACGGCTGGCGCGCGGAGAGAATATGGAAAATAAATAAGAAGAAATGCAATCAGCATGGAAATAATTCGCCGGCGGCGGCTCAATTTGGAAAATACCTGCGCGCAGGCGAACGGGCGGGCGGGCGGACTGGGAGTTCGGAGTGGGCGCCTCGGGGCGCACGCCGCTCGCCCGCCCGATAAATTTGATAGAGAGCAAAAACGGCCGCGGGGCGAGCGCACACAATATTAAAAGAAAATTACAATGGCAGAGCTGCGGAGCAGAAAGAAAAGAGACTCGTTCGTTCGTTCGCTCGCTTGCTAGAGAGAACTCTCTGCTCTGCGAGCTTGGCCCGCGGCACCGAACCTCCGACGCTCCCAACCCGTTCCACTTCGGCAAAATTATACTTTTCGCTTTCGGCGCCAAACGCCGAACAAACGAACACGATCCAATCTGCATTGCAAACCGACCACATTTCGAAACTTATGAAGAGAAAAAAATAAATAAATCGAACGAAAAACTTTCAATAATGATCTGAATTTTATAACGCTTGCCTCATTTCCAATTAGTTAAAACAAAAATACATCCACCCGGAAAAAGAAGTGAAATTTTGCTGGAAAAAACTTGGCTTGCTTTGACAGAATTCAAATACTCGTTTCTCAAATGCTCGCCTGCTGTAAATATCAACAGGTTTTTTCTCGATTCTGCAACACCGACAGTCTACTCAAGTCCTACGCAAACTCACTTTTGTAAAAAAAAAATATTTGATATTGCGAGTGCCACACATGAGATTATTATTTTATTTATGACTAATTTTTTGTTATTAATTACAAGCATTATTTTATTTCCATATTTTTGTGACAATTGTATTTTCCGACTCACCTTTTGTGGTACTCCAGCTTTACGGCTTCAATCGTGGCGGCGCCGAGCGGGCGATGCTGGTGCGTGGCGTCGACGCGGCGCCACGTGGTTCGGAGCCGGGGCTGCCGAAAGGACGTTTGTGTGGGTCGAGTCGCGCACTACGCTTGCCGTTCGTTCGTTCCCTTGCTCGCTTCGCTGTTCTCGCTGCCGCGCACTCCGAGTGTCTATCTCGCGGTGGTAGACTCGCGGGGCACGCGAGCCTCTTCGACTCCCCGCCGAACTCCCCGCCCGCCAACGAGAGCAGGCCACGGAGGGGAGGCCTCGGGCTATCATCCAGCATCCATCCATCCCGATCCGTCGCACATGGCGCAAAGACACTAAATCCTAATCGCCTCGGGCTCTTGCATTTCCAAAACAAGACTCCCAAGAAATTCTAAATTGAGCTTCATCTTTGGAAGAGGCCAGAGAAAAATTTGCATTGCAATATTTTGTCCCTATTTTTAAATTGCAATTTTATTTTTAACCTACATTAATTTTCTTGCTACGTGCTTTTTTTTCTCAAAACAAAAAATATTATTTTGAAAAGACGGTCAGTTGACCAAATGACAATAAAAATAGATAGAAACCAAATAAAAAAATAATTTTTATCTTTAAAATAGAACATAAAAAGATTTTAAACATATGACATTAAGAAGCTCTAAACATTATTTCTTAAAGCTTCAAGCCATTAAATATATTATTCTGATCATTTTATTTTGATCACCATGGGACCACGTCAAGAAATAAATTTTTGTTTGACAGTTGACACTCGGCCCACTCGGCCAATGTGGAAAAAAACTATTTTAACAAAGATAGTAAACGATTATCAACATAAAGCTGGATAAAGGTCTAAATTTTTGAAAGCTTTACTCCTTTAAATTCTAATTTTTATAGTTTGAAACAGTGTAAAAAACTTGAATTTTTAGTAAAATTAAGTAAAAGTAGCGTTAATAATGTATTAAATATAAAAACACAATTTACACGACTCAGCGGCTGAACGAAAGAAAATTGTATTGTTATGCATGCCTCCTTTTAGCAACCTTTAAATATTTTTTTAATAAATATATGAATTCGAAACTGTTGATGAAACTTGAGTTTTTTGTGATGACATTGAGTAAAAGCATGGGCGTCAAGAAAAAAATTTTACATGACTAAGCGGGGCCGAATGTAATTTTATTGTGTATATATTGACATCATTATTTGCTATTTTATTTTATTTCCTTTTGATATTTGATATATTCCTAAATTCCTTTAGTGCCCAGTCAGACCAAAGAGAAATATAATTATACCATATTATCAGCCCTTGAGATTTTTTGAGATTTTGCAAGCTGGCTGCTATACTGATTCGGAAGATATCAAGAAATAAAGAAATTAGAAAAATAATAATAATAGAATAAATTAAAAAACAAATTTTTTTTTCTAAATTGTTAATTGTATAAGTGTAGCATTTTAAAAATTTCAAAAAGAAATTAAGGAAATTTAAATACTGTTGAGTTTTGGAATGAGAAACAAAATATTTTATGCCAACAACCATCAACCAAACTTTTAAAATTGCAATTATATATCTTGCTATTCTTGCAAAGTTTCAGCGTTTCACGTTTTGAGAAAATATTTTTGCAAAACGTATACGCAGGATTGTTGCGGTAGAGTGTAAAATTTGCATGATTTCTTTCGTCCAGGGCGGAAACAAAGAAAAGCCACGGTGCACATGAGCGAGTTGAGAGTAAAACAACAAAAGACTTTGATGAGCGCTGCTTTTCCACGTTGCTCTGCATTTCAGCTCTCGGACGGACGCAAAGCTAATTTTCGCGCGCCGGTTTTTATAATAATATATTCTTGGTCTGCTCTTTGTGCCGCTCAGGTACGCGGAATTTTCCCACATTTTTCCGAGAAAAAGAGTGTATGAATATATACAAAAATATGATGATGGGAAACTGCGTTCTTTGTTTTTTCTCATCAGCGGCGGCGGCAAAGGTCTGCGCGCTGATTCGATTTGGCGACACACGCGCGCAAGAGACGCGCCCGCGGCGATTCCTCCAGCTGCAGAGATAAAACAAAAACGCGACGCGGCGTTCATTCTGCACCTTTTGATCGCGAGCTCTCTCATTTTTTGTTTCAAAAATATTATAATGCATGAAAAAAATCTGCTTCCCGCGGCACCGACGAGCCTTCTTATCTCGGCGCAAAGTCCTCTCGCTCCGCCGCGTGTAACTCGATGATGATAAAACTCATTTCGCCTGCTGCTTCTCGCATTTTTGTCTCAGCTTGTTTTGCATTTTTCCGCGACTCGTCGTCCGCTTCAGGCAAGTTAAGCGCCACTCTTTGGGCGATACACAAAAGTTTTGCTTCTTTCCAACTAAAACTTAGTCGAAAATTAGTCCCTCTCTTCTATAAAAAATATTAATTTATGTTTATATGATTATAGTTTGCCAAAAGTTTGAAAGTAAATATTTTTACAAGTGATTGGCTGCAGATTGACTGATTAATCTAAATAATTTCAAACGTGGAAACAAACACCAAGAATTGAAATAAAGTCTTCAATTTTCCAACGTTTAAATTAATTTCCAACCAATTTATACAACATTTATTATCCAACATTAAGTGAACATTAGTAAATCTAATATCGTAATATCTTCTACTTGAAAGTTAACACACTGGAATTAACTTAACAATGCAAAAACGACACAGCTCTACACAAAAAATTAAAAAAAAAACACACTAACAAATAAAAAATATTTTTTTTATGATTTTTTTTTTAGAATTGAAAAATTATTATTTCAAATTATACTTAATTATAAATTTTCCTAGATAATTTAAATAATTTTAGTTCATAATGAGACTAAAGAATAAAAAAAAAAAAAACGCAAAAAAAAGCAGAATTTCGCAGAGAATCCGATTTTGACTTTATTTCACCATCCTAAAATTACTTATTTAAAATTTCATGTTTTATTAGATTAATTTCAGCGTAGAAAATTTTTTCTGCGCTTTTTTGGAAATATGAGCAGGGTTTTGTAAATAAACGTGATGATTTCCAGTATAGCAAAATATACAAAAAGGCTAAAAATATACACGCAGGATAACTTTTTGTTGAAAGTCGTTTGGAGCCGAAAATAATAGCAGGATTCGCGCCCTGCGGGTGAGGGTTGAACGGGCGGCCGATGAGATCGGGAAAGAGCACCCGAGGCTAGAGAAGAGAGCACCGATGAATATATTCCCAAGCAAGAGTTCAAACTTCAAAGAGCCTGCCGGGCTGCTCTGCTAATTTAGACCCTTTCGCTCTGCATATTATTATTGACCACTACACTTGAACTTTGCCCTCTGTGACAAAGAACGCAACTTTTCAACAGAATTTGAAATTTTCAAAAAATTTCACTCGCCAGGAGACAGACTGCAGGCAGCTCATCTCTTCCTGCACATTCTCGAGTTTGATGCGGCCGGCGGCGGTTCGTGCGAAAGCGGACACGCTAACTAAGTACAAGGGGCGCGCGAGGAGGGGCTGCGGGGATGCCCTCCGGCGACTCGGATGACTCTCTCGTTATATTCACTGGTGCCGCCGGCGACTGAAGCGAACGAACTCGCGTTGCTGCACCCCTGTCGCCTCCGGGGGTGGAGAGAACCGGAGAGAGACGAGTCGCCCCCGGCACCCAAAAACCTTCGATCCGAACACGTAGAATATTATGACAGACGCCCGAACCTGCGGAGGAGAATTCCGCAAAATTTTAAAGAAATTCATCTCATTACAGTGTTGAGATTTCACTAAAAACAAAGGATTATTTTAATTGCCTTTATATAAAAACAAAAAAAAGAATAACAATGTTTTAATTAATTAATTTACTTGTTTATTATTTTTCTAACATTTTAAATTCTTTCATTTGGAATATTTTTGAAATAAATAGCATTTAAAAATGAATTAATAAAATGCTTTATAAATTGCTAAAAATAGAATTATTAAATAGATACATGGCCTTTCCTACATTGCAATAAATTTTGTTTTATTTTTAAATATTTAAATATTGTGTTTATTTAGTTTTGTATTGAAGAGGGCCTTTTAAAAAAGGCAATATTTGCCCAATTGATGGCAAATTCCTAATTGTAAGTGTTCCTAAGTACAGAATAAGAGCCGATGCTTAATTGTGTTAACAATTATACAATTTAAATAGTAAATTTATATTCAGTGTGGTGGTGTGTACTATATGTAATAATGGTGTTATGTGGAGTCTCATGTATATTTTATACCCTGTAGCCGTAAGCCACTTGCGTAAAATTTAAATATTCCAAGCATGAGATTAAGAGAATTTTGCAAATAATTAAGCGCCCTGTATACAATTTATTTGATTTATTTTTTATTTACTTCTTCTATTTATTTATTTTTATTGAATTTACTGTAATTAAAAAATGATTCACTCATAATTAAATTTGAGAAGAATAAACCTGAATAAATCAAATAAACAAACACTTTTAAGCATTCACAGAGTTGCATATTATTGCCATTCCATTTAATAAATTACCATAACTGTCGATCAAGCCAGCGCAAAGCATTCCAAAATCCCACATATTTTAATTTTGTGACATTTTAATTATTTCGCATTAAAGTATTAATTATGGTGAATTTCAATCAATCACACGACACTTCATCTAGAAATCAGGAAGAAAGGATGAAAGTACGAAATATTTGGGGTCTTCGACCTTGCGAGCGGCGGCGCTCTTAATTTCGGGACGCCTGCGGCGGCCCCGCACGCATACATCACGGACGCGGAGGCGGGCGGTGGGGGCGGTCACGTGAGGCGCGCGAGGTCACGCCGGGTCGCGGCCCTAATTGGATTCGCCGGCGGAGACGCACGCCGACCTGGTCGCCGCGTGCATGGGAAAAAGCTGGAGCGACTCATCGTCAACACCTCAGGCGATTGCATTTGCTCTCCAGGAAATAAATTATATCAGTTTGAACGTCTTTCCTATATTTGAATTCTTTAATCTGAATCAATCCTCAAAATCTCAGGGAAAATTAAAAAGAGAAGGCTCCAAAAATATGCAACATATTTTTTAAAAAGTGAAAAAATGATAAAATTAGTTAATGTCAACTTGAAGCTATAGATTTTAATTAAATATTTTAAATTTAAAAAAATAATACTAAATTTGATTTAAGACAAACTTTTTTGTTATTTTTGTTTACTTTACAAGCTTTATAATTAAGATAAATTTGATTTAAATTCATATGCTATCAAGAAAAATAAAATTACGCTTTAAACCCTCAAACAAAGTAAACTTTTTTAATTAAAAATTATCGATTTAAAATACTTGTATTACATAAAAATTGAGAAAACATCCAAATCATTGATCAAACCACTTTAATAAATAGAAAAAAAGCTTTAAAATGAAACGAAAGAGCCGCCTCAACACTTTATTTAACTTGGCGCAAGCTGAGTTTTTTTGTTCGCCCTTTTATTAATCGCGGAACCTTCAATTAATTAAAATTTGAGAAAACAACCAAAGCATTGCACGAAGCACTTTAAAATCTAGAAAAATAGCTTTAAAATGAAATGAAAGAGCCGCCTCAACACTTTATTTAACTTGGTGCAAGCCGAGTTTTTTGCTTCGCTTTTATTAAGCGCGGAACCTTTATGTAAACTTTTAGACTACATAGAAAAGATTTTTAGAAGAAATTCAAATTATTATTATCTAGCTGCTGAAAAGGAATAGAAATTGTGACTTATTACGATAAAATTTAAGGAATTTATATATGGTATTTATCGTTAGTTAATTAATACATCAACTGGTACAAATTTCAGGAGGAGAAATCTCAGTTTTGATTGCTGGCCGAAACGTGTGCAGTTGGCAATATGATGATTTTCGCGCTCTGCTGCTGATTTGTGCTAATTAGGCACCCCTGGGGGTGGGTCGGGGGTGGAAGGAGGGTGGCTGCGGACAGGTGCTCGTCCGTCCTAGCTTTTGACGGCCGGCCGGCCGGCCGGCCAGCGCTGCTGCTGCAGTATCAATTTGCACGGGCGCGCATTGTTCGTGACACATCGGCCGAGAGCCTGCATGTTTTCGTTGCCGCTCGCGTGCGCGCAATTTGCTCATTGCTAATTCATCGCTCGTAATTAGCCCCGACTCTCTCGCTCTCCACTCCGCCTGCAAATATTTATATTGTTCCGTCCAGTGCAAGCGCAGAAATTTTGATTTGGCCGGACGGAGACTTGAAACCATTCATACGAACAAACATATTAATATATAACTGCTGCTCTCTTCAGACTATTGAGGCCTGCTGGCCTGACAATGAGAGCGACAAAAGGGTTGAAATTTATTGCTATTTTTGTTAAGCTTTCAAAGATAAATTTAAATATTAAATAATAATATTTTTATACATCACAGTACATATCACAATTTGATTATTTAAAAATTTAGACAATTAATAAAAATATTTTCTTCATTTCATGAATATTATAGTTTCCATTTTTTTAAATTAAAAAATATACGAATTTTCAAACGTATACCAAAATAATTATGTAAAACAAATTAATGTTCATTTTTATATTTTTTTAAATTTATATTTACAAAAAAAAGCTGTCTGGAGTAAAGTTTTATAAGTTCATAATTTAATTATATAGTAATTGCTTTCTGATAAATCAATAAAGGCACTTTGCAACTAAATTAAACAAATTTCTACTTTTGAAACGGGCGTTAATTTGAATTTAATGTTGTTAAGTCTGATTTATTTATTATTATTTTTAACAACAATTTTTATAATTTAATTGAAAATAATACATAGCTTTAAAAAAAATTAATAGATTCTAGTAACTTCTTGTGTTATTATTTATGAAACTTGCTACCCGCATCTTCTTATTCCAAAAAGGGCTGAGCTTTATAAGATGCACAATAACAATAGAACCACTATGTGAGCGTGACTCATTCATTCCGACCCACGGTCGCTTTCGGATTTTGGCACCCACATGGTAAAAAGGAAGGTGCCATGCTGGGTTTAAGATTTTTTAAATTACCGGTGTATAAAAACTTGAATATTAAAATTTGTTTAGATTATAACAAAATTTGAAATTTTTTGCTCCAATGAAATTTATTTACAAAGTGTAGATGATCAAAGATTGTAGAAGGACATGTTTATTCACACACTCAAATTCCGACAAGCACGCAGCAAACTTTGTCATCAGGACAATCTTCAGCGCGGTCCTCTACCAGTGCTCGCGTACAAGAGTTTGCGAGTGTGCACCGCCCACCGCGGTTTTTACATCTTGTCTCCAACAGAGAAACTGCAAACGTAAAAAGAATGAGAATTCTCTATAAATTTCTAATAAAAAAAGAGTCAAAAGAAAGTTATTAAATTCATTTTTTTTTTTTTTTTTTTTTTTTTTTTTTTTTTTTTTTTTTTTGAAGAAAATATTATGGTATTTTAAATATTATGAATTTTAATTATCTTTATATGAAATTTTTTTAATTAGTTTAAAAAAAAATTAGAAATTTACAGAAAATATTTTGTGACTTTCATATTTTAATGCTTTATTTCCGTAATCTGACTCCTGACTCACGTCCGTGGCAGCACTCAACGCCGAGGTCCTGCTGCTCGGGGCAAAGACCCTTGCTGGGGCTGAGGGCGCCCGGGGGACACTCGATTTGGGGGAGGCAGTTGCCTCCGGTCCTGAGACAGGACTGCTCGTTGTGCACGGTCGAGTTGAGGAAACTGACGCCGTTCGTGATTGCGTTGCTCATCGTGTTCGCCACTGCCGCCTCCGTGGTCAAAACTTCTTGCGAATTTTCTTCCTCCACTTCTGCAACTTCCGGCAATTCTGCGACTGTTAAATTTCTCATTAGCCTTGGCAGTTTAAAAAAGTGATTAATTTGTTTGTTGAAAAACAAGCGACACCAAAGAAAAAAAACGAAGTGTGCCGGAGGGAGCGACCTGCTGCGCGCCGTGCTAATTAGTAATTAGCGCCAGAGCTGAGCTGAGTGCTCTCTGTACCAGCATAAGGGCGCTCAAATATTTCACACCTTGGGCAAGGTCGATAAACCTTCCGTGATTATTGCGAATTAAATGGTAATAGGATTTTTTTGTAATTTGTTTCCTGAAAGTATTGGTAGTTTCCACATTTCTGCAGTTTAAATTCATACCAAGTGATACAAGCTTATGGAAAACCTGAGATCAATTTTTTACTTTTTGCAGAAGGCCATTATTTCAAAATACCTCTGCAAATTCAATTTTTCTTCTTTCCTATTACAGTAATATTTGGCCTTGTTAATCAAATGCATAGCGTAAAAACCATGATGAGTCATTTCGTTTCACACACAGTTGAAAAGTCAGTGACGCAGCACGGCCGTGATATCTGTTACTATTACTATGCAATTCGCACAGCGTATATTTCATTACAAATTACTTTCGCTTTTTGCCATTATTTATTCTCAACCTATCGTCACAACAAAACTAAAACAATAAGTTAATTTCAGCCAGATCATGTTCATTCTAGAAACAGTAAAAAGTTTAAAATTGATGCCTATCTGAATAATTCAATGAAAAAAATTAATAAAATGAAATAACATTAGAATGTAAATAAAATAAAAAGACAATCAAATTTCTCAAATACTTTAAAAAAACTTAAATACACTGAATCAAAATAAATAAATTAAAATTAATATAATGAAGTTTTATGTCCAAAAACTTTTATATTGAAAGAAACCGACCTTGAGTGGTGACCTCTTCTTCTTGGTCTTGGGCCGTGGGAAGACTGAGGGCCGAGGCGGCCACCGCGGCCAGGAGGAGCGTCAGCAAGTAGGTGCGCATTGTGAGGTTGGTGGGAATCAAGTGAAGTGCCTGGGGACGATGTTGGTTTTAAATATGTGCACTTGGTTGCTGCGAACACCCGCAGCCGATAAGCGCAAGAGACGCTGAGCAGAGTTTTGTGCACCTGAAGCGAGAAAGCCCCTGGCAGCAGCAGCGAAAGTGTGCGGCAGGTCGGCCTGGAATACTAATCATAGTTGTTACTTGTCACGTTTGACGTAATTCGCCCGCATCGTCACTTTGACGTGCAAAGCCGAGGGATCAGGTCGTCGGATTTGAATCAGAAAAATTGCGCTCGGATTTAGAAAAATTAAACTTTTCGGCCACATTTAACTTACATCAATGAAATATGAAATTGACAATTGCACGCTTCTTTTGCGCCAAAAGTGTTTAAAAATCTGAGGTTCAAAATTCTCCGGTTGGAGTCGCTGTAACCAGTAAAGGCCAAAATAGGAAAATGGGAAGGCCATATGTAAACAGAAAAAAAACTCAGCTGTTTTCTGCCAAATCCCTTACACAAGTTTTTCTACAAGAATCTACAGACTTTCCTTTGACCTCAGGGTATAAAACAGCAAACCTCACCCTGTAATTAGTCTGATCGTGTTTCTACCTCTAACAGCAGGCAGAAAGGTTTTGGAAAAGAATAAGTTTGATCCTTCCCTGGTGCTGCGCAGTTTGCAACTAACCTTTCTTCAGGAGTCGTTGATGAGTAGTGTCTCGCAGTTCCGGTCTCGTCGACCCTGAAGACTTCCGGCAGAATGGAGCAGAAGAAATCGCTCAAGTGGCTCGAGGTGCCGCTCGGCAAGTTCAGCGAGGCTGCGACGCTGCACGCTCGTCAACTCAACACCCACAGGACCAACGTCCTCAAGGTTAAATTAGTAATAATTACGCTAATTTACTTAATTATATAATCGTTTGCAGTTGGAACGGGATGATCGATGGGAGGCGGCGCACAAGGAGTACGTGGAGGCGGCGAGGGTTGTCCAACAACTCAGGTCCCTCGTCTTCGAGCTGGACAGCCTCAGGGCGCAGTTGACCGACGAGCGTGACCTTGAGGAATTTTCCAAACGGACAAAACGTTCCACGGACGAAATCAAAAAGGCCATCCAGACCTTTCTCGGTTCGGATTTCAAACTCTGTATTTCTCTCCTTTTCTTACAACCCTCTTAATTTGCAGACCTTGAGAAACCAAAGCCGAGATTGACAGGGTTTGATTTGACCAATGATTGGCCGGCTGAGGACGGCGTGAACACAGGACCGGTGCCCGAGCTTCAACTCCAGCAGAGCATTGGTGTTGAGGAGCGCGCCGTGGCCCAACAGGAGGCCGCCCTGGCCGCGTGGAGGCGTCTTCAGACGGACTTCGAGGACCTGAACCACGTGATGCGCGACTTCAGTGCTATTGTGGCGGCGCAGGCCGAGCCTGTCAACCTCATTGAGCAGAATGTGGAGACCGCTGCTGAGAATGTGGCCGAAGGTTCGCGAATCCTTGCTGCGGCCGCTCGAGCCAAAGCAGCAACCTACCCATTGATTGGGGCCATCATTGGTGGCTGCGTGGCCGGGCCTATCGGGGTTCTGGCTGGGCTCAAGGTTGCAGCGGCAGCGGGCATTTCGGGTGGAATTCTAGGTACGGAAGGTTTCCCGTTTTTATAAAAAAAAATTAATTTATGTAACTCTGAAAAATTTCAAAAGCCTAAAAATTTTCTGTATTTGGAGCTAAAGCTAATTTATAAAAATTGAAATTTTAGTTTTGTAAGTTTTATGTCTTTTTTTGTAAATAATTTTGTATCTTAAAACTTTTTAGGATTTGCTGGTGGAAAAATGTTGAAGGGAAGTGAAGAAGCTGTTCAAGTGGAATGTCGGCTGAAAGACGAGCAGGTTAAAAATGAAGAGGTGCAACAGGCTAATCACGCCAGCTTTATTTCCTGATGCCTGTTCTCGCGCCTCTTCTTTTGGCGCTGCAGAAATCTCTGAGAGCTGGTCTCTTTTGTTACCATTGAAGGACTGATTATACTTAGTCACAAAGTTTTATTTATACAATTTACAGTCAATGTAAAATACTCACTTTGTCAAGCTAAAGCAAACAAGCAGGAAAATGCGTATTTGATGTCATTTTAAGGTATAATATTATTGAAGTATTCCAAATTTTGTACTAGGATAAAAATATTGTTAAAATTAAAAAAAATGCAGGATTTAAATACGTCACAGGTGTTTTAATTACTTTTTTAAAATTATGCATTCAGAATTTCTCACACATTAAAATAATTTTAATTGCTTTAAAACTACCTAATTAATTTTGTGTTTGGTCAAAGTTGGAGTTAACTCTGTGTTTAACACAAGTGGATGAAAGGTCAGTTGACGCAATTGTTTTTATGGATCCTTGAATGATTTACAATTTAAATTTTTTTTCTAAGTGAAGCAAAGCACTATTATGTTTTTTTTTTAAATAATAATTTTTTTTTAGGCAAAAGTAGCTAATTTTTTTATGTATTGAATAGGATTTAGAATAACAAATTCTAACATCTAAAAGGAATGCTGCAATAAATAACTATTTTTTTTTATCAGCCAATAATCTATTATTCATGAATATTTAAAAATAATAACTAAGCAAAGATTATATACTATAATATTATTAGGCTAAGAACTAGCAAACGCAATCAGCACCACCAAGATAAATTGTGAAAATCAAGTATTAAAGTGCAGGTCCAAAACTTGGGGTTGAGATGAAAGGGCTGCATCCAGGGAAAAACCGGGAATGACCTCAATTGACCTTTTGTTTCCGGGAAGCTTTGCGGGGAGGCCGAGAGCGTTTTGAGGAAGGCTTTGCGTTTTGCCCTCGCTGCTTTTCCTCTCGTCTGGCTGCGCAGAGGCGAAACAATGAATTAATCCGGCTGTGCGCGTCTAGAGGGTTGCATGCGCGCCCAACGCTTTCGTTCGACACGGGGGTTGGCGGGGCCGAGCCGCCGTGCGCGTTCGAGAGCGCCAGAGTAGAGACCCGACGAGAAATCCAGAGTTGTCCTTTGACCGCGCCGCGACACGAACGCGGCGGACGAGAGCGACCCTCGGCCACACACGCGGGCACCCCCAACACGCGCTTAATACAGGTACGGATAATTTTTTTACTCTTTGCTTTTATGTTTAAATTTCAACGTTTATTAATTGCTTAACAATATTTTTAGATTCCAAGATAAAGTAGAAACCATCAAAATTTTTTCAGTCAAAATTACGTTCGTAATTCTGAATTATGTAATTTTTACAAATTAAAACCACAAACAAACAAGAACTGTTTTAGAAATCGGCTTTTGAGAAGCGAATATAATAAAAGGAAGAATTTTTTGAGATTTTTTGTGTCTGATATTCAACATTTTATTTAAAAGAAAACTGTTTCATTACTTCCTTGTTTTCTGCGCATGGACAAAATACAAAAAGTACCTTTAAATATAAATTATTATCAAATAGGAATAAGTTACAATTGCATTAAAAAAGCAATTATTGGTTTCTTTGGCAAAATAATTTTTATGAATATTGCGCACAAATTTTTTTTTACCTGTACCACCTGTACTGCATCAAATACACATTTCACTGCCCTTGTACTACATACGTTTGACCAACAAGTTCACAAGGCATACTAAAGCATAGTGGCTTTTTTTGTTAATTTTTATTCATTATATAGTTTAAAAATTATTTTGTGCAATAAACCAAAAACTTTAATATATAAACATTTTTAAATGAAAGTTGCAGAAGTTTTTAAAAGTTTTCTATCGCTTTTAAAGTTGAACATTAATTGGTTTTGGGAAGAGAGTTTCAGAGAATTTGGTCGCAAGGTGGGTCGATCCGTTTGGGCTTGAGGGCAGGTCGCTCGCTTTGTGTTGTTTTGTTGCAAATAACGAAATTGTGGGCTTAATTAAAATACCCGCGCGCCACTGCGGCTTCGGCTTTGTATTCGCAATTCACAAAGTGGCTAAAAAGCAGTCGCGATTTGCATCTCAGAGTGCTTCTGTCTTTGGGTCACTTGTTGTCAACAAATTTACACATGAAGTAGCTTTAATGTGATTTGTTTTCAATTTTTTAATTTTAAGATAAGAAGTCTTTTATCTGCACATAGTTTGTTTTCATTGAATTCTAATTAATTTCTTTTGTAAAATGTTTGCAAATAATGATTTAACATATTTTTTGGCAACAAGAAGATCAATAAAGTTATAATCGGTTATAATCTTAATTAAATTTTAAATTTTCGAAAGAAATGCGATTAAAATTTCTTTAAAGATTAAACCGTCAAATTAGTCAAATATCATGAAATCTGAGTGAAAAATGACTCATTTAATTATTTCTAGAAAGCTGTTTGTTAAATCAAGTTAATTAATGAGTTTGATAGTTGATCTAAATTAATTTTTTCTAACCTTTTAAAACAATTTCTGTCAACCATCATCCTACAAGTAAGAGCTGATCAAGATCAATTCCCCGACAAAAAGTCAACAAAGGTTACATAAAAAAAGCATTGTGGAGAATAGGCAGCACTTTTTTTTGTATGAAATTTCTTCAAGGAAAGTTGATTTGCTGATTTCGAATCAAATTCCTTTTTAAATGAAAACACTTAGATATTAGTTTCATAATCATTATTCAAAAGAAAAAAAGAGTTTGAAATAAAAATTTAAATGAGATTTACTGGTAACTAAACTTGCTTTCACCAAAGTTCCCCTCTTTTTTATCTCTCTTTTCATACAATTTTCCAGAGGCGTTTTCACCATTTCCCTGTAGAAATGGATTTGCACCTGGCTTTGCCCGATTTGACCCGATTTTCCGCACATATTCCCATACTTGCTACTTTTCTCTCCTAATCCATATGCGCGACGCCGCGAAAGGAAAGTTTTTGGAGGGCTTTGTGCTGTCATAAAATAAAAAAATAGGCAATGCAAACTTGGCGTGTCGCATTTGGAATGCAAAATCCGCGGCTCCGCGCAGCTCTACGCCGAGAGCATGTACGCTCGACGCAACCCTTTAATGCCAATCCACTCTCAGTTCGCGGCAACTTAATCCCACAAACGCCGCGTCATTAAGAAACGACTCATTAAATTTTACTTGTAAGCTTTGCCTCGGGTCTGGAATTTGGGCTCATCAATTATTCTGATTTTGCTCCTTTTGTTTTGTAAATGAATAATAAAAACAAAAAGCAAAAGCGTTTTAATTACAAACTGTCTAAATTACTAGAGTACCTACATAAAAATAATAATCCTTTATATTCACCATTTTAACAAATTAAATGTCCTGATTCAAAATCAGTCAAATTAGGCACAACAACAAAAATAAATGCCAACAATACAAAAATCAATTGAATCAAGTTATACTAATATATATATATAAAATTTCAAAATAGTCAATTATTTATTTAATTCACTGTATAAATTAAAGAAAATTAACGCCATTTTTCATTTTTAATTTAACATCTTAACTTAACAGTTTTTCCCCAGATATAACCATTTTTAAACTTTATTCATTATTTGAACACGTTTAAATTACTCTAAAAGGTTTTTAGGCATTTTATTGTTGACATGAAAGTAAAAATTTAGTTTCAGGGATGGCGTCATTAGTGGACTGGCGGCTTTTAATGGTCCGTGTAATCGTTGTGCTGCTGCAAGGTAAGAAAAAGGAAACGACCCCTTTTTTTGGGAACATAACTTTTTTCATTTCGCGGCACTAGGGGTGGTACGAGGCGGCGCTGACGAGAACGAATACCGACTGACGCGGTACCTGATGACTGATTACGATGCCTCGGTGCGACCTGTCGAGAACAGCTCCCTGCCGCTCAAAATCACTTTTGGCATCTCCCTCCATCACATCATTGACGTCGTACGTTAAAACTTTTCAAAATCAATCTCAGCGTATCGAAAATTTATTATTTACGGGTTAAAATTTTGCAAACTTGTTTAAAAAGGACATTTAAATTTTGTGGAAATCGGTGTTTGATGAAGATAGAAAAGTGCATTTACAATAAGTTTTCTTTAAAAATTTATATATTGAAATATTTTATGATCAATCAAACAAGAGAAATAACTTTAATACAGAGAACCCCTCCTTACATAGATAGAAATTTGGGATTATGAGGAATTAATTTAATAAAATAAACCTCTTTCAAGTATTTTCAATTATATACATTTATTTTTCTCTTAATTTTACATAATTTTTTTAGGAAACGTCAGTATAAAAATTCAATTCCCCCATTCAAACTATATTTATTAATATTGAACGATTTCCAGCCCTCCTGTTATAATGTACATATGCTGTTTAATATAATGTTCAATGTTCGCATCGACTTTACCCAAAATAAATAACTGTGCAGAGGTAGACCGCCTGCTATTTTCAGAGTTCGGCAGCCCGCTCGTCTTTCCAAACGTGCGGGTTGCGTATTTCTCTTTGATAAAAATCTCACTCTCTCTTTCGGCGGATCGATTCCCGATTTGCAAACAGGACGAGAAAAACCAAATCCTGACAACCAACTGCTGGCTGACGTACATCTGGACGGACCACCACCTTAAGTGGAACGCGTCCGACTTTGCCGGAATCAAGGTCGTCCGCATCCCGTACAACCGCGTATGGAAGCCGGACGTTATCCTTTACAACAAGTGCGGGTTTTTAATTTTCTCCTTTCTAGTTTCCTGTGAAAATTCTCAATTCTGTTTCTGTTTTTTGTGAAGTGCTGACTCCCAATACAGCAACGCGGTCATCAACACAAACGTGATTGTGTCTAGCAACGGCGAGGTGGTTTGGCTCAGCCATGGCATCTATCGCAGCTCTTGTGACATCAACGTCGAGTACTTCCCTTTTGACATCCAGAGCTGCCGCATGAAATGGGCTTCCTGGACCTACGACGGATACCAGGTGAGTTTTTTGTTCATCAAATCTGTAGAAATTTCCCCAGAGGTTGAATTTAATATAATTTCAATCAAAAATATGTCAATGTAATTATAGAGAGATTGGAAAGTAATTTCACGCGCGTCGCACTTTTTTCGAATTTCGCGACCAATTAGCGCCGCAAATGAAAATTGGCTGGCATGTTTTACGAGCGTGTCGCGCGCACCTCCCGTCGCTGCCGCACTCAGGGTGATTGCCGCGAGAAACAATAAAACACTAATAAGCGCCGCCGCGTTCGTTTTATCGAGATGATGATGATTCGCGCGCTACTAATAGCGGATTATATGTCGCCCCGTGAAAGTTTCCATGACAGAAATAAAACGGCCCAGATCGATGTGTGTGTTTTCGAGAGAGCGGCGCCGCGGTGGTCTCGAGATTCGCCACTCTCGATATCTCGCCATCGATCGAAAGGTCAAAAGGCTCTTGTAAATCCAGACTGCAGCTGACTTGAGAGTCCCACCGACAAAACTGTTGCTCCCGCCGACCCTGGCAACCTACAGATTGATACCAAACTCAGCCCTAAATGAATATGACCACTTGCTCACGGTCGTTTAACCTGTAAAAGTGCTTTAAAAACAAAGTTGCTTTGATAAAAAAATTCTAGCATGGATAAAAATACTTATACCTTTTTGTAATAAACTCCAAGTCCAGGTCGTTTGAAGGGTAAAAAAGTTTATCTTTTTGAATGTATTTGTGCATTTTTTGATATTTGCATACAATTTTTCAATGAAAAAGAATGGGCGTTTAAAAATTATTATTTTGTTTGTGATATTTCCATCAAAGGAGTTTTAAGTTGCTTTTCATGTTAAGTTGCCCTGAGGAACCTTAGGACTGTTTTTTTTTAATTATAATTCATACTTATTTTAATTAATAAATATTTTTCTAATTGTTTTATAACAAATTCGGGTTATTTTTAATAATTATCGAAAATTTCGTATTGTCTGAAGAGTGTATTTGATGAAAATGATTTTTTCAGGGTAAACCTTTCAGGGCATCTTGAAAGTCATGTTTGGTGTCGTCAGATAGGTTTTTGAAGGCGGCGAGTTTAAATTAATTTAATTGATTCTGGGCTTGGATCAGCGGCCCGGATTTCTATTTGCGGCCGGCGAGCCCTGCGCGCACGATCGAACTCATAATGCTGGTGCGCCCATATTACACCCATCATCCGTCCCCGACGAGATGTCTTAATGCGAATCCTCGCACCTGTCATAGTTATCAAGTTTGCTCAAACTTGCAGCGGTGAGCATCTGCGGCTGAAGCGTTTTTTCTTAGTAAATCGAGTTTGCAGCGGAGAATCGAATGAAAACAATTTGCTACACTGATGGGAACAAGAAATGTGCAAAGATGATAAATGCGCAAATTTAGGCCACCTGGGACAAGATTGAGAGACGATTCCTAAACTTCTATATTTGGTCCATGTACAACACCAGATTTAACAAAAAGATTTACCGCTTCGAATCCTAAAATAACCTGAAGAGCGAATAATAAATTAAAGAAAAAAATGAATAAACGAAGGGGTGGACTTGACATTCGAGAAAACAAAAGAAGTTGAGTGATGATCCTCTTAGGCAGTTGAAAGTCGTTTGTGTGTTTAAAAGCACTTCAGCGTCGTGGCCTGCTTTTACAGCATTTTTATTATCAAGAATAATAACTATAAAGCAAAAACTGACAGAAACACTTTTTATCTTGTTTCTCGGAATAAATCGGGCCAACGCTTCTTTCTCGTTTCAGCCGCGGGCTAAAGGCGTAAAAGCGCTACGTCGGCACACATGCTACTCGTATTCAGAGTGGCCGTCTGGCCGGCGGCCAAAGGCGGCACCAAATTTTTCCTTCTGCATCGGTGGGCAAATGAACCTCATTTTTCGCGCAAATTGCCAAAATTCGAAGGGCGGAGTTCCAAAATTTCCGTTCCCCTTTTCCGCAAAAATTTTAAGCCCTTTCAAAAGCCCTCGTCTACATCCCACTTCTAAACTTGACCAAAATTCTGGTGAAAATTTCGTTAATTAGGCTTATGGAATAATTTCCAGCACATTAAATTTTTACTTTGGTCGTCGTGCATCAAGAGGCAGACGAGGCTACGAAAGGGATGCAGAGGAGTGTTGCCGATTTAATTAGTACGTGCTTTAGAGACTGAAGCAAAAGCTGGAGACGCAAGAGCGCGAGTGCCAGGCGGACGTCGTTTGATCAGCCACCGCTAATTAATTAATTGATCAGTCGCTTGCAAAGCAAAGGCCCGCGTTCCATTTCTTGGCTCCTACAGGTTATAAATATTACAACAACCAACAACCTACTTAAAATGTGCTGGAATAACCACAATATTATTTTCAAGATTTCTCTAAATTTTAAAGTAATTCCAAAAAAATTGCTGTATAATGATCTAATATTTTTAATTTTTTTCAATTTTCCCTTTTATTGGGTTAGGTTGACTTGGTAAAGCAGACAGAGCACGGTGATGTGAGCAACTATCAGCCAAACGGCGAGTTTGACCTGGTCAGTTTCGAGGCCGACCGACACGTGGTGATTTACTCATGCTGTCCTGAGCCTTACCCCGACATCACCTACACCATCCGCATCCGTCGGCGTCCGCTCTTCTACGTCTTCAACCTCATTTTACCCTGCATGCTCATCAACTCAATTGGTGCGTATAGTTTTTTTTTTAAGAACACAAAAATGCATCAGGTCATGTAAAAAAATCAAAATCTGCAGCGTTACTAGTGTTCTACGTGCCGTCCGAAAGTGGAGAGAAGGTAACGCTTGGCATCTCGGCGCTACTCTCCATGACCGTCTTCCTCATGACCATTCGCGAAAGCTTACCGCCTACGGAAAAAACTCCGCTTATAAGTGAGTCCTTTCTAGATTATATTCCTTTCAAAAATTATGAAAAAAATTTTGTGTTTTAAATTATTTTATTTTGACCTCATTCTCTTCCTTTCCGGCTTTGAATACCTAATAACAAACATTTTTTATTTCAATTTAAATTTTTGCTGATTTTTTGTATTTTTCTTGCTCATGAAATAGGTTTGCAGACCGTAACCAAAACTGGTAGAGCCGTTATGGTTTTGAATATAAAAATTTTTACAACCAAGAAAAGCCTAACTTCTTCACTTCCATCATGACATACTTTTCATTGCATTTAATTATAATATAAGCGATCTGAAAAAGGTTACACCCTAAGAAAATCCCTTATTTAACCAGGCCATAAGAAACTGTTCCGAAAGTTCCATAATTTACACATAAGAAAATTTGAAAAAAAATGATAGATAGTTCCACAATCTCACCAAAATTGAAATTTTTTAAGAAGGATTTATGGAATCAGGTGGCAATTTATTTATCCTGACCCCTGAACAATTTAAATATTCCAAAATAATTATTGTTTTGTGTCTTTTCATAGGTTTTCATAGGTTCTGAATTCAAATCGGCCATCATAAAAGCTATTTATTGAACCTACGGTGGCATTTTTGTTCCAGGCATGTATTACGGCGTGAGCATCTGCCTGGTTTCTTTCGCAAGCGGCCTAAGTGTGGTCACCCTGAACGTGTACCATCGAGGTGTTCGCGGCACCGGCGTGCCCAAGGTGGTCAAGCGTCTGGTGCTAGGGCCACTGGCGCGCCTCGTCCTGGTGCACTTCGACGTCTCGGAAACGCGAGACGTGCCACCTCACCAGCCGGTGCCGGGCCCAGCGCAGCGATTCAAGCCCCACGTAAGTCTTTTGTTCTGACAAATGAGTGTGAAAATAATGACGAGAGCAACGCGCTTTTGTTGCCGTTGTTATTTAGCTTTTGTTAAATTTCAAGCATTGCTCGTTAATTGCAAAAGCCTTTCTCCGGTCTCGGGTTTCAGGACGCGCGAGCAGGGAGTCGCGTCGATTCGTCGTCCAGGGCCGACAAGTGGACGCAGGACAACGACCACCGGCCGAGCGACTACTCGCCCGAGCGGTCGCCGCGCTTCGTGCCTCGCAGGCAGCGCCGGGACTCGAACCCAGGTGACTATGAAAGGCGCTTAGGCCAAAATCGGCTTTCGCTTTTATTTTCTGCCCAATCGATATGCACTGCCGAAAATATGCGGGCGCTCCGCAAACAATGGCAGAGGTCGTTACATGTTTGCTCACGAGAATTGAGTAGGAAGAAAATAATTTCAGAACCTCAAGAAAAGCTGAAATCGTCGTTTATAAAGGTCAAATGTTATTTCATTATAAAAATAATGTACCAATTAAAAATTTCCGCTAATTTTTTTTTAAGTAAACCCTAAAATCATTAAACCATTTCACATTTAATCAGCATAAAGTTTTCTAGTAAATCAAACAAAACATTTTCCCAATTTTCTTCTCAAATGAATACTTTCTAACAGCTTTCTTAATCGACCTGAGATTCACTACCCTGAGAGAAAACGTTGAACACAATCTGACTTCAGACAGTCCAGAAAACGGTATTATTTTTTAGTGCAATCACGTCTTATTTTTTATACAATGTACTTCTGTAACTTACCCAAATATACTACACTAATTCAATATCAATATATGTTCTATTAAGAATGCACATGAAACTTTTATGGTTAAAAAGAAAAAAATATAAGACCTTTTCACTTTTTCTGTGCCAGGATCCAGTTATCCACCTTTTTAAAGAGCCAGTTTATGATTTTTTTTTTGCCTGAAAAAAGAATATACGAACGAAAAATTTTAATATTTCTAAAATACATCCCGTTAAAAAGCTCAATCATTTATCTGGAGATCACCTGAGGAACGCTATGAATGTAATTTTCAATATAAATAGCAACATAATAATAATCCCATTAATAAATTATTATAAATTAATTTAAGAGGCAGCTGAAAAAGTGGTCAATTTTTATTTTAGGGTCACTGAATCCCGAACAAGAAATTTTTAATTTTTCTTATTATTATTTTCTTCTTGTTTTTTAATCTCAAATTATTTTCTCTGCATTCTGCCCCTCCAGACAGCTTGGAGGGTCAGTTCCTTCGCGCCCTGCACAAAATCAACGCGGCCCTGGAGCGCAACGAGGGTCGCGTGCTGGAACGTGAGCGTCGCGAGGGCACGGCGCGTGAGTGGAAGCAGGTCGCGCTGGTGTGCGACCGCGTGCTGCTGTGGGCCTTCCTCTTCACCACGGCCGTCACCACCACAGCCATCCTCTTCTCCAGCCCCCACGGACCCTGAACGCATACTACACCTTTAACTTTCGTCTAGACGCGTTAGAGTAGGTTGTAGATTGGTTGATCTTTTCTCGGCACTGCCTGTTTGTGCTTTGATTTTAATTATATAACGTCGTGTTACTGCCAACAAGCTTTTCCTTTCCTGCCTAAACCAGCTTCGTTTCAATTTGTATAATGATTTAAATCAAGTTGATTTAATTGGAGGCGAAAATGAACCGGAATGGCATTTGTTTGCCCTCTCTCATCGTTTGTTGGTTCAAAAGGCTGCTCTCGACGACCTCTTTAATTTGCACTGATTGCTTTTGTTTTCGTCGTTCTGCCGGTGCGCGAGCCGCGAGATCAAACGCGGGGGCCGCTCTTTTAATAAGCGACGAGTGCTTTTTTCATTTTGAAACATATACAAACACCTGGCTGCTGCTTTTTGCAAACGTGTGGCAAAACTCTTTTATTATTATCGACATAATATTCAAACGGGCACTGGCTCGTTGGCCCACGCGGCCAGGTTGAGTCGGGGGATGGCGTCACTCGTGCAATCTACCCTCTGGTTCCTATATCAACACAAATAAAGTTTCCCATTTCAGTGAAAAAAAAAAACAATGAAATGTAATAAGAACCAAATTCATCCCTTTTTAAATTGTGCTTCTCTTTGAAAAACAAAAATTAAATAAATTAAACCACATTTGAAAATGATCTTAATCGATTTTCTGCGCTTCGTATGCTACAATTCAACTTTTAAATTAAAATATTTAAACGCGGGTTAACTCACGCGAAATTTGATTTGAAGAAAGCAAGGGGCTGGAGTCGAACCATGTCGTCGGAGTTGTCACACAAAATCCGCGAAAGGCTCGTTTTCTTGATCTCTGCCAGTTGTTCTATAGAATTTTTTTTATATTAAATTAGCATTAAAAAATTTTGAATTAGCAGCTCTGTTTTTACCTGGCGTGAAGGATCCGTTTTGGCCTTGCTCTTCGTAGAAGTAGCGGTCGCCCCTGCGCAGACGCACAAACTGATCGCCAAGAATGCACGCCAGGGTTGGTCCAACCAGGGCACCCCTGAGAGGTCGCTCGGCCACAAGTGCAGGGAAGAGGTCAACCTCGTTCACGTCAGCGTAAGCAGCCTGCAAAGCCGACACTGCCGAAGGCTCCATCTCAACGGCGAGGTCACGCCAGGATGTGGCACTTTTTGAACCGCAAACGGAGCGCCACTCATTGTAGGGTGGAAGGCCGTGGTCACGACCTCGCTGAATGTTCAAGGCCACCAGGTCAAGACCGAACGGCAATGAACCCTTCAATAGAATTTATGATTTAAAATTTTTTCAAAACTTTAAATTTTTCTACTGTTAAAAATTGTGTTTGGTTTAAAATTCTTTAATTTAAAGAACAGATTTGAGTTTCTTGACTAAGAAAACCTATATTTCAACACCAAACACGACTTATTTTGAATTCAATTTGTAACTGACCTGATGAAGGTTAAATAACCCTGAGAAAGGTGTGAATAAGATCTGTGTTAAATATCATTTCATAGGTTTCTAGAGTCGCCGAGTATGAATTTCATATTGGATAGGTCGAATTTTTTTACCTGGAAAAGTTTATCGGTGACTTCCCGTGAGAAAAATCTGTCGAAGCGTTGACAAGTCTGCGTCAGAAGACCTCGGAGTAGGTCGTCGAAGGCACCCTCTTTGTACAACACGAACGGCGAGAACTGGTTGCGGTGCAGAGGCAGGTCTTCTTTGATTGTGCCAAATTGGCTGAACGTCCTGAAAGCGGGAATTTGTATAAAAACTACAGTCTGGATGCGCCGCGCAAAAAGTGTAACTGAGCCATTCGGACCAAATTGCTCCGTTTAATTCTGAGGCGCGCGCTTTTATTTCAGCTCGTCTCCCGCCGAGCGGAAAATCACATTCGCTCTCTGGCGGAATGAAAGAGATTTTCAGAGTGCGCGGGAAATTGACCCTAGATGAAAAATGCCTGGCATTTTTTCCACCAAAGTAAATGACATGGGAAGTGTAAAAAAGGGTAAACGATAAAAATAATAAATTGGAGTGAAACTCAACTGGATGGAGTCGCGGATGAGGGAGTGCCCGAAGCGGAAAGCAGCCGTGGCAAACACGTTGGTGATTCCAGCGTTCAACGTCTCGTCGTAAAGTCGAGTACCACCGTTCTCTTGAGGTGACAACCTCAACAGATCCATTCGCTCACGACCTAAAGGAAAAAATTAAAAAAAGTTAAAATTATAAGTTTAGATTTTATTTCAGTTAATTTATTAAATTAAAGGTTTAAAATTTTTAAACTATATTATAGCTCCTTTTTATCCAATCCAGCATACTTTTGACTATTAGTGTCCGAGTCTAAAAATATGTTTTAGAACCTCATAGAACGTAGAGGATTTAATATTGATTTTACAATATTAATTTCATTTTCAATATTTAAAAATAATTATATTCCTGTGTCTGTAAAACACTATTTTGGGATAGGATCATGTTTCCCTCTATAATTTGCTGTTATACAAAAAAAATTTAAGTCAAATGTCATGGTATCATATTAATGAACAAAAATTTAATTTCACCAAATTTTGAAAAAGAAAATGTTATTCATTTATTTCAATTGACTCCTCCATCGCAAAGAGGAATTAAAATAATCCTAATTAGGAATAATTATTTCTGTCCATTCCTCATTTTTTTTCTTCATAAAATTAAATTCTGGGCAGTGTGATCATTATTTTGAGTTTTAATGAAACCAATTAGACGCCCTTTGATCTTTGCGGATTTGGTTGTTAAAAGCAGATGACGTCCCCCCTCTTTGACTGAGCACTTCTCTGCCGGCTCTGTCTGAAGCCGTTTTGACAAAAACTGGTCGGTGAAAATCGAGTTGTTTGACAATTTCCAACACAACGAGAGGGCGGCTCTCAAAAGAAAACGTGCCGAGATTCGCTCGCTTTTCGAGTCGAAAGTGATGTTTCTCTTTTCGTTTGGGCCCGACAAGATGCAATTTGGCTCCGCACTTTGCGCGCGTTTCTGCTCCAATAAACCCTCTCTTGAGAGCGAAACCGACTTGCTCCTCGTGGCGCGCGCGGCCCAGACCACTCGAGTCAACAAACAACACGAGCCCTCCGTATTTTGGTAATTGTTTCCCGCGCCCTTCCCCTCGCCCTTTCTCTCGGCAAACAAATTCTCCCCGTCAAGAGAGAGAAAAAACCCGTCCGAGCGGAGAATGCAAATCGGCGCCGCAGCTGAAAAATGGACCTAAATGCATCGCTGGTGGTTATCGGCCGAGAATTGATGGCGGCCGCTTTCTCACATAGACCAGCATTTGCGATTCTGGCTCGTTTGTTGCATGTTGCGGTCGTATCGGTTTCCTGGCCTGTGTGCAAGAAAAACGACGTGCCCATTTTTTGGTCCTCCCCAGAAATTGACTTTCGGCGCGGAAGGGCCATTTTTCATTCGCGAAACCCCCTTGATAATATAGAAACATGGAATATAATAAATATTTCATCTCAACTTTTTAGAGCTAGATCAATTTCCAATTTCTTCCAAGCTACTGGACATGTGAGATAGCTTACTGTCACTGAGGTTTTATTTGCACCAAACGCCGCAATGGAGAATTGGAAATACATCACAAATTTTAATCAGAGAAAATCAACTGGAAAATAATTATTAATATTTCAATCATTTCTTTCATATTTGACCAATATTTATAAGAAGAGGTTTCCAATCAGATATCAAAAAGTAGTTTTAATGTTTAATCAAGCCCAACAAAGAAAGTTTATGATTATTCCTGAGCTCGATTTTTTTAAATTTTAAAAATTCGTACTTCCATAAATTTTACCTTAATTAATTTAGCAAAATCAAATCATCGATACGAGTTTTAGAGAGAGCGTAAGCAAAATATTTTTCCAGCCTTTCATTTCCTGATTCGAGTAATTAAATAACCACCACTGAATTTTCTCTTTATGTTATTTCAAAAGCTATCTTTTTGTTTAGCAAGATTTGTGTGACTTTGCTCTTGAGTAAATTTATAAAATGTTCCAGCCAAAGCTACAAGCATTTCAATGCGGAAAAGGGCAAAGGGCTTGAATATCGCGGAGCGTTGGCAGCTTTGAAGTCCATTAACACTGGATGCGACGGCAAACCCCTGTCGCTGGTTGAGGTAGGCAACGCGCATGCCGCCGCCGACGCGCGGGATGCCTATCTCGCTCGAGAGCAGGGGCTACGAAAGCACCCTCTCGCTTTTACGCCCCAACGAACAAATATGTGGCCAAGCTTTCGAGGACTTTGAATGGGAATTCTGGCAACAGTTATCTTCTTGTGATATGCGTGGCTGGGAAAAATGTGTGTGCGTCGCCGCCCACCACATTTGTGAGCTTTCTATTTTGATTTGTCTGATTGAAATAAAAAATCCTTCCAGACCCCGAGCGAAGATTTCCTTTCAGCGATAAATTACGTCAGCCAAATTGGAAGGCATAAAGTTTGAATCAGATTGAGTGCAAATCTGAGAGCTGGCTTTCCGCAGTGATTTTTTTCTAATAATTTAATTGTTTCTAGATTATTTCTTTTGTTTGTGAACCTTTTAATATTGAAAATGTAAATAAAATTGTTTGTTTACTAGTTGGAAGAAAAACCAAATTGATATTGACATAATTATAATACTCACCAAGGATAATGGGCAGCCACTCGTTGTAGGTGATGTGCTGCATCTGCGCAACTACAATTCGCCTCGCCTCTTGAAAGATGGCTTCGTCGCTCCACTTAGGGTGCATCTCTCCCAGAGCAGCCGCCAGCCGGTTGTGCTCTCGGAGCCACACCGTGTGCGTCACCGTTAGTTGCGGCTGCTCATTGACGCGACCGTCGCCAGCGCGGAAACACGACAACCCTCCACTACTGCACTCATTTCTGATCAACACAGTGAGATAAAAATTTAATAATTACTTAGAAATCGAAATTAAAATATTGTATACATAATATATAAATATGTATCAGATTGATTTAAAAAATTTATTTTAAATTTATTTTCTAGTGCTTTTCATCCTTCAATAACTATTTCTTTACATTAACCAAAGTACAGACCTGTTGTCAGGTAGGAGAAGGGTGGATCTTCGAGTCTGCTGGGCGCGAAGGAAACCACCTTGGAAAAGTCTCAGGGCATCTTGTTGATCCTGATTGGAACCGTAAACGTTTGATCCGTCAATGTAGCCCGTGATTTGGTTCATTTGCTCGCGAGGACCAAAGTTACACTGTGGTCTAGGTGCAGGAAGAGACCGGACAAATTCCATGCATTGCTCACCTAAATGATAAATTAAGGTTTAAAAGTCAATAAACTTATTTATTTAAACCTAAAGGGAAAGTTTTTTATAATTCCTTTAAGTCTTCAAAGAAATTGATTAAAAATAATAATTTATATCAATTTTAATTGTTTGTTTACTTACCCAGGGGTCCGAAAATAGGATCTTGCGTCGGCAAACCGATCGGGAAACAATCAGGGTGTCTTCGATCAATGTCATTGATCTTTCCATTGGTGCAACAAGCAATTCCACTTTGAGTTGGACCTATCAAAAATTAGGATTTTAATTATTATTATTATTATTATTTTTTTTTTTTAATAATTTAATGTAGGACTCTATACCTTTACTAATAGGGGTGTGCGTCAGGTCGTGATCCAAGAACTGACCCCACTGCATAACGAGCAGAGTGAGGCTGTCGTCAGGTGTGTCGGGAGCCCCTCCGGTTGTGAGTCGTTGGCTGACTTCGCGGGCCGTGGGCAGAGCAACTCCTGTGCGAGGAGAGTTGACTCCTAGGACCGGAAGTAAAAATTAAGAGGGAGGTCAAGCTAGGTGCAATAATTATCGTACCGTCTCCATATTTTGGTGGCAAGATGCGTTGCAGGGCAACGCCTCGGCGACCCCACCGGCCGTCGATCAGGTTGTTACAGGAGCCGTCGGCCGAACGGTACTTTCGGGAAGGGTCACACTTCACCTCTGGTGGGCACGTGTCACCGATGATGGTGTTCAGCAGGGAGAAGGCCGGAAGGGCGAATGTACCTTGTTCTGGAGTGAGCTGCAAACTGTGAAAAAAAAAATTAAATTTGAGCTTAAATATATCCAAATATTAAAGTGTTTTTATAATCCTATTAAATTCAGGATTACTTTTCCTACCGGCAAAGTTTTTTTCACCTTTGTAAAAAAAAAGGATAAAAATAATTACATTTTAATTTTATTTTTCATACTTTTTTGTCGAAGGGTATAAGTTTGCTTTTTAGAGTTTTTATGTTTTAACTTTTCTAGCAATTAATACAGTTAAATATATTTTCTTACTCCTGAATGAGAGAAATTGAAGCGTCCACTCCACTTTGCGCGTTTTCACCTTGCTTCAGGGTTGCGTTATCAGTTTGGAAGAACTCTTGGTGGCCGCTGGCTGGACTCTGCGGCGTCACAATGATGCCCATTGCAAAAAGTCGGGCCACAAACTCAAGACGAGCCTTCAATAAAAAATTTATTATGAGGCTGAACGTATTAAAGTTTTTTATTATTATTTACCCTGAGAGCATCAACACCCTTCTGGCCAGCGTTCTGCAGCTGCGCAGGACTGATCTGAGGAATTAAAATGTTCGGCGGGGAGGGTGCACGTAGGACTCCATTCTCATTCACTCCACCTTCAGCAAAAAGTTATCTAATTAATTATTGATAATAATTTTAAATCATCTATTTCATTTGTTAATTTCTCTTCTTCTTAATGTTATCAACATGAAATTGAATAAATAATTTTAATCAATTTTACACTATTTGGGTGAGCTACTTAAAAAAATTAATAAGAAAAGAAGAATAAAAATATATACATATTTTATTATTTATAATAAAAAAATTAATTTTTTAATATTAATTTTTTTAACTGCAGTTGATAACGTTAAAATTATTTTCTGACCTTCATCTCTTGGTGGAATCGGTTGATTTGCGTCTCTCGGGGGGCAGCAGACTCCAAATTGTCCCGGCGGCCCTAACGGACAGGGTTGTTTGCGCAGCTCGGGAATGTCAGCGTAAAAGACGGCGCACGCGACCAGAGGGGTGCAGCGTCCCGTTTCGCCACGCGTCGTCCGACACGCAGGGGCACCTGCTTGAAATTACGCGTCGGATTAGTGCGCGCCCGAATTTGCATCTAAAGTGCCTCGTCCGTAATTAAAGCAAAAGCGAGCTTTATCTTTATCGCTTTTCATTACGCGTCGAGGCCGACGACAGTGGCGCTGGAAAACGCCTTTTAATTTATTTTATACAACGCAAGCGGAAAAGCGGAAATGAATTAATCTACTGTCTCTTAACAGTCTTGTCAAGATAAAAAAACGGTAAAACTTAAAAAACAAAAATACATAACGTTTTTTTATGAACAAAAAAGTTTCAAAAAATTATTATTTGCGTTATTAAAACTGCCGGAAACTTAAAACTCGTGAAAAATGTTAAAATATCATTTTTTTTTTCAATATTTGACAAAAAACTATAAAAATTTAAAAATTCTATCTAATTTTTTGTTTCAATTTTTTTTTATTTGTTTGAAATATTTATTTTTAATTTTTAAATACTTTCCTTGTTGTAAAAAAATTAAGCATAAAATTTCAATTAAAAAGAGGGATTTGTTTTCTTTGTGTGGAAATTATTCTCATTCTCTTAAACTTAAAAAAAGAACAACATTTCATTTGGTTGCAAATAGAGCGTGACACAAATTGCTCACCGTCGTTGGGGCTGCTTTGTTGTGGTGGGTTTTGGTTCTGCGGTCGCTGCTGGGGGTTGAAATTGCTCTGCTGGGGGATGCCGGGTGCGGGCGGCCTGGCAGGAAAGGCTGTTTGCGGCCGCTGGAACTGACTGAAGCCCGACAGCGGCGGCTGTCCGATCGCTGCAGCTAAAGTGACTTGTGAACAAACTACGCGCCTAATTAAAGAGGAAACTGCTCACGGTTCGGCGGAGGAGGCCGTCGCGGGGGCTGCGGGGGCGGGAAAGCATTCGGACTTGTTTGTCTTCGCACGAAAGTAAAGGTCGAGGTTGGCGTTTGCTGCGGACAAATTTACTCTGATTATTTTTTCAAATTGTATCGACACCGAGAATAATAAATTATTGATGGTAATGTGACACACTGTAAAACTTTTGACTTTGATTCTTTCCGACTCAGTAGCGGTCGCGGCCACTCGCGCCTAAACTAATTTTCCAACTCTGTGGTCTGCTGTCCGATCCAATTTGGAAAGTCAGTGAAATCAATATGAAATTTGACAGTTGATAAAAGTGTAATGAGACCCATAGAATTAATATAATTAATCGAGATATAAAAATAAAGCGGTCTAGTAAAAATAAATTTTTTGCCTTAAGAGAGTGTGTTTTTTACTTTCTAGACAACCTCTTGCCATCCAAATTTTTAATTTTTATTATTATTCTATTGATTACTGAAACTAATTGCAGACTAAACGGCCTTATACCTTCTATAATTGGTACAGTAAGAAATCGTGCAAAATTGGAAAATATTATTTCTTGAATCACCTGAAAATCTAAATCTGAAATAATTTTAATATAAAAATTATTTATATTTAATATTTAAGCTCTTGCACAAAAGTTTTATCTTAAAAATAATAAATCACATGTCAAATCAAGTAATAATTATAATAATAAAAAATTAATAACATCGTAATGTTTTAGGTTTAAATTAAATTTTATCATTGTGATTTGAATTTAAAATCGGCTTTCCCTCGATGGGTTTTTGTGAGTTGTTTATTGTTTAAGAAAAACAATATCCTGCTCTGCATGTTTCGGCTGCAGGCTGCAGCCATAATTCATGAGCCGATTTTAAATTCAAATCACCATGAATCAACCCTCGATCGTGAAATTCCACCACAAAATTAAATTTTATCTTAATCTAATAATTCTTTTATAAAACGGTCGTGTGTTACCAATAAGAAGTTTTCTACCTTAAATCACCAATCCAATTGTTAATATTGAGAATGCTAAAGAGTATAGAAGGAAACGGATATTTGAAACAAAAATCATTTTCAACCAGGAAATTTTAAATGTTGAGCGATTTAATTTTAAAACAAGTTAAATTGAAGTAAGGAGAAGTTGAGAATTATTCGAATGAATGAAAAAGGAGAGAAGTAAGTGCAGAAAGAAAGAAAGAGACTGTGCGTAAAATTATCTTTCGGCACCTGCAAAACTCTCAATTGAAGGAGTCTTTGCAGTTCCTGGAACTGGAAAGAGTCCTCCTGCAAACGGAACAGCAGCTCGGCCTGCAGGTTGTCAAGCCTCTGGGCCTCGGCAGAACCCCTTGGTGCCAACTGCCGCTCCAGCTGCAAATTCTGCAAAAAATGTATTTCTCCATGAATCACTCGAGTTGAATTACGAGCGACAGTCAAACGCACACGCACACTCGCGCGTCTCATTATGTAAAAGGAATTTCTTCAACTCCCGCGGCACTTCAACATAACACAGCGCGCAGAACAAAGCGTTTTCGTTTTTTTGCCGCCTCAGATGCAAATTGTTCGAGTGTTGCGTTTTTGTTACACGCGCAGCCGGATGAGATTTAAAGCGATAGTTTAAAAGGCCGCGTGACTCGCGATTAATTTTTTTCTTTTATTATTCTCATTCAAGTTGTTGCTCCTTCTCAAAAGATCAAAAGGTCCGAGAAGTTTTATTCCACTTGCGCTTTTAGTCGGTAAATCAGAAGATCACACGGAAGATTAATGTTCAAATCATTCTTCTCTTCTGAAATCCAACTCTTACTTTCTAAGAAAAAGTCGAGAGAACTTTAATAAATTCTTACTGTCAGTTGAAAGAAAATAAATTGTCCCTAAAAATAATTTATTTTAATTATTTTATTTTAAAAAGCTGTTTTAATTCATCCTAAAATTCAAGCTTAATTAAGTTATTATATAAATGTTTTTTATTATTATATATATTTTTTTAAATCTCTGCTTACTTAGATTTAAAAAGTCATAATCATTTTTGCTCAAAAATTGAACTTTAATTTGATTTCATTTTATTTAAAATTTCTTTATTATTTTATACTTTGGTTCATTTTATTCCACATATATTTAATTTTTTTAGTTATTGCTTCTTTTAATATGCTTTAAAAAATTATCTTCAAATAATAATATTTTTATTTTTTCTAAATTTTTACAACTTATTTATTTAATTATTACTATAAAACACGTATAAAGATATCGTACAACATTGTTTATATTATTTCTGTAAAATGAATTTTAATTTTATATTTTCTGAATCATTTTTGATCATATTTTTTAGCTATAGAAATAATGCAACATAAAATCAAAATTTTATTCTGACCTGGAGTTGTGCTTGGACTTGCTGCTGGTCGATCTGCAATTGCTGCATGAGGAGCTGCTCATCGTACAGCTCGGTCCTGGCGAACACCTGCTGCTGCGGTTGCTGCTGGCCGCGCACCCTGAGCACCACAGCAAGCACCAACACCACCGACGCTCTCATGGCACTAGACTGCTTGCGATCGACCTGAGCGAAACCTACGTGACGGGCGGACGCCGCCAGTTAAACTGACTCACCAACCTTTGCATGATCCTGCAGATAGCGACGGAGGAGAAGGAGAATAAGCTGACGGACCCTGAGAACACTCCCATCCTCTCTTTACGCTCACTTTACTTTAAAGCAAATAATATTATATTAAAGAAGTGTTCAAACATTGCCATCAATCATTAATTCAATTATTTAATTATACTTTTAATTGAGAGGTGACGCTTTTTTTCTTTGAATATTTAAAATTTGAAAAATCCAAATTTTAATATTTAACAATTAATTTCATTTATTTTGTTTTTTATATCCTAAAATTTCGTTTGTTTATTTTTGACGAAAAGTTTAAGACGCTTTTCCATAGAAAGTTTCAGCTGAAAATGAAGTACAACTCAAGCTCTTCTCAAACCGACTATCTCTTTTACTTTCAACCCTCGTTCTGCCGATTGCCGCTCCCTCATCCCTTTAATTGCTCTCGCGGGCGCCCTGCTGCTTTTAACACTGCTCTATTTTTCCCCCGCTTCACCAGAAATCGGGGCAGGGATTTGGGACCCAGTTATTTTTCTTTCTAACCCCTCTCAACGTTTTGTTTGTGAAGCTCATTGAGATGAGGAAAAAGTCCACATAAGGAAAAAACGATTTTTTTTTTAAATCCAAAGGTTTTCAAATCATTGGTAAATAAAAAATAAAAATTGATATTGCGACTGATTGCGCGACACAAATTTTTAATTAGATTTGGACCTAATAAAAATTATTTATTGAAAACAATTTTTTCCGGATATTTGGTGAGAAAAATAAATTTCTGTATTATGGATTTCTAATAAATAATAATAACTTATTGAATGATTTTGATTGTTAATGTTGATGGTTGATTGAATGCGTTGATAAGAGTAGTGTTTGATAGGGTGATAAAGTAAAATTGATTGACAAAATATGTTATCAATCTCACATTATCGTATCAAAAGAGGCACACATGAAACAGTCGTGAAGTGAATTTGAGCAGACCAGCTCCCTTCAAATTTGAGTCATTGTTTATAAAATGAATTGGCTCGCATTTTTGCTCGTCGTTGCTGTAACTGCAACTCGCAACACTTCAGGTAAATGAGTGAAGGAAAATATAAAATTCAATATAAAATTTTAAATCCACAGCCAGAATTATATTGCCAAAAATTTCGGGTGGAACCGATCTTCCTCAAGGACAACTTCCATACATGGTAAAATTGATACAAAATTTAAAACCAACAAAATCGAAATTAAATAAACACAGGTGTCCATTCAATATGCCAATCCATTGAACAATAGTTCCAGAGAGCACATCTGCGGTGCAACAATAGTGAATGAAAATTGGGCTTTGACAGCAGCCGGTTGCATCATTGGGTAAAAAAGGCTTTTTTGACACATTAGTGATTATGAATCGCAGTCCATCTTTTATTGACACGCACGCTATTTTCTCTGGCTCTGTGGATTTGCAAACTGGCGGCCGAGAGCACCGGTTGACGCAGGCTGATGTGCACGAGAACTACTCATTTTTCCCACAAATCCAAAATGACATTGCCGTTATTAGGGTAAATTGAAAATAAAAAATTTAATTTAGCGTGTATTCTGAAACTGAGTGGAAACCCCCAAAATATTTTGATGCCAAAAAATTCACACCTCAAAATTTAAATATATTTAAATTATCATTTCCAAATTAGATTTCTCTTTGATAATTTTCAAAATTGAAACTGACTATGAAACTAGTTTACATTGAGGCATTATTATTATAATAAAAACAATATAAGAAATAAGATTCTGAAAGTTTAAAATAGTAAATTATTGAATAATAAAAGTTTTAAATTAATTCACCTAAAGGTCGACCCACCATTTGATTTCTCTCTACCGACGGAGGAAAGTCAAGTTCCTCTCCCTCCAGTTGGCTTTGATGCGCTAGAAGGGGCCACGGCATTTGTATTTGGTTGGGGACAACCCACGGTAAAATTAAATTATTCCTTATTTTTTTTTTATTGAATTAAATTCATATATAACAAATGCTTTTATCAATAATTAATTTTGAATTTAAATTAAATTCTAATTGTTTTCCTGTTGTCAGCCAAACTTGGCAAATATGCAGCTCCTACAGATTGCCGAAATCACAGTCATCTCTGACGAAACTTGCAGTGGCGTACAGAATAGCCCTGCCACTGAAATGTGCGCTGGCACTGCTGAAGGAAATACCGGCACTTGCTATGTTAGTGATGAATTTCTTTTTAAATTTTTTTTAAATTAATTTTTGTGACTACTACAGGGTGACAATGGTGGACCCTTGGTTGTGGACGCGGTTCAGGCGGGAATCGTGTCGTGGTCAGTGGCCTGCGGGACAACCCAACCGTCCGTGTTCACTCAGGTGTCCGCTTACTTGGACTGGATAAGTGAACACACGGCTAACTAGGTACCGGGAGATCTTTCCCGGTTTCAAGATACTTTATTCTTTAAAAAAAAATTGAATACCAGAATTGGCAAAAATTTATCAAAGCTTTTTTATTAATGGATAGTTATGTATATATATTGGATGTTGTTTGTTAAAAAAAAAATTAATATTAAGTGAAAGTCTAAAATCCATTTACTTTAAAAAAAATATTTCTCTAATTTTGGTCCCAATCCTGCTACTCTTTTCCATGAAAATTGAAAATAAAAATGAAACAAATTCAAGTACTGACCTACATAGACCATGTAGAGCCGTTTTTCTTCAATGAGGACATGCATGGAGAAAACATAAACGTCTCCTTAATTGACCAATTTTGAATTTAAATAATGCAAATTAGCGTTTCTTGGCTGCTCCAGCTTTTCAATGAGTGTTTTGTTGATTTGAGTTATATCTATTGTTTAAATTAATTATTGTCAGAAAAAATCATTTGCTGCGAGTTTAGAAAAAAATAACCCCACAAAGAAAATTTTCTCTTTGTTGCAGAGGCTACGCGAATCTAGACGAGTAAGACTTTCAATTAATACATTAGTCAATCTAGAGATATTGTGAGATCGACTTGTTCAAGATTATTGGAATTTAATGAAAAATATATTTTAAATGTAGAGCCTAGGCTATAGAAAATTTGGAAAATTTAGATTATATAACTGTGTGATATAATTCTTCATGACAATTTATATAACAGGTTAATTTTAGAACATTCTGTTTTACAACCAGATTCTTTCTCTTCTCAACATTCATTCGCATGTGGGTGCGACAATTGCCTCTGGATTGCCATTCAGCGGCGGCGCTTCCCAATTTGCCAAATTGAACCGTGCGTATGCGACACGGCAGGTCTGCAGGTTTTCCTTAGTTTGATGGTGATGAAATTCAAACTCTCGAGTGCGTACTAATCCCGGCCGAAATTTGATTCTCGCACCCTCACGCAACCTACACACCTTAATTTTGCACCTCCGACCGAGAATTACTTGACACTTTTCCGCCCACGTTGAAAATTCCCCGTCCTTATTTTTAATCGCGACGAAGCGAGTCTCAAATTAATGTCTTTCTGCAAATTTTCCCGTAACTTAATTAAATAGAATAATTGAAGCTATAAAAGGGATTCAAATTGCATCTCAGCGAGTCTTTTATTTTAAACTCTCCGACCTTTCCTTTCTTTCCTTTTGCCGATGCCGGATCTGCTGCAGTGCGCTCGGAAATCCCACTTGAACTTCGGTGTTACGCAAACGAGCTGACTAGTCTCGTACCGATTCATATCGGCGTCGAGTCAAGACGCCTCTGTAAAAGAACAATTTATTTTCGCCATTAGTTTTATCACGCGGCTCTCTGCAACTTTTCCTGCAAACGAACCAGGATCTCGATGAATCACTACAAGCCAGCAGCTGCAATTTCCTCTGTGATTGCTTTTGATTCAAACGAATTTGACGTAACTTGAATAAAATTGACTCTGGAAAATCAAAGATTGTACGTAATTTTGATAAATTGACTTTGAAGGTAAATAAAATTGAATTGCATAAAGATAACCCTAGACCTTGAATAGAAATAGACTTGAGCAGAAGTTTGTGTTAAACTTCTTGTGGAGAAAATTCGCTAAAAATTTTAAATAGTAAAAAAAATTTAAACTGCACTTAATTGTGTAAAATATAAAAATATTGTTAGTTTATATACATGCTCATATGACTTAAGTGAAATAATTATATAATATCTAAATGGAGAATAAATAAATAAATAAAATAAATAAATAAATTATGGGGGGGGGGGGGGACATTTTGCTGCACCGATTTGAAAAATAAAAACAATAATACTATGGCTGTTAGTCGTTCATCAAGATAATTATTTAAATGAATTAAATAGATATAATTTGAACTTCAGAAATGGAAATGTTCTTAAAAAATTAATCAAAAAGACTGAAATTCATTTTTTTTTTAAATAAATTTCAATAATAAAGTATTGAAGAATGACAAAAGATAAATTTTAGTTTGGGTCATGCAGAAAGATCCTAAAAATAAAATACGCACTATGCATTTTGGGTTCTTCGCCTTATGAAACTTAATCATTCCTAATGATGTAGCGCTTCTAAAACATTATATTTGTATTCATAATTTCCAATTTGTAAATTGCTTGCCATATTTCCCACACAGACCAATCAAGCCATAAATTAAATTATTATTTAAATAACTACTGATTGTTCAAAGAAGTGAAAGTGGATCAAGATGAGTTGTTAGCGTCCCTTTAATCTTTGATTGTATGTGTGCAGAATGAGGGCCCGATTAAAATCACAATAAGCGAGGACACCAACGCACGGTGTCAAATTATCAAACTGGGATGCATGTGTGACATAAGCGCTGACGACGTCAGCACCGATCGCGATTGCGGCGAGCGCGGCGCGCCCGTCCATTGTGTTGAGAGCAACAATAACATACTCATAAAGTCTTTCTGATCTCGCCGTACTAAAATGTACTACACCACAGCAGCCACCCTCCGCTGCTCTCTCGCGAATGCAAATTCCAGCCTAGAGCGGGCCCGAAAGACTGACGCGCCCGATTAATTAATCCGGATGAAAGTGAAAGCAGAGAGGAGGACCGGCCAGAGAAATTTAACACACACAATAAAAGCCCGCAATCGAATTTGCTCAGCGACCTCGAGCAAAATTGAGTTACAGCCGCAGCGAGAAACGGGATGAATAAAAATGTTATTCCACACATATTTTTTTTCCTTGATTTGAAATTAAGAGCACAGACGCATATATTGAAAAAAAATCCGTATGGACATGGACTAAACATGACGATTTTTCCTATTGTTATTAAAAATATGTGAATCACCTTCTAAATTGCAATTACACGTTACACAGTACAATAAAAAAGCATCATAAGTGGTTTCTGACCTTTCACTGACTGTTTATTAATGTCTGAATCTGCAACCAATAAATAGTCTCCTCGCTCCACACCAAGCTGTAAGTTGTTTTACGCCCATTGTCGTTTACAGTAAAACGGCAAATAAATAAAATAAATATTGCTTTCACTGAACAACTGCAAACGAGGAAAGTTTTTGCAATGTGGGTTTGATGCTTTTCTGATTTTGACTTTCGGCTTATAAAATAAATTGAGGGGTATCTTATTTGTATAAAAAGAAAACAGTTTCAGACTTTAATTAGAAAACTTTTCTTTCAAGAAGTCGTTGGAAACCTCTTGAATTAAAAAGTTTTCTTTCATTTTGTCACTCAATTTTTCTCTTCCCACACAATTACAAAAATCCCCCACTTTTCTGTTCAAACCCTTATTTTCTTCCCTTTGAAGGTTTAAAATTTTTGGGGTTTATTTTTCAATTACATCCAAGCAAAACGCTTGAGCAATTTTATAATTTATGAATTCACTAAATTTATTATGACTTCTTTACATAACATGTATTTAAAAAAAACTGTTTTTTTTACCGCATTAGCTCACTATTTTTCAGTAAAAATAAAATAATATAATAATAAAAGTAACATTACATGAAATCACCTAATTTGTGAATAAAAGTTTTTAACTTATTGTTAGTATCAAGGATCCCCCACATACATTTTTTGTTTTAAAATAGATAAAAAATTAAAGAAAATAGTAATTTATAAACACGTTTTAATCTTTTTCACTTTGTTTATTTAAAAAAAACTTGTGAAAGCTAAACAATTGAGTAACAATGTTATTTTTTTTTTTTTTTTTTAAATGAAGTATATTTATTTGAATGCAGTTACAAGTCCAGCCAACTCCAAACGGAGTTATCGGCCGGTGCTTATGTGACTGGAAAGCAAGACTTAAAAGCCAAGCAATCCAGTTCTAAACACATTGTTTTACATGCGAATTTTTACAAAGATAAAAATGTCAACTAAATATTATAGAAGTGACAAAAACCATTTTTTAATATGAAATTTAACAGAATTTTTTGAATCAAGATTTTTTAGATTTGGTGGTAAAGCATTCCACAGTCTGGGCAATTTATATTATTTATTCATTGTTAACAAAATTCAATTCTATTTATTTATATTTATTAAAAAAAATTTATGCACCATGAAATTGTTTCATCGCAAACACTCTTCTACCGCAATAATTCAAGTTATCAAAATTGTTACTGGGAGCTTTTACCTTACTTTCGTCGTTCGTCGATTTGGAAATAAAAATAGTTATCTTATTATGTCTTCAATAATTTCCTAGAGAGTCAAAACGAGAGTGATTAATGAGTCAGAAAAAAACTGGGAAGGCACAAGGCCGCTATTCTGACGTCTTGTCAGTTCTGCAAAACAAATATTAAAATTCTACGAATAATTAAAGAGTCAGAATTGTCACCTTGAGGATAAAAGTAAAAAGTCTTGTTCAGGCGTAAAAGACCCTCTCGCTTTCAGCCTCCCTTTTATCTTTGCAAATCGTATCAAGTTGCAGCACACAATGTGCTTCTCTTTTTTTTTGCACTGCGGTCCCTTTTTCCTTTTTATTCATTCTATCTCTCTAAAAAATCTCACCACGTATTGAAGAGCTCTCAAATTTGCTGTCTTTTTTTGCTCCACACTCGGCAAACAACACATCCACAAAAGCGCGCAGCAGCAAAACGCGAGTTGTTCCCCTCGGGCAGGAGACGAACCGACCTTGCTTGTTTGTTTGTGACCTCGCGAGGTCACGCGCGCTTCTTCCTCGTCGCAGTCGGGTCGCGCGGGCGCGCGCGCGAAAATCAATTTAGCGACGAGCGAAAAACGCGACAACGAGTTGTGCGGTTACGTGTTTAATTGTGATTGAAATTAACTCGCGCAACCGACCTTGGGTTTATTATTATTTTTTTTCCTTTACCTCATTGTTGTGCGCGAGGAAGCAGAAAAATTAAAAACGTTTGTGGCAGCAGAAACGTCTGGAGTGATTAGTTTTTCAATTTAATTGGACTCAGTGCAATTAATGACTCGCAGGTGTGCAACAGACAATACAATAAAAGTCATCCTTGGTCTCCTTTACAAATACGAAAGCACTTAAGATCTAAAAAAAAAAAATGCTTTGAAGTACTGAAAAATCTAATTTATCTATATCCCTCTCAAGGATTTTGCCTCATACATAGTATTATTTTTTTTTTTTAATCCTGTTCAATTGATGTTTAAGTTATTATTTTGCATATGAAATTTCCAAGATTTCAAAGATAATCGTTGTTGCAACAATGGGTGGATTATTTTTGTATGACACACATGAGCCGCGAGCGGTCGTGTCGTGCTTGAATCGGAGCACCCACAACTGAGCACGCGAGCCGCATTAGCAACCCAAATCGCTCTCTCGCGCCGAAAATTTGCATTTTCCTGCGAACCGCAGTGCTTCGTGAAATTATTGTAAAATTCGCTCGGAATTACCAAGAACGCATTACTTGAATTGCGTCATGCTTCAGGGACTGCGAGTCTTAAACCAACAGTGTATCTAGATTAATAATTTTGTAATTTTCATACATCTTAATGTTTTGTACAGTTTAGTAGAAATTTGCCCAAATTTGAAATGAATTTGTCAGGGTGAAAGCATTAATATTTAGATTAAAATTTTATCTATCGGTGACTAATTCCACAAGATAATGAAATAAATTAAAAATTTAAAAGTTTCATTAAATATTTCTAAGAATTAAAAACATTCCTTAATTTAATTTGTCATGGGAATGTCTACTATTTTATTTTTTTTTTTTAATATGATTTACATTTCAAATTTAATAAAAAAGTTGATATTTTAGAAAACTTGCAAGTTTCTTTCTTGTCTGTTACTCTTCCTAGCCCCTGGGCAAGGGATAAAAGAGTAAAAAAAGGTTCAAAAACCTCATTATCGCCATGAAAGTAACATTGCTAACACAAGCGCATCGAGTATTTGACTGAAATTGGCGGGTTTCAAGCAGTCTCGGCACGATTATGCGATTTCAGTCCCTCACGACCTGACTTCAGCCAGGAATGCAAAACGCCTTTAAGCCCTTTGATTTAAATTAACTTGCACTCGTGATTTAAGACTCTTGCCTAAAGAGAAAACACGACTGAATAAACTTGCCAAGATTTTATAGTGAGTTCTTACAGTGAAGAAGCACATGAAGGAAAGTATACAAATAGAAAGGCCCATTTTTGAGCAGCAATTAAGTTACATTTAAGAAGTTTGAGGAAAAATTAAAAAATTTCTATAAAAATAAAAAGTTTAATTTTTATCAAAAATGATTTTTTTTTTGTCCACTAACTTACAATTATTATCCTTCTTTTGCCAGTATCTGTGATGTTTGTGTTTCAATAGGTTGAAAATAAATCAAACACAACTATTTTTTTTTTACAAAACAGCGAACAAATGCGTCGAACCTGTTTTATTCGACTCGCACGTAAATTTCAAAGTGAAGAACAAACAGACGAGCGAATCTCATCTCACTCAGTTCGATTTGATTTTCCATATTAAGCTTAAAAATGCATCTTTGTTTGAGTGAGGGGGAACTTGGGGCACATAACTTCACATAGTACATCGTCCACCTTGATGCGTCTTTGGGGGACAACAGTTGTGGGGGATGGGGAGGGTAAGGGGGCTTTGGTTGCACCGTGAAAGGAAGGAACACTTGCATTGTCCTAAACTTACAAATTTCTCAGTTGGCGAGAGGGCACTTGTCTGGACCGACACCAGAACATTTCAATAATTTTTCCTCCGTGTTTAAAAAAAGTTGAAATGATAAAAAAAATTAAAACTGAAATGGTCGGTAAGACTATGGCGCCCATCGCAGAATTCTCACATCATTGGAGCAGTTGAGCGAGCACAGCCACAAAATCATCAATCGTCGTTCTTTAAACTTTTTATCTCCTCGAACTTTTTCTTCTTTTAACTATTTTTAATCAATTTCTTCAGGGGGTAGGGGGCGACTAGGGGGCAGAACTATCACAGGGGGCGAGCGCCGCGCGCAGCTCGGCCAGCGTGCGACGCAACGTCGCCGGCCACGCGTCCTCCTGCGCGCCGCCGCCGTTGGTCAGTCCGTTGTCGAGTCGCGACTTCTTGGCCTCGGAGGGCAGTGAGCCCGCCTCCACCGGGAGCGGCTCCTCGTCCTCGTTTGCCGCCTCCAGCCGCTCCTCAAGCAGCTGCACGGCTGGCGTGAGGCGCGACGCCGGCGGCGCAGCGTCCACGCGCGCCGCCAGGGTCAGGGCGCGCAGGTCGGCGTTTAGGGCGCCTGACTGTGCGCGAAGGTCCAGGGTCGCGGCCACGCTCACCAGCTCGTCCACCAGCTTTCCAATCAGCGCACGCGTCTGATCACTCACCACCTGCCGCTGCACCTGACGTTAATTGTTTTATGTGTTTTAGAAATAACATTAAAAATTTTAATCATTTTGACATTTTGAATGAAGAAAGTTTATTATCAACATTATAAATAAATGAAATAATCAGGATTGTGAAACAAAAGTTAAATTATCAAGTTTTCAAGTTTTTCTTCCACTTTTCCTAAAAATGGCATTTTAATAAAAGAAACCATTATTAAAAGAGGCCAAAATGTACTTTTTTTCTTTTCTTATCAATCTTTTATGAACATAAATTTTTGCAAAATTTTACACACGAAACATAACATGAAAATTTAATTTATAGTATTCATACCTTTGGCAGGAAGGCAGCGACAAAGTCGTAGACAGGTTGTCTGTTGAGGGCAAGTCGCTCGTCCAGCAGCACCGTCTCAACGTAACTGACAAGAAAGGCGTTTTCAGCAAGCATTTGTACTAGACGTCGCCTCTCATTCGGGGCTATTGTTGGACCCTTGTCGGCGAGCAGCTCGTTCCAGAGCCGCGGGAAAAGGTCAAGTTGCAAAGGGAGCCCTTCGAGACCAATGATGGCGCTCAGGTTGACCAGCGGCTCATTGGCCAGAGACGACCGCAGAGCCACGCGCACCATTGTGTCAATCAGTCGGTGGTACGGCTCATAGAACTCCACCAACGCTCGTTCCAAATCTTCGTCAGTGCCCTGAACGAATAAAAGAATATATAGTTTAAATCCTTAGATATAATACTTTTTAAGTATATCAAAATTTAAATTATAAAAAAAAATTCATTGATTTTTAATTATCTCATGTTTATTTAATTTTCGCATTACCTTCGTAAATTTTTATACTAAAAGAAATTAAAAATTTGATTATACCTTTGAAAGTGAGAGGTGCATGTGTGGGACGACCATCTGGACCATGGGCCGTTGGGGTCGGACGTTGATCTTGAATGTAGGTGGCACTTTGTGTCCTCTGCGGGGGAAATAGGGTCCCAGGGGCAACGCATTCCCTGCCTCCTGATAAGCGAGGTGGCAATGCGTCAGCAGGGGCACCAAAACGTGTAGTGTTTCCGCTGGTTGGAGGAGCAGCAACTCAGTCAGGGCGTCCACGGCAGCAGTGCGAAGCTCAGCAGGGTTGTATGTGTTAAGAAGGGTGGCAAGACGACGCGCCGCTTCACCACCAGCCTCCCGAACGCCACAAGGAGTTATTTCTTCGCCAGTTTCGCGAGCTCCTCGGACGGCCCGAAGTGTCTCTACCAACACTCCTAGAAGCTCGACTAGGTCGCCGCCAACGTGACACGCAGTCGCTTCGTGGTACATGACGTGCACAGCAGCCAGACCCTGCAAACAAAAATATAAAACCTAATTTTTAAAAGTTTTTTTTTTAATTCTCCCAAGTTTGTGGATAAAATTGAGTGATCCTATTTTTACGTAACCATGTAAATATTTTTACTATCAGATAAAGACTTACCTCAAGAAGGTTGGCAATGCCGCCCTGGTGAGCAAGGAAGAGTCGGTCTTCATCCGAGTCCAGTAGAATTCGTAACGCTGCCACCAATGTAGACCAGTTGCTGCGGCCTTCAATTGTCTGCAGGAATCATATTTTTATTTTTAATAAAAATTGTATAGTTTTAATTAATAAAAAATATCAAACATGTTTTTGTACTTTTATTTTGATTTTGATTTTTTTTTTGCTTACCTGCAAATATAGAGTTATGGTGCTTCTGCGGAAGGCAGCAATTTCCTGCAGCTCCTGTTCAGTCGAGTCAGGAAACTTTGCCACAAATAGCTGCATCAGCTTGAACAGCTCGTCAACAGCCTGTAATCAAATAGTAAGGTCAGCATTTTTACTCATGCTAAAGGACAAGTGTTTACATCTGGATAGTGTATGTGGTATGGTGTGATGTTCTTGAAGGCCCACTGGATGTTCTGGTGATTGGCCAGGTGGCGCGTGAACGTTCGCGATTGCTGGCAGCACAGTCTTAAAATTCCATAGTAGGGTGGTAGCATGTGCCGGTTGAACAGCAACAGCTCTTGATCATCATGATCAGCCCTGGTAAAAAAAAATTACGCATTAGTCAAACGGATCACAATAAATATTTTGAATTTGATGAAGTACTAAAATAAAAGAGAGCTATTATCCTTACAAGATGTAATTGAAGGCAATGTTCTTGACAACAGCAGCGTCATTAAGTATGAGGGCAATGTTCTCGGGACAGTCGGTGAGAACATGGTGCCAGAAGAGTAGCAGCGTCTGCTTATTGTGATTAATCGATATGGCCGGTTCAGAGAGTCTCGGATGGAAAATATGCCACAGATCCGAGAAGAAGGGCCCAAACTGCAGAAAAATCAATCAGCAAAAGATTAAGACCAAAGGACATAACCAACCATGAGTTTCTCAGTGCGTGACGTGGCAAAGTGGGTGAGCAGGGCGAAAAAGGCGCTCAGTTTGGTTGTGCCGTGTACAGCAGCATCGATGTATTGCCGAGCTGGCTTCAGCAGTCCCAGCAGTAGACCGTAAATTTTGTGTTGCACCTGTGTTGCCTCGGGGCTCATTGATGAGAACTCGCCACCAGCACCTCCTCCAGAGCTGCCTCCACAGCGGCCGCCACTTAGTACGTTGCGCGGGTGCCGATAAACCGTCTTGAAGTTGGCGTTCGGAACCAATGCCACTAGCAGATTGGCAGCAGCTACAAAATATACAAAAATTTTAATGGAGAATTATTTTGTTTATAAAATATACTTTTAACATTATAGAGAAAAACGCATTCAAAAGAATTTGATTGAATGTTTATAAAAATAAAAATTATGAATAATTAACTAATTCCTGAATTCTGTGAAGTTTCCTTTAAAAACATAAAAGCTTTAAAAAACTTACCTGTTCGGACACGCTGGTTATTGTGGGCAAGCAAATAGGGCTCAAGCCACTTGTCCAACGAGTCAAGCACCCAAGAAGCGGCCAGTTTATTCCGCGGCACTTGCACAGTGAGCCACTCAAGGCTGCTCTGTGGACAAAGCTCGGCTGCCTCCCATATGCGTGTTACGATCAGCTGCGAAAAACAGGGGAGACCTGCCGGACCTCCTGCTGGTCCTCCACCAGGGTCTGTCAACAAGGTGAGCAGCTTGAAGAAAGGTTGGCACGCTTGCCAACTCTTGGCTCCTTCTGAGCCAGCTGCCTTCTCAGCACTCGCCTCTGAATGTTTGGCCACGGCTGCAAACACCATTTGCACAACCTGGGCAGCAAGACGCTCGTTGTAACGGGTCAGGGCAAAGATCAGATTCCGGGTTGCTGTAAGGTTAATCGAGTCCTTTGTTTGCAGGTACAAAAATGGAAAGCCCTGAGTTGAAGAAATATGATATGATTAATTAAATATCTCTAATTGAATGGAAATAATTACTTTTCCTCCAGTGATGGCCGCTAGGTCAACTTGAGAAAGGTGCAAGCGGTGGTCGTCACCGCGAGACTTCTCCACCAAGGTGGCCACAAGGGTGATCATCTTCTCTAAAGAAGCTGGTTTGTACTTATCCGGGGGCATGGCCACCAGTTCGTCTTCATCCTCCTCCTCACTGACACTCACCATTTCACCCTGGGAAATGTATAAAATTAGGAAAGAACGGAATTGAAATTGTGAGTTTTACTGATGCATCTAGTGGCCCGACAAGAAAGAAGACAAAGCTGGCAATGGCATTGACTGAGATCAGGAACTGGCACTCCTCCTCGCCGAGTTTGCAGAAGTCATGCAGAAAGGAGAAGTACTCCGTCAGGTGCCTTATATGAATTTTTGCTGAAGGATCCAACTGTAATATTAAAAGTTTAAATATTATTTAATGTTCTATAAGCTCTTAACAAGAACAATAAAATTTTATTGTTATTTACCAAATTAAGCAAGGTGTTGACAAATTTTGTGACACAGGAAGTAGTCGGGTCGGTGCACTTTGCATAGAGGGACACATGATGAGGCCTCAGTTTAGAAACAATCTGCAGGCACAGCCGCTGGAATGTCTGGCGCACCATCTGGCTGGGACATTTGACAAAAAGTTCGAGCGGCCAGCGAGGGTCATCTGCCATGTGGCTAAGGAACCATTCGCCAGCAGCTCGAGAGGCGCTCAGCTGACGGCTCACTAAGTCCACCCACTGCACTAACATCGGCTAAGCAGAAAATAAAATGGTAACAATTATTTTCAGAACTGTTGAATAAAAAAACAACCTTCTCCTTTGCGTGAACAAACGTTTCAAGGAAGAAGGAGGTGGTGAGGCGAGCAAGCTGCTCATCGGCCACCGCACCAGCGGCCAAGCTCTGCGGCACATAGCTGCACATCTGCCACATGAAGCTGTTAAGAAATGGATAAAAAATATTAGTTCCTTGTAAAAATGAGAAAATTTTTAAATTAATAAAAAATGGCAACAACTGATCTGTTAATTCACTTACTTGAAGTAGGTATGCTCGAATATGTTTTTGTCTCGCAGGAAGTTCCTATTATCATTCCAGATCCACTCTTCTAGATCTTTACTTAAATCAAAGGACTTGTCTTCAGTGGCATCAGACTTTCCATCAACACGCTCGTAAAAGAGCATGTAGGCGCTGTTTGTCTTCTCAAAACTGAAGTCTAGGAACTTGTCTGTTACCGAATCGTAAGTCTTGCTCTGCAAAAATTTGGCTTGAGAGACTACAAATCAAAAGTTTGAAGCACATACAGTCATTTCGCCTCCAAAGCACTCTGTGGCCAACTGGCTCGAGTCAAACGGTTTCACCTCGGCGTCATTGAAGAGGAACCATTTGTCACTCGCACGAATGAACGAGTAGTAGTGACCACCGTCAGCTGTGCCCGTGTGTACTGTCACCCCTATGAGTTGGTACTCGTAGCCTTCTTCCTCATCATTCTCATCTTCCATATCACCCTCTTTCTTCAATTTTTCGTCTGTAAAAATATGAACATTAATATTAAGATTTTAAAAATGAGCTCAAATAAAATCTTGAAGTAATTTTAATTATTAGAAAATTAATCGTTGCTCTACCTTGGTGATGCTGTGGCATGAGATGTTTCTCAACATAGCCAGACATGTCCAGTCTGAGAGGGAAGGAGAAGTGCGTGTTGACCTTTTCCTTCAGCATGGTCAGCATATTGAAAGTGTAACGCATTGTGTTGAAACAAAGCACCTAACCAGAAGCAATAACCATTTGAAAGGGAACTTTGAATTTTCACCTTAAATTACCTTGGGCAGACGTTTGAAGCAGGCGCGTTTCTCAGCACGAACTTTCCGGCCGCATTGGGAACATGTGTACATGTTATCACCCTCGAGTGTGTCCTTCACAGTCACCTCGTCCAGACTCTCGTAAAGGTTGCGCATGTCTGCCACTTGGCACCGCACTGTATAAAACTCCTCCACATTCCGACTCACATGTTCACAGTCCTAAAATATTTTGATTGAAAATTTCTATATATTTTGACAATTTTAATAATTACAAGAGAAACGAAGTTGTTTGAGAGGACGCCGCAGAAGAGCCGTTTAACAAGACGTTTCAACTGGGGGGTCATTTCTTCGAGTTTCGAGACAAGGTCAATGAAGAACTCGGCCATATCCTTCTGCTCAGCCGTGTTGAGCGGTTGGTGGTGCATGTGGTAGACGCGGCAAAAGCTTCGAGGGTTGTAGGCTTTGCGCTCCGACTCAAGCAGGTAAGCAAACATTCGTTGCAGCTCCTCGAGAGCGGCCGCATGTTTGGCAGCCGCGTCAGGCTTAGCACTCAAGACGGCCGCTCTGGCCTCTCGCAGCATGTACACATGCTGCACACATGCGGCCATATAACAAGTGGCGCCCAAGTTGGCAAGTCCAACGAGGCCGCAGTCAGCGCGGCCATCCTCGTGGGGCCAGTAGTCCCATGGCATGCCCTCGGACGCAGTCTCAAGTGCTTCCCCCGAACGGGTCTGCTGTGCCAAAACCTTGGCGTGCAGACGAGCAAAGTTGCTCACAGATCGACGACACAGCTCTAGGAGAAGCTCGTAAGCAGCATTGCGAGCACCAATCTGTAAAATTTAAAAATGATTTAGAATTTTTCAGAGTATTTGTTTGGATTCTCATGACATCATAATATCTCGAACTTCATATTTAAAACATTTAATAAGGGTAAAAGAGGTTCCTTACCGATTTGCACTTCGGTAAATGTCTGTTTGCAGGATCTGGCAGGGCAAAGAGCATGTCAAAAGTGGCATCAAGTAGACAGAGACCGTCAGGCGACGTCTTAAAGGGTGGATCATGCTTCAGGATATTTGTGGCCAAATTCAGGAGTCCGACGAGTCCTTCATCTTCACGACGTCTTGCATCTAAATGCTCTCTAGACTCTAACGCACTTGCCACGGTAGCCGCCAGGGCTTCTAAATCTACGTCATGAGCCGCTTCGGTCAAACTGTCCAGCAAGTGGCACAACAACCAAAAGTAGTCCTTTGAAGATGCTCCGAAAGCCTCCTGCGACCAATCCCAAGCGTTCTAAGTAAAACAAGATGGAAGAATAGGATATTTTTAATTTTGATTCATCACTGGAAAATATATTATAAACTTTTGAAAAAAATTATATTTAATAAAATTAAGTATTCAGAGTATAAGAAATTTAAAAGAACATTCGAAAACAGTTGGATTACTTAGTTGCTTACTTTTTGTGAAATAAATTATTTATTTAATATTAATTTTTAATGACCTTTGACTCATCTGGGGGGTCTACTTGTGGCGGTGGAGCGATTCTTTGGGCAGCAGGCAATAAATGGAGTAAATGAGAGAGCAGTGGTGCGGCTAGTTCTGCTTCTGGACAGAGGCACATTCGACAGAGGGCGGCACACACCTCCCGTCTCACACAGGCCTCTGGATCGTCCAAAACCAGTCTGTGAAGCCATGATCGCAAGTCTGGAGAGGCCAGCAGTGCAGTTTTGGCTGCTGGGGCCGAGTGCACCCACGAAACGAGCAAGGCCATTGCAAAGTGCACCACTTGTGCACGACCCCAAAGGCCGCCTCCACCGCCGCCACCCCCACTACTTTGTTCTGCCGCTTCCAGCAAGATGCTTGTCAGTCGGGACATGGTTTCCTCAACCTGAAACATTTTATTCAAAATAATATTTAAGACAGAAATGGAATAAAAATAAAATTGGTATACATTAATAACAAAGATTAAATTTATTGAAGAGCAATTTGTTACTAACCGGCAAAAGGTCGAGGGTGTCCTTGTTGAGTCTATGAACAACTAGTCTATCAACGAGTCTGTGTTTGGCTGCTTTTCGGCCGTCTGGAGTTCCAGGTGGCCCTTCAGGTGCAACTCCAAGCAGACAAAGCAGTTTAAGCAGCTGCGCCAGGCAGTCCTGCTGCCACTCGCCGGCTCCTTGCAGCACCCCTGACGAGAAAATGCTAACCAAGTGGCGCAAACCACCTGCTCTAATAAAACGCTCACTCCACACTTCCCCTCCCGACTCTTCCTCCAGCTGAAATATCCAACAATTTGCATTAGAATATGTCTAAAAAAAAATTTAAATCGTTTTCTACCTTTTGTCTTTTTGTAGGTGGAGGATTGTTTTTACTGAGTGACTCAACTATATGTAGAGAATACATTAGCTTCTGAGGACTACCAGGATCAAGGAGACTTTCAAGAGACGCGCCAGTGGGTGCTCCAATTGCTTGCAACCCCTTGAGTAGTGTGGGACTGGTTGGCAGGAGTGTGAGAATCTCCCAAACTCTTCTAGACAAGACTTGAGCCTTCATATTCTGCAGAGAAAAATTGAAAATAATAACTAACAGACAAGATTTAATTTCTTATTAACTTACAGCATCTGGTGGTTGAAGTGCAGAAAGAGTGTGAAGAAGCTGAAATAGCTGATCAAAATAACGGGGCTGAAGGAGTAACAATGTAGGAAGCGAGTCTCTTGGTGGCGGAGGCAGAAGCGAGGCTGCCTCGTCCCTCTTTTTGTTGGGCCTTGCAGCCCCCATTGAAATAAATATGAGTTGGTTATCCTTAAAGCCCATTTCATGCAGAGTTTTCTCATCAAAATCAGTGTTTAGCTCCTGGCCCTGGGTGATGATGCGGATCGGTCCATCTGCGAGAAGCGAGCCCAACACAGGGGTGCTCTGTGGTGCAGCGGGCGCAAGGAGAGAGCGCGCCTGTAGCCCTTCGTACCAATGCGCCACCTCTGCACGCAGTTCAGCCACCAGGTCAGTCGTCTGCAACTCCAGAGTTGCCTTATCTGGCACTCCAGCAGGCTGCACCACAACCCGGAGAGCAGAACCTTCGCCCACATGGACCATGTGAGAAACCACTCCTTGCCCTTCTAAATACCACCGCCGAAGATGATAAGCGTACCTGAAGACAAGGGATAATTTATATAATTTTTGTTTCAAGATGTGAACAAAAAAATATTTACCTTCTCCTGAAAATCTCAAGATGTGTTCTAAGCAACAGGATTGCGCGTTGAATGTAAGTGAGACTGAGTTCCAGGTTGGCCGGCAACTCGGCAGTAGCCATCTGCAATTGCGCCATGCATTGCTCAACGAACTCGGCTTCTTGCTCTAGCTGCCGGCCCACATAGAAGCTATTCAAGTACTGAATTGCCGCCATGCTTACATCTGTGAATGGAGCAAATTTTGTTATAGAAAATAATGAGGAGCAAATTAATTTTTAGCCTCACCTGTGTTCTTGGCCTTGAGCGCTACCTTCCACAAATGTTGCATTCCTACGGCATCTACACCTCGGAGAGCAGTCGACTGAGCAAGGCGGGCAAGGTTGCAGAGCTGCTGGAAAAGCGACAGGCCAACCATGCTGATGCTTTCAGGCCTAACACTTGGCAGCTTTTGAAGGTACAAGTGTCGCAAAGCATCCAGAGAAAGGGCGTGCAACTCTGGAGGGCCATGACCGCCAGTACTGCGTGCTTGGCTTAGCAGCCAGGCGGCCAACTCGTCTGAACAACGACCCTCATCAGACAGACAATTCCACAAAATATCCACCTGAAAATACAAAATTAAACAGGTGAAAAATGGAAATGGAAAGAGATAATAGATATTAAAATTTTCTCTCCTAATATAAATCAATCCGCAATTTACTTTTTTCTAAATTGTTTAAAATTTTTCAAAAAATTTGATAACTTATATAATACCTGATCAAGGGTGAGCCTGAAGTTGTCAGGAGTGACAGGGGTGGCGTAAATGGAGGTTAGGAAGTTAAGTCGAACCTGCAGCTCAAGCTGGAGGGGAAAAAGGTTAGGATGCCGAGGACCATCACGCTTAAGTGCTTCTAAACTGGCAAAAAAATGGGACATCATTTGATGCTCATGCTCAGCCCACATTGAAGTTTGTTGAACTTCAGCACTGCCTGCTCTTCCACCTCCAGTTTGCAAGGACTGCAAAAGCTTTGGCAAGAGTCGAAGTGACACAACCACACACCTGGAAACAAATATTAAATAAAATTGAATAATTTAGATTATTTGACAAGCCTTCCAAGAATATGAAAAATTAATTAAATATTCCATTTTATTCATAATGACCTGTTTCTTTTGAGGTTTTCCAGGCAACCTTCAATGAACTTAAGCCGAATGTACTTGTCAGTGTTGTAACACAAAAGGTTTGCCAATGATTTTTCAGCCTCAAGGGCAAGTCCATCACCAAGCTGCTCAATAGTTTCGTCCTGCAAAAGGTCCCACAACAAAGTATTGCCTCTTGCACACACATCTTCAGCACGAAACTGCGCCGCAAACACAGCCGAAGTATCCAGCCGGTGCAGTGGTGGCTGGAAAAGCTGCTGCAGCAGCCGAGGACCGTCGGGGGCAGCAGAGGCGGCTAGCTGTGACAATTCTTCTTCTTCACATGCAGACTCCTCACCCTCAAAATCAGCCATGTTTTTCTCAGACTTGGTGCTCATTCGGGAAGAGTAGCTTCCCTCTTCTTCGTCATCATCCTCTTCTTCGGAACCAGCCGTTCCCGCTAAATCCACTCCAGGGCCTGCATCCGCACTCACCACTATTGCCTCAGCGCCCAGCATGCCTCGTAAACAACCACCGTTACTACTGCTCGCCTAAAAAATAATGAACGATTGGCATGAAAGGGAAGATTTAAAATGAATATTGAAAAACAGGTTAATTTGAATACAGTTTTGTTAAGTATATCATTAAAATCATACCTGCGAGCGTTCGTCATCGTCATCATCGACCATCATGAACTGAGCAACCATTTTATCATGCTGGTGGTGTTCGTCATCCTCAGAGTCTGGAGGACTAGGACGGGGCCTGAGAAGAGCAGGATGGCGCGAGGCAGGACGGCCACTGCTGGCTGCAGAGCTTTCAGAGGGCGGCCGCTTATCACTAGCTGTGCTGGCCGTTTTCCGGCCATCTTCCGACTCATCCTCTTCTTCATCCATACTGACACTGTTCTCTTCAGAAGAAGCCGAGTGTGGTCGTGTCGGAAGCGCCTTATTTAAATAATTGATTATAAAGAAAACATGATATATCAGGATTGAATACTTTAAGGAGAGCTTCGGAGCTACTTGAGCTCCAAATGAACTTAATTAGTGCAGCAGCCAAGAAGAGGCTCTGCTCAGTGTGCTCTTTGGGTTCTAATCGACATAGGAGGCGGTAGAGGTGCAGAACAGGTCGCGCCTCCAGATGTTTGATCAGCGGTGGCAGCAGGTCGTGCACTTGGCGAGCACAGTGTTTCTGCTGTGCTGCTGCCCACACTGTGTCCACATGCTCATTTGTCAACCGCCCCTCCATCGCCAGAAAGCTCAATACCAACTGGCTCTGCTTTATCACCTAAAAACCAAATTCAAATTAAAAAATATAATTGTTCTGTTAAATTATTTTCAATGTGTTTTCAAAACTTCACCACCATTTATGCTAATTACTAACAAACTAATTGAAAATTGGTTGAAAGTGTTGAAACCATTAAAAACTTAAGTCTTCATCTCTATCTCTAACCTCTACATGTAGATTTGGTCCAAAAATGTGGGCAACAACATCACGCTCGACGAGCCAGTCGGCGAGGGCACGTGCACAGTGATCCGCAGCAGCGTCGGCTCCGGCCAGCTCGGTGCAAAGATTCAAGTGAAGGTTGAGATGGGCAAGGCCAGCCAAACGCATGGTCAGGGTGGAGCTGCTGAAGTACTTAAAGGCCAACTCGAGACCATCTCGATCAAGCTGTGGCGGTGCAGAGGGAGGTGACGAAAGTGCCCAGACAAGCTCGGCAAGGGCTTTGGCCGGTGGCAGTCGGAGTTCACGGTCAGGGAGACGGCAGAGGAAACGGAGGACTCGTGACCGCAAGGGCACCAAAAGCTGAGCCACCGAACGGCCGTTCAGCCACTGCTTCACATTGCAAACTACGGCCACCACTGCCTGCGCCACGCCCACCTGCAGAATTGAGCAAAACAAATAAGTTTTGTAATAATTTTAAGGAATAAATTGAGCTTATTTTTACATACAAATAATTGAACAGATGAAAATTATTTATGCCCATCTGATTTACTAAAAATTTTAAGGTTGCTCACCTCCAATCGGACACCCTCTTCGAACAGTTCTGCGGCTGCAAAGAGTCCACCACTTTTGCAAAAGAGACAGACATAACGAAGCAGCCAGAGAGGAGCACCTTCAGCACCCATGGGTCCGTCGGCCAGTTCGCAGAACGAACTCAAAGTTGAAGCCTCCTGCTCGCACATTTCTTCCACCTTTAGAAAGAAAAATTATTGAAAAATAATAACCAATTTCAACTTAATTGTTAAGATCATAACTTTAATACAAGAACTATTCCATTTATATTAATATTAAAAGTTTCTAATTCAAGTTGATCAACTTTAATCAAATTTCAAAAATGAATATAGCAACACAGTGGAGAGCTAAGCTTTAACAGGGTCATCAACAGGATGCCCAGATCCAGAAGATGCAATGCAGACCTTAGGGTGTCCATGGTGCTTGTAGGCAAGATAGAGAGGAAAGTTGGGCGTGAACATCTTGGCAAGCAACCCCAGCAGCTGCAGTCGCCTCTCAAGATTCCATCCGTTAGGGGCTGCCTCAGGAGGGGTGGCAGCCATGCCCTCAGCCTTGAGGGCCTTGAGTTGCAGTACTGAGGCGCAGATGACGCTTTGCAGCACCAGGTTGAAGCGCTCAAAATTGGCAGCACGCAACACGCACACGCATTGTCTGCATAAATGAAAACCAAAATCATCCCAAAATAAATATAATATAAAATATAGATCTGGATGAAAATAATCAACTATAATTGATTTTGCTACTGGAGTTTTAGGTTACATTAAAAATTTCAATATTTTTTTAGGAAAAGGTTATAAAATGGATATTTTGACGTTGAAGAAGTTGGTGGAAACCTCTAGGAATTTTGAGTGAGAGCAAAGGTTTTGACGAAAAAAATTAAAAGGTGGTGTTAATCAGTATTTAAGTTTCGTGCGGAGCGGCGAAAGGACTTAGGGTGACCGGCAGGGTCGAACCTGCAGACGTACCTCTGTGGCCACGCGTGCACGAAGGCTGCGAGAACTTCGACCTGTCTCGGGGCCAGCACGGGCCTCTCGTTGGCGCCATTCAGTCGCACCTGCTGCTCGTCTGCAAACAAAGTCACGGTCAGGGTCAGGGTCAGGGTTGTGGTCGGCGCGAGCAACTACTCAAGGCCAAAATATAAATAATAAACAAAACTCACACGACTCGAGAAGCTGCAGCACGGCGCCGCAGTCTTCGCAGCACATGGTGGCGGTGGCGACACCGGTCGCGGCGCCGCACGCTCCAAATTCCGCCGGCGTCGGCGCGGCGCCGAATTCTCGACGAATCGCTCGCGCTCGCCGCGTCGGCCGATCACGGTTTCCACTTTAGCGATTCCAAGTTTTCGACTTCGTTTTCTGTCTCGCTCTTGTCTTCGTCTGTAATTCTCGCGGCCGCCGCTTTCGGCGCCAAAATCGACCCCATTGCCAAAATCATGGATTTGAAAAAGGACCGCCAAAACAGCACGAATGTTTGCAATTTTTTAACGGTTGGTAATGAAATGCTTAATCATTGCACAATAAATTTAAATATTATTTAAAAAAAAAACACACAAAGTTTTACAGTGAAATACTATTAAAAGATTTCTCATTATATTTGTTTGATCAAAATTTTTTTTACGGTGTTTTTTTTCTATTTCTTTTACTTCCGCAAGTTTTTTTTACCAACACAGTTTCCAATGATCTTGTGAACTTTCTTCTAATCTATTTTGATCACCTTCAATTTGAAAATTATATAATGGCAACAATGCATTTTTTACATTAAAATCTGCATTAAAATCAAATGCCAGTTTCATTACTGCTTCTTTTAAATATAGCGAATTATTAAAGACGTCAGTTTCAATAAAACATATATATTTCAAACAGAAAAAACGATAAAATGCATTCATAAATAACAAGAATGACATAGTTGTGACACAGTGATAGATTTAAAACAAAAAATAATACATTTTTGAAACAGCTAGCTGCCTCTGGAAGTATTTTTCTCGTCCTTTTCAATTTCAAGTTGCCATACTTAAGTCCGTGCATAAGTCAGCGAGGAATCATTAAAATCATTTGCGCAGTGACTGGTAGTAGTTGGCCAGGACGGCCCAGGCGCGCGGCGCCATAAAGCCGTCTGGTGGATTCTGTCCACTCCTTGCCAACCCTAAATAAGCACAATAATAATTTTTTTTTTTTTATTTTTTTTTGCTTAAATAAAACTAACCTCTCATTTTGGTCCCCGAGATGAACTCAAAGTCGGCCTTGCGACTTGGGTCAAAGAAGTCCATGGCTCGCTTGGTGGTGTTGTAAGCAGCAACTCGGAAGGGCAGAATCTCCAGACCAGGCAGTCCAGGGGCCATGGACAAAACGCGGCTTCCGTGAGTTGCATCGTAGAGGTCTCGAGACGGCGGGTCGGGGTGAGGCATACCAGCAGGGTCACGGCCAACAATGTAGAAATTAGCACCGGCATTCATTCGTGATTTTGCATGCCATTGGACCTTTAAAAATAAATTCCATCAGCACTTTTCAATTTACATATTTTTTAAAGCATACTTCAGTGGGTCCTGCGTACATCATAGGCGAGGGGAAGATGGCCAAGAGCGTCGAACTAGGGTCGAGCACGCCATCCTCAAGTACAGCTTGATGTTGTTGCATTCGAACGGCGAGTGGAACGTCATCTTCCTTAGTCCAGCCTCCAAGAGGATGCAAAAGCAACACTGGGCGTCGGAAGCCTCGTTCCTCGAGCAATCGTCGCCTTGTGTCCTATAATTGAATCTTGTATTATTTCTGTTTGCGTTTTTAAATTAGTAAGACAAACCTGCATCAGCAGAGCGTGTCCATTGTGAATTGGGTTGCGCAGCTGGAAAGCAAAAACTGCATCAGCACCCATCGCTTTGCATTTCTCACGGATCTCATTGGGCGTCAGACGGTAATCATCCAGTCCGTCATTCCACCTAATACGGTCCAGCACCTCAATTTCTCCGCCCACCAACCAGTCACCACTCTCGTGGATCATCTGAAGGAAAATGCACAAAAATCAGGCTGCGAAGTTAAGAATAAGATTATTTTAACCTTGACGTAGGGGTGTCCGAGGTTGTTGGTGCCAAATTGTCTACAGCATCGTTCTTCCTTACGATGGGTGTAGAATTGCGGTTTTCGCAGAATAGCCACCGGCTGAGACTGGTAGTGGAGGGAGATTGCCGAGCACCCCTCGAGACGCGTCTTGTCCTCGGTTGAAGCTGCCAACACGATGGGTACTGTATGGTTGGTCACCACTTTGGTGCCGTCAAGGAGACAGCCGAAGTGCTGGCATTGCAAAAACTGGTCTTCCGTCATGAAGCCTTTGAGCGGTGCAGCCCAACCTTCGGCTAGCACCTGAACCCATTGCAGATCGACGTCACCAATGGAAAGTGCGGGTAGCTCGAGGGCCTCTTGCTTTGATGAAGCCACCCGGTTCTCATCAACAAAAAGCTCTGGCACTCGCGAATCGGCTCCAATCAACGAACGTGGGATAATGCCCTGCGCAGAAGGTGAAAGTTAGAAAAATCAGGGTCAAGCGTACCTTATATTTTTATTTATTTGGGATATCTACATTCAAATCAGGTGAAATTTCCCTAATGACAAACCTAACAAAAACAACACTACGGTTTTATTAATATAAATTGTCAAAAATGACCCGAAAATATTTTAATGGAAAATACCCTTCATTCTCATCTGATAGGAGTATAACAAGATTTAAATTTTTCATATGATATCAACCTCAGCAGCTAATAGAGCATAAAGAAACTATAAGCTTTATATATAATGTATGATTTTTTCCTCAAATAAATGCCATTTCTTGGTAAAGTTTTCTCTTTTTTGTGGGGAAATAAAAAGCCAATAATAATAGGTTTTATCGCATTAATTCTTCCGCTCTTGTTGACGGTGGTGGTAAAATACCTACATGCTCGACAAGAAGGTCAACGACCTGCATCATGCTCTCATCAACGCTGCAGTCGACCGTCTTGACAACAAGATCAGGGCACTCAGGTTTTTCATATGCTTGGTCCAGTCCAGTGAAGCCTAAAAAAAACTTGTTAGTTTTTCCAACAAAAATAAGGATCGTCAAAAATGCAAACCTTTTATGTCGCCTTTGCGCGCCTTCTTGTACAAGCCTTTGACATCTCTCGTCTCGCATATGTTCAATGGGGTGTCGACGAACACCTCAAAGAAGGGCAGGTCACTGTCACGGTGCACTTTACGAGCCATTTCACGGTCCTACAAAAAAAGTTATTTAATTTAAAGAAATAAAACAATTTAAATTTTACTACAAACCTTGGAGAAGGGTGAAACGAAGCTGCAAAGGGCAACGACTCCGCTGTCCGCAAACAACTTGGCCACCTCAGCCACGCGTCTGATGTTCTCCTCTCGGTCCTCCTTGGAAAAACCAAGATTTTTGTTGAGTCCTGTGCGGATGTTGTCCCCGTCCAGTCCGTAAGCAGGCACTCCCCTAGCAACCAAGTACGACTCCAGCTCAAAGCTAATCGACGTCTTTCCCGCGCCAGACAAGCCTATTAAAACATAAATGTTTAAACTTCATCTAAAACTATATATTTTAAAGGAACCAACCTGTGAACCAGACGGTGCATCCTCGGAAGCCGCGTAAGTGTCCTAACACTTGACCTCGCTTGTCTCTGGACACATGGTGCTTCTGCTCGGTCACATTTGTTGCCACTTGCAACGCCTGGAAAATTTATTTTAAAATTTAGAATAAAATAGGAAGTGTCAGTTAGGTGTGATGTTTAAAGCAAAAGCGTGGAGGTTAAGGTATTAGAGAGGTTTGTTTGGAGTGCCGCCACCAAAAGCTTACCCAGGCTGAGGGTTGAGAGAAACAACCCCCGCCGAGAGAGATCAGACCTGAAGGTTGATGCATTCCCTGCGAACACCAAACAAGTGTTGGTTAGAGCAGGATTATTTATCAACATAATTAAATTTAAAAAAAAAACCATATTGACATGTTCAGTGAAAAAAATTGTATTTTACATGCAAAAAAATACATGCTTCATTGCAATAAGGAAATTAATGTGAAACCACGTGAGACTTGGTTGTTATTTTTATTCTCAAGAACAAAGTACCGTCACTTGATACCTTTCTTCCTTTTACATGCAATATAAATATATTTTCTCTATGGTATCAAAAATTGGCTTTCTATAATCCTTAATTCCATTAGAATAAAAATAACATTAAAAATCTCTAAATCTAATAATATTTTAAATTGAAATTAATTTGAATATTCCAGAATAATAAAAAAGGGAAAGCAACGTATTCACTAGATTTTTAGATGAATGGTAATTCATCTTACTTTCATTCACTCTTGTTTTTTTTTTTCAAATTATATATCCTAACAAAGTTTCTAAACATAACAACAGCAAAAACTCTACTTGTTGGTCGGGAAATTAATTGGAATCGAATTTGATTGACACCAGGACTAATGCAGAGTTAATTGCTTTTTGCGAGGACAGTGAGCGGCCTACTTGAGCGAATCGACAACTTCAGCCAATGGAGCGGAGTATGTTTTGTCGCACGCAGATATGAAAGAGAGAACAAGGTGCATTTACAGCAACACAGAGAGCACAAAGATGATCAAGAGAGAAATTTTGGTTTTCGAGGTCACGCTGCTGAGAGGAAACTTTCCCGAAAAAAGTATTTAATAAAAAAAAACTCGCTTTCGCTCTTTTGACGAATCAGTTCTACAGTAATTCCCAAAAAGGATTTTACACTTAAAAATATCACGGAAAACAATTATATATATTTTTTGCACAAGTTGTATTCGGCAGGAGGTCTGAATCCTGGTGAGACCAAAAAGCTTTTTGCGTTTCCTTTGCAAGCTCAAACCGCCTTTTTGGTGACAAACTTAAATCCCCGGTTTGAATATATTTTGCTTATCTAAACACGTTTTCCACGGTGCAATACTTTGATAATTTGTTATCAACTTCATGCGTGGAAATACAAATAATTCATGTTTGATTAGTGTCCTCGCAAAAGGATTCAAAAATATTTTTTATTAAAAAAATTATAATGCTTCGTTGCACATTAGGGTAAAAAGACCTTTTAGATAAGGTTTATTGTTGAGTTCATGGTAAATTAGGTAAATTAAATAGACATTTCCTAATGAAATGATCGGATGCATAAAATAAGATGGGAAAAGCAAAATAAATTATTCCTCTATTTCTATGAGTGTGTTTTAGTATGAACTTTATTATAAATAAATTTTTAATGTCACTTTGCTTCCAGCAATATTATAAAATTAATTAATTTCATGCCACTGATTCTCTTTTCTATAAACCGGTACATGAAGATATCAATCTATGCAAACGAAGAGAGGAAAACTAATGACATTAATGTTAGTGGGCTTTTGAGAATTATTGCAGGCTCATAAAAAGCTGCGTCATATGCTGTTTTCTCATTGGCAAAGGAGCAACAAGGATATATTTATTCAATTGAATGCATCGAGCAAGCGAAAAAATTTAACACGTGAGCAGCAGACGGGTTTGTTTGCTCAAGGGAACTGCTGTCTTTTAACAGCACAAGTTTCTTTATTTGCTTAAATGATATTTTTTAGCTGTAGAACTGTAGGTCAAAAGAGACGAAGAGGGAAAAAAATAATAATGAAAATAATTTTTATAATTACAAATAAAAATTAATTAATTAATGAAAAGCTGCCTTTTCCTATTTAAGATTGATTAATTATAATTATTAAATAGAGGTATATGTTTAGATAATAAGATTAATTAATAATTAAAAGACTTTCTTAAAATTATTATTCAGTAGTCTTATTTATAAATATTTTTTATAATGAAACCTTGAACCCGCTTGGACCTTTATAAATTAAATTTAATTAAATTTGGTTAAAAAAATATATCCAAAGATCATTAGAAATTCTTATTAAATTATAAATGAATTTTTACGTAAAGGTATGTATTTTATTCATGCTCTCATGCACACAAAAAGGTTAAAAAATGAAGCTCGTTGAATGTTTTAAAATAAATAAAACCCACCGTGCGTTGCTTTTTCGGCTCGTTATCTTGCGGCATGATATCGTATTCAATCTCAAGTCCGTCTCCTGGGGCTCGTCTTTTGACTCTCCGGTAGGGTCGCGGTCAGTGACCTCTTGTGACCCACTTTCAGCCCTCGTGTGTAAGGGTCAATTTTACAAGCTCGGCAATTTTTGCTCTCCTTCTAATTCCGAGTTGCACGGTACGTCAAATTCTCACTGCCGACGCCCGAAGACGAACTACCACGAACCACGACCACGGAGGCACAGTGCCGTCAGCACGTCAGCAGCAGATAAAAGACAATGTGGATGGGAGAACGATAGAGTGGGAGTATGTAAAGGAGGCGGTGGATGCCCGGTCGCTGCTATTGTATTTTTTTCTGACTGCTGAGGAGGGAGTCGGTGGTGCGCCGCCAAAAGACCTTGCGAGTGCAGTCTCGCGAAGCCCCTTGACCGTCCTCGAGGGTGCTGCGGCCGCCGAATTGACGGCAGAACACGGCCCCCTTTCGCAGGACTGCTGTCACCTCTTTTATTCTGCTGTTGTTTATTTTGCAAGTTCTTGGCAGGACTGGAAGGGGCGCCATGTTGGTACCACCGCGGGAATTTTGAATTTGATCCCGATCTGCCCCTATCCGAGTTGAGCTGCGTTCGAAATCGCAAACAAAGACAGGAGGTGCGGTTTTCAGGGTGATTTTGGGGTTGTTACTGAGGGCGGGATGGACAGCTCGAGCTTCACGTCGGGTGTGTCGAAGCAGGGAGTGGTGGAGCGGTCTCTTGGCAAAGGAAAATCTGAGGTCAGCTTGAGCGCCTTTGCCTTGCTCTTCTCCGAGGCCGTGCAGTACTGTCAAAGCAGGGTCTACACGGTACCTGAGCTACAGAAAAGGTTTCGTCTGAAAAATTTTAATTTTTACACTATATTATCATTAGATTACTTTCGTGTGTCCTCCAGGTTGCATGAAATGGGTGTCGATGTTGGAAGCCGAGTGGTCGACCTGTATTTTGTCAGGGACAAAAGCTGCAAGCGAGAGACAAAGCTGTTGAACATCCTTCTCTTCATTAAGACCACTGTTTGGAAGGTAAAAATTAATTTTATTGACAAACTCTACTGAAACTACTTTTAAAATCACCACAGAATTTATTTGGCAAAGAGGCTGACAAGTTGGAGCACGCAAACGATGACGAGAGGACATACTATATCATTGAGAAGACGGCCCTGGTGAATACTTTTGTGTCTGTGCCAAGGGACAAGAGCAGTTTGAACTGTGCCATCTTCACTGCTGGGATTGTTGAAGCCATTCTCACCTCTTGCAATTTTGTAATTCTAGCAGATTTTAAATCGCCACTTTTTTCTAATTAAGTGTAAATTTTCTACAGCCAGCAAAGGTGTCGGCTCATTGGCACCAGGGAACCACCTACATGATCAAATTTGAAGAGAGTGTCACCTCTAGGGACCAGCAGCTTGAGGAGAGATAAAGCTGAGTTGTCTTCTTGTAAATAATTCTTACAATTCCTCTTTATTGTTAAAATAAATTCATAAGTTTAGTTTTACGATTATTATTTTGAACTTATAGATAGTTCAATTTAATGATCACCTCATTTGAAGGCAATTTAGGATTTGTGCCTGCATTACATCGCCTGTAAATTTTGCATATTACTTATTACTTTATTTTTGCATTGATAAATGCTTTGTAGAATTAATAAAAAAAAAATATTTAAAACCCATTTTTAAAATTTTAAGAAACATAAGAAAATAACGCAGGTTTTAAAAAAATCTTTGAGAGCCTCAGACTGCACAGAAGTTTTAAAAAATGCATTGGATAAAATTGAGAAAAGATTTCATTTTCTAACAGCACAACCTCTCTCAAGGCAAGAGACTAGAATAACATCAATATCGTTACCCACGGCCTTCAACCCTCATAGCATTATGTAGTCACACAGTCTTTAGTTAACACCTCTATTCCAGAGTTATAATTTTGCTGTTGAGGTATATCGAGCTTCAAAGTTCATCTCGATTGCCATCTTTCTTGTTATCCTGGACATCACGGGCACATCGGAAGCCCAAATTTGCAGCCGAGCTGTCTGGTGTATTTTGACTCCGAGCGGCGCAGCGGAATCGATAACAATAGCTTTCGTGACAAAGGAAAGAGCCACCTTTTTTCACTTTGTCTTTTTGTGGCAAATCCTATAATTTTTTATTGAAAAAAATTTGTCTTTGATGAATAACTTGTGAACATACTCTATTTGGAAGACGCCACCAGTCTTCTGTCCATTCCCAGACATTGCCCAGCATGTTCTTCAGGCCGTACTTGTTCTCAGGAAAATGGTCCACGGGACAAGTGAATTCGAATCCATCCTCAGCTGAGTTTATGTCTGGGAAATCGCCTTGCCAGATGTTAATTCTATGAAATGAATTTTGTAAATTAAATTAACCATCATTACTTTATAATTGACAGTAAAAAATTGCACTACTTATCTGGAGTTTGATATTAGAAAAACATTTTAGTATACAAAAATCTCAGCTGTATCTACATTATTTTCTAACCTGTGCTTTCCATGTGGCATGGGGTTGTTCCCCCATGAAAACAGTCTGTCTCGAAGGCCAGCTCTGCAAGCGCGCTCCCACTCTGCTTCTGTGGGAAGTCGAAGACCCAGCCACTCACAAAAGGCCTTGGCGTCATTCCAGCTCACATGAACTACAGGATTCTCCATCTCTGATAATCCATAGAAAATTAATATTTGAACTAAAAATTTGGAATGTCATACGTTGAGATAGGCTGGAGTCAGGCCCAAATGGGTGACGCCAGTCAGCTCCTTTGATTGATAGCCACCATGGTGCAGCGGCCACGGCCGATGGATCCTGCGCCTTAATTAATTCTTTGCTTACCAAGCTTTCAAAAACAAAGGATGTCCCAAATTTTTCAGCCTGAAATACAATTGAATACTCTGAATATTTTTTTAAAACTTTTTGAATATTCTTAAAAAAAATCTATATTAAAAATAATATTTAGAATTGGAATTTTAAGACCAGGAAAGAAATTTTTTGCACACTTATTTTTTAAAGCTAATAAATGGTTTGTTTTGATTGAATTATTTTTCACTTTTGATGCGAAATTTTGCGGAGCAATTTTTACCTCGGTAACATAGCCAGTTTTCTGAACAAAGAGCTCAAATTCTTTGTTGCTGACTTCATGTTTTTGAAGATGGAAAGGTTTTAGTGTGACATTTCTGGCAGGACCTTCACCGTCGGCAGCAAATATTGGACGATCCGTACCCATTAGAAATTCTCCACCCGGAATGAGAATCAGAGGGTTTAGACCAATCGCTTCAAGAGTTCCACTGGACTGAGGTTCACTAGAGGGATTCTTATCAGCCGAGGAAAGGCTTAAAGGATCGCAAGTCGAAGAATCTCTACTGGTTGCTGAACCACAGCCACAAGACGAACCCGAGTCTGAATTACCCGCGCCGACAAGGCTGAATTGGAGCAAAAGCATTGCCATGGAAACCATGTTGTTTGACTGAAAACGGAGAGAATCAAGAATCACATTAAAACATTTTTTTTAAATACATATAGCATGAATATATAAAAACAGAGTTATTTAAAAAAATATTGTTTCAGTAAAAAATAAGGTTTAAAACGCTGCCTTCCAAAAATGCGCTCATAAATTTTTATAATTATCAGGCGTTTACCCGCATTATAATTGAATTGTCGTGTTATCTCTGTTGTCACAAAATATATTATGATAATTTTCTTTTTTGAAAACTTTGCAAAAATTATATTAATAACGATTAATAATGTGGAAGTTTTTTGTGAATATGTAATATAATATTAGTAGTTGCAAGTTGCAATTAAAACAAAATATTTACACGAATCATCATCCAGACTAATCTCTCTTACTATCGTTCCGAATATTGATGAGAGTAAAATAAATCATGTATCGTCATGTATGCGTGTTGTTGTTGTTGTTGTTGTTGTGGTTGTGGCTGGTTGTGGCTCTAGTTTGGCTCTAGTTTTAACAGGTGGTGTAAGTGGGCGAGTCCAAAAAGGGTGGAAGTAATGGAGTCTAACTTTTGTATGAAATAACTCATTTTCATTGGAGGAAAACTACTTTTTAGCTGTCAAAATCTGGCTCCCCTCTTTTGTACAGTACTTTGTCAAACTCTCGACGCCTCGACGCTCTCGACTTTGAAGAAGAGAAAGGAAAAGACCTAAATTGGACCTAAATTTGTTGCTTTTGTCGTTGCTTTTGTCCTCCGTTCTCGCTGAAGATAATTAGAGCGATAAAAGTGGATCGACCGGCCAGTGACTAATTTCTCTATTCCGCCTGATCGCAGCGCCCTCGCGGGTTTCACCTCTTGCACAAAGAGTGCAGTTAAAAAGTTCTTTTGGTTCTTTTACTGTTTGCCAAGCTGTCGTCTCTCGTCAACCCTTTCAACGCAATACGCCGACACCTGTTTTTGTTGGCCAGCTCCAGGATACCAGTATTTTCGGTCAACCAACTGCATTGTTCGTCCTTTTTAACAACAGGAAGCAACGATAAAGTAAATACATGAGTGATATGTAAACGTGATTTTACTAATAACATAGAATTCATTTTCATTTTAAAAGAGTATCTTAATTGACACACATATAATTATGTACTATTTTCCGCTATTTTCACTTTTACATAAAAATAGCAACTACATGTGAATGGAAAAAGGAAAGGACTTTTATGAGAATTGATATTAAGCATGTTAAATAATATTCTATTCAAATCAATACAATATTCGCGTAAAATAAATAGACCACTTATAAAAAAATATAAAATAAATATTAAAATCATAATATAATTTTTTTATGTTGTTATAAAGGTGTAGTGTTTTTGTTTCAGACTGCAATTAAAGGTCTAATCTCCTTGAAAAGTATGGGATCAATGAGCTGCAGAGAGAAATCGGCAACTCTGGCACCAAATGACGAGAATGATGAATTTGTTGAGGCGGTGGTCGCTGATTCGGCTGACCTTGCAGAAGGACAGTAAGTTTTCCTGTGTCCAACGCGTCCGGCCGGAATATAATTATTAAAATAACGTAACTATTTCCAGGATGAAGGAAGTCTCGATTGCTGAGGATGGCAAAGTTTTGGTGGCTCGACTGAAAGGAGGCGCTGTTACAGCCATTGGGGCTAAGTGCTCTCACTATGGTGCCCCGCTGGTCAAGGGCGCCATGGGTGACAACCGCGTTCGTTGCCCTTGGCATGGTGCCTGCTTCAACCTTACAACCGGTAACCATTAAGTTAATTTCATTTTAATTTTTAATTATTTCTCTGATAAGGTGATATCGAGGATTTTCCTGGTCTGGACGGAGTAGCTTGTCACGAGGCGCGCGAAGTTGGGGGCAAGATTATGGTTCGAGCTCGCAAATCGCAATTGCAGAGTCACAAACGCACATGCAATATGGTTGCCAGAGATGAGGCCAACACTCAGACGGCCCTCGTCATTGGTGGAGGTGGTTTTTCCCTTACTTTTATCTTCTTTAAGGGCCTATTACAGATAACGCCAATTAAGTAAAATAAACTACAGAGACACTTCTTTATCTATATCAAAACGTTTATAGCTTTTGGCTAGTTGAATATCCACTTAATAAAAAAAATGAAGTTCTCGTCACAAAGTCCATGCAACCAATTTTTAAAGCTCTGTTATTGTACATTGATTAACAAAATGATTTAATTACATTAGGTGCTGCTGGTGCCACATGTATTGAGTCTTTGCGTCAGAATGGTTTTACCGGCCGCATCATGTTACTGTGTGCTGAAAACTTCTTGCCTTATGACCGGCCTAAGCTAAGCAAAGCCCTTGACGCTGATCCTGCAAAAATTGCCCTGCGAGATGCCGAGTTCTACCAGAAAAATGGAATTGAGGTTCACTTGGGCGCTGAAGTCAATTCCATCGACCCTGGGAGAAAGTTAGTCTCCTTGGAACAGGGCGAGGAACTGAGCTACGATGGTATTGTGATTGCTACTGGATCTGAGTAATTTATTTCTAATTCAGTTGTTAGTGTTATATTAAACTAAAAATTTACAGAGCTCGTGGGGTGGATGGCATTGAAGGATGTGACCTGAAGAACATCTTCACCTTGCGGACAGTGCAGGACGCCAACGAGATCGCCACCGTAGCCAAGGGAAAGAAGGTCGTCATAATTGGAAACTCCTTTATCGGTTTGTTGAGCATTATGTATAGTTTGTATACACTTTCTTAAATGTTTAAAAATACCCTTCATTTCAACAGGGATGGAAGTTGCCGCCTACATGAAGGGCAAGGCACTAACTGTGACCATAGTGGGACGCTCTGCTGTACCTTTGGAACCGGTGCTAGGCTCAGAAATTGGCGCTGCCGTCCTTAAGCTTTTCACTGACAACGAGATTGTGCACCTAGGTGGCCGTTCCGTCTCATCATTTGTAGGATCTGAAGGTGCTGTCAGTGGCGTCAAACTGGATGATGGCCAAACTCTTGATGCTGAACTGGTTGTTGCTGGAATTGGTGCCACACCAAATTCAAAATTCCTGACTAGCAGCGGAGTTCGTCTGGACTCGCGCGGCTTTGTTGTTGTTGACCAGGTACACCTTTGTCAGAATTTTCTCCCCCAAAAATTCCAAGTATCATATTTTTATCTTCTTAAAAATCACAGAATCTGAGGACCAATTTGGATGGGGTGTTCGCAGCCGGTGATGTAACTGCTGCTCCCCTTTCTTTGAATGGCCGCGCTTTGCCAGAACCAGTTAACATTGGGCATTGGCAACTGTCACATTTCCATGGGAAAATTGCTGGACGTAATTTAGCCGCCTTATTGGCCGGACGTCCCCAAGAGTTCACTCCGTTGGACGCTGTGCCCTTCTTCTGGACCATGCTCTTTGGAAAAAGCATTCGATATGCTGGTAAATAAAAATAAAAACTTCATTTGCAAGCAGATATTGTGCAAATTTAAATTATTTTCTATAGGGTATGGCCATGGATTCGAAGAAATTCACATGGTGGGTGATCCCAGTGCGCTTCAGTTTGAGGCATATTACCTCAAAGGTGGAGAGGCGGTGGCAATTGCAACCCTTAACGCAGACCCTGTGGCTGCCCAGTTTGCTGAGCACTTAGCAGCCAAGCGACCGGCCCTGAGTAAGGAGCGCCTGCTTGCCGATCACACATACTGGCGCAAATAACCTGATTAAATCCGCCCGTCAACATCATCAGTTATTGACTTCATAACTCATTATATTTACAGACTACAAAAACCTCCTCCTTAGCACAAATTCGTAATATTACAGTATTTTCTCATCAAAAGCATCCCTCCATGTTTATATTTTTAGAAAGGTTTATTTATTGTTGGTTTTGTAATAATTTCTATTTCATAGTGTCTCAATACAATACACTGAGAATAATCACAAAAATTAGTTTATTTTAATACTGTCAAATGTCACAGATAAAAATTTAATTGAAGTATTATTTAGTTTTAAATATGAACAGATTGCCACACAATGTTTCTTAAAAGACATTGAAGAGAAAAATATTTAAGAGTTTCTTCCAGTCGCAGTTGTCTGATTTAAAAGAGCTAATATTTTAGTTTTGAGAGGGCAGCTTGCAGCTCCTCTCGATCTTCAGGTTTAATGCGGTGGCATAGCACAAGTATTTTGTTATGCAGACGGTAACGCCACTTCAAGTCTATGCCTGCCAAGGAACGCAGGCGCCGTTCAAACTGGGAGTACAGTAGCCACTTCACTTCTATAGTGCGGAGGGTCACAGCCTGCTTAGGTGCCACAATACATATGTGATCAGCCATCAAATCTAGAAGCCCCACTGACACTCGGAAGGTTCTACTACCCAAGCCAAAGTGCTTGATGCCTGCGACCAGCCTTGCTGCCTGAATGTATCCTAAAGCCGAGACTTTATTCATCATTGCACGCCGACTCATTGAGTGCAGCATCAGAGGCTGCACACGCACCACAGGGGGAGGTGACAGAACCTCCCAAAACATCCTGGAAAAATTAAAATCATGAATCATGAACATCAAAATTAAAAGCATAATTAGTTTGTAAATGTATAACACTTACAGTATATTTTCCCCACTCTCGTAAACTCTCCTTAAAGTTTTGTACACACTGCCTTCACAAAATTTCTTTGTGCTAGGATGCACCTCGAGCTCTCCGAAATCATAGAAGTTGCCATTAAATTCGGCTCCTGTGAGACTGAGTGTATTTATAAGGTTGTGCTGCACTTTATTTGTGTTCACCTTCCAACCATATTTCGGTGTATCTTCATTCAGCTTGGTTAGGAACCTATAAATGATAAAGAATTTTAGTATTTATTTTTAAATTTTATTTATGTAAATACCTGAGGGCAACATTTTTGTCTAGAGAAAGCAAAAGGAAATCATCGGAAAATGTCAGGAGGACAGTGTCCTCACGATAAAGGAATTCCGAGAGGTGCTCTTGGCAGAAATTAAGAAGAGCTAGATTGCAGAGGTGGTTGCTTATCTTCAGTCCTTGGGCAACTCCCATCTTCATCTCAAAGACTTTGCAACCATAACTAAATTTTTGCCCTTTCAACATCGAGTTTATTTTACTGTTGATTTCAAGGCACGAAATGTGCTAGTTAAATTATTTAAATAAAAATGTTCACATCAAATTAATAAAATCTTACAACTTCTCCTTCTTGTTTATCAAAGCACTTAAGCGTCTTGAAATTCTGCATGTCCAAGTTGTACAGTGTTTCTGGATGCGACTGCAAGCAAAAAATTTTGAATTAAAAACTTGTATATGAGCAATTTTTTTATTGTCCTAACAATAAGAGCTTTGAATTTCTTGGGCATAGTTGAGTTCCACTCTTCCAAAATCTCCATCAATTTTTCCTGGTTGATAGTGCTGTATGCATCTTTTAGGTCAGTCAGGACAAAGAAGACTGGCTGTTTACAATCCTCGTTAAACCTTGGTCCTTTGGAAACAAATTTCAGAAAAAGAAAGAAAAAACGAAAGAAATATTACTATTGTAAAAACGTGTAAATTTTTCCCATTGGTTGAAGAGGTTATCTGGATGAGGAGTGTGCATATTTAGGAGTGCCATACCATCCCTATCTGGGTCCGGAATTTCCATTTCAATCTTTCGTTTTTTATGTTCTAATACGTACATTTCGTAAATTTGAAAAACTGTATCCTTCATAGAAATTTAAATAATATTTAACATACCAATCCTGTAAAAAAAGATATATAATACTAAATTAATAATACTATTTTTAATATTAAAATCAATAAAAAAATATAAAAATGACAATAAATATAAATAACGCAAGGTCTAATACACAACTAAAAAAAAAGTAATAAATAAAAATTGTTAGTTAAACGATAATTGGAAAAAAACGTTACTACTAAAATTGTAAAAATTGAAGCTTAATGATGTTAAATTGGGAAATAGTTATTTTGATATAAAATAGATTTGAAAAAAACCTTCTTTTGTAGACCACAAAACGGTTTCCCTCTTCCTTTGGTATAAAACGAATCACTGGCAATGACTTTGCCTCTGCCTTGTCAGCTGCAACATATTTCAAAATTCCATCATCGACCAGTTTGTTAAGGGCTCTGTCTGAGCGGCTGTGCCAGGAGCTTTTAGTGAAGTAGCAGGTCTGCCTAGTAGTGTCGTGTTTTGTGCAGTAAAAGGCAGAGCGAACAAGTGCAGGCACTAACTTCGAGGCCGTCCACACAGCCAGTTTCAAGACTAACTCTTTCTTTACATTTCTTTTATGGATGCAGCCAAGCCACCCTTCCGAGAGCTCCTTCCCCAATCGAAGGTACTTCATTATTTCACCAACAGAGACAATAGGTTTTTCCTAAAAACGAACGATTTTTAATTATTATTATTTTTTGACGCACTAGAATCAGAATTATGTGTAAATTATTAACCTTTACAATATCCCTAGCAAGTTTCATAAGTTGCTTGTTATTGTTACCAATGAAGTTCTGAGGAAGAATTTTCAGCAATGCTGCTGATAAAAAGGTCAGCACGACCTTCTCAGGAACAGGGCCATCTTGTCTTTTTTTTGGTACTGTGATTTTGTTTCTTCGACAGGCCTCATCGACACCATGTCCCACGTTAAATTTCCTTTTTAATTTAAGCAATTGCAATCATATTGTTTTAAATTTTGTAAATTGTTAACCTCCAGTTTTTGATCAGAATGTCCAAGGTTTGGCGCATCTGTGTCTCAACATCTATAGCCTCTACACCGTGGAGTAGTTTGTAAACTTTGTCTTGAATAACGGAAGGCCGAAGTTTAGTTCTTTTGTTGGAAACGTAAAGCAGCGGGCGACGTAGGTCCACTGGCTGATATGCATAATATTCGTGATTCATGTTTTTCTTCCTTTTGTGAACTGAAAGTTTGAGTTAAAAGGTATGTTTTAATTATTTTTTACACGCTACAATTATACGTTATTATATTATGACTCACCTTAAAATGACATTAAATACGATTTATTTTTCTTGTATAAAACACTCAAAGCTATTGCCGGTGTTTTGCAAAATCTTATCATCCATCAAATTAAAAACATAATTTATCGGCAACGGCAGTTCCAGGGCAATTTGTGACCATAGAAGAAATATCTCAAAATATCTAGTTTGTTTTTGTTATTTGCAGCGCCAACAGCTGCAAATCATGCACCAATCAAAACAAAGATAGGGATAGGAAGGGGGCGTGGTAATATTTTCTGACCAGCTCCTGACTGTTGTTGCAACAACAACAATCCTGACTGCGATTTTGTAATTTGTATAACGTTTTTATTTAAAAAAAAGGAAAATTAATATTTTTTGACGTTTTGAGGGACAAGTTACTTTTGAAATAGTTAATGTGTTAGTCTGAAAAGGGGCCGTTTTTATTTGATGGAGAGTGAAGCGGAAGCTCTTCAAAAGAAGCACAACTTTTACTTGTGCAAACTTCGAGCCTTGGCAAAGCCTCTTTCACAGTAAGCTATTATTATTATTTTTATATTTTTTGACGTTTTTCATATTTTATTAACTTGAGCATTCAATTTTTGAAGGGAGATTAGACAGCGGATCAGTGATGAGTTGCTGGCGAGATTGGCCCATTCTTTGCTCAACGAAACTGTCTTTGCCATCGTCCACGGACTAATGGAAATCCAACATGTGACCGAGGCGCAACTTGAGCAGCAGCGTATGGCTGTAACTAAGCAGCTACGATGTATGCAGATAAATTTTGTTTGTGTGACATTTTAAATTTACAATTAAACGTGTAGTTGAGAAGGCAAAAGTGGTGCAGGAAAGTAAAGGTCAGGCCGACCGGCAGCTGAAAGTAAAAAATCTCGAGCAATCTCATTCAGAGGCTCTCCGCCAACAGGATATGAGCATCCTCAACCAGTTTGATCACAAAGTAAGCCCAAAGTATTTTTTCAGAAGTTCATTTTTTAAATCAGGTTGTCGCAGGTTGCCGATCAGCAATGCACCCTTGAGTTGGCTGGTGTCCCTGGTTTCTATGTGACCACCAACCCTGTCGACATCCAAGCGCAGATGCATTTACTTGACTTCATCCTGCAACTAAGTGTGCTAAAACCAGACTAACTTAATTGTTCAGGTTTTTAGATACAATAAGGATAAGACTGACTGTGAAATAAATTTAATTTCTAATTACGAGGAATTTTATTCAGACACTGATGGTCTTGAAGATGTTGAAGCCACTCAAGGCAGTACTGATGATCATGCCAGACACTTGCGGATGCCAGTGTAGCTCCTTAATGTCTTTCTGGCCTTGGTGGATAAACAAAAGTTGTGGCGGCAAGTGCTGAAACAAAAATAACAATTTTAGACCTTTTAAAAACTCATTTCTGGCCAAATTTTAAATGACCATTGTTTTATTTGCCAAAAGTGCTGATAAGAAATGATATTTTTTGTTCCAAAAAACGTTAAGAGCCCTAAAATCTGATATCCGAGCATTAGCTATATTTCAGTACATTTTATTTAAAGTTTTAACTTTAAATGTGTAAATTCTCATTTTAAGCTGATTTCAATTTGCAATATTTTGAAAATGGCTTTACCGCCGTTTCCTCCTCTGGCCCATCACGCTCGACTGCAAGATCCCAAATAGCAATTTGGTCATCAGCACCACCTGAAGCAAAGACGGAACCTTCGCTAGGGTGCCACTCTACTGTGGTGACTGGCGCCGAGTGGTGCTTGAAAGTAGCCACCGCCTCCTACCAAAGAAGAATTATGTTCATGAGCAATTGAAAAAAAGACCTTAAAACTTAAGCAACCTTGAGCTGCCGGAGGTCCCAAACTTTGACCTTGCCATCGTCACCACCAGATACAATCATGGCCTCATTACGGTTCCAGTTGATTACGTTGACGTCTCCATCATGAGCTTTTGTTACCGTCAGCTTACATGCTTTCGATGGCGCTGCTCGAGTGTCCCAAATTTTGATGCTGAGAAAAGTTGAATCAACAAATTACATGCCAATTAAGATATTCAGAAAGAAAAAAAAAACTGAATATTTAAAAATGAATTAAAATATTTTTTATCAATACCTGCAATCAACAGAGCAGGAGGCAAGGACATTTCTCTCACTGGGCGACCATTGCACATCTTCAACGGACTTCTCATGTCCGGTCAGTGGCCGTTGGTCTACGATCCAGCCTGTTGCGTTTTCCTTAGGAGTCCAAATGTGAATGTTTTTCGCACAGTCCCCTGTCGCAAGCATGCCTTTGGTTGTTTGGCACCAGTCCATGGCAAACCCTTCTGTCTGGTGGCCCGAGAAAGTGTAGATTGGCTTTGGCTGGTCTTTGAGACCAATCCGCTCTGTCAGTACTGGGTCTTGAGGTCCCAGAGCCTCCAGTTTACGCAGCGATCCCGTCATGTCCCACACATGCACCTGACCAAGCTCAGACCACGTCGCAGCTACCACTTTGTCCCCAAGCCACGCACTCTTAAAAAGTAAAATTTTGGACAGATAAAATAAATTATATTTTAAAAAAAAGTACAAATGAAAAAATTATAATTTGCTTTTTTTCCTCTTAAACCTTACCCTGACTCTATTAATGCAGCCCTTGTGAGGCATCATTGTGCAATCCAGTCTAGGAAGCTCGTCAGCCTCAGCTTCAGAATCTGAATCCGAGTCTTCGTCATCATCGTCGGATTTTTCCTTCTTTTCCTCTTTTAGTGTTTTCCTCAAATTCGACATCTAAAATTATATAAAAATAAATTCCAAAGTTTGATAACAATTCAAAGAATTGAACCTTGATGGAGATCAGGTGGTTGGCATTCTTGCGCTCGCCTTGAGTACCAGCGACAAGGTAGCTGGTCAGAGGGAAAGGTCGATCGGCGCCTAGACTGTCTGACACTATATCAAAGCTCAGACATGGTGAGCCTGGAAGTGTCTTTAGTAAATTAATTTACTCAAATTAATTTTAATAACAATTTACCTGTTTTAGCCTGATGTAGGAAAACATAGGCCGTCTCGTCGCACTCGAGTTCTTCGTCCGACTGCATCGGCTGTCCTGGCAGATAAACCTTCCGCTTGGCTGCAGGCACTTCTTCCTCCTGCACATTTTCATCCTCCTCTTCTTCGTCTCCCGCCATTTCCACCTCATTACTATCCATCGGCGTGTCTCCTTCCACGTCCATTCTGTCCGAATAAACTGAAGAACCTCGAGTCAGTCGGACACACACGGCACACGTGCCTTTGTTTTCGAAAATTCTTTAACTCTCATATTGCACCATGGATGGCAGCACAGAGCCAGTAGAATAATTGAAACAACCGGTAACCGGTATGTATCATCCAATGCAAAATGTATAGTACTCTCACCTTCAGAAAACAGATAATCGGTATTTTTTATAATTTAACCAAAAGTACCGAAACTGTCGACGCGAGTTCCGCCGCTGAGATATGTCGAACCGAACCATGTGCTTGGCTTTTCGGCCAAAATTAAACCTCGATCGGTCGTTTCGACCGCCGTCTGCAACCGAAAAAAATATTTTCAAACGTTATGGGTGAAGTGAGAGTAAAATGAAGCTGAATTAATTGTTGGAAAGTATCTAAATACGCCGCCGACTGTGTCACGTTGCCTGTTTCAGGGGGCGAGGTCGATAAAATGGAAAGGAATTAGGTAATATATATTTGTCGAATTTCCGTTCAATTTATCAACTTATTTAATTTATTTTAATTCATTGATGCTTGTGTTCTGCTATTTCACCGAGTGAATACATCATTTTGAGATTTTCTCATGACTCAATTACTCCGTCATCTGTTGCAGATGCCGAAGTTGTATGGCGCGTTTGGAAAGCCTGCAGTCTGCGCTCTTGTCACGAATAATTACGCGGAAAGTGTTCAAAACGTGAGTGTTAATTGAATCTTTCAAATCGTTAGTATTAAATGCATTAAATGGTTGAATAATTTTAATTTAATTCCGGGTTTAATTAATTATCTTTTTCTCATTTTTCAAAATTACCAAAATTAATTACATCTTTCTTCTGTTTACTACAAATTTTCTAATCCCTATTGAGTGGTTTGCTTAAACTGCATACATGCTTTACTTTGGTAGAATTAGAATTCGCAAAGGTCTTGGAATTTCTTTATTCCTCCTGTTATATTTTTTATGGAGCATGGAGCGCAAAGAAATGAAACTTCATTCTTGTTTGGTTTTTTAGTTGTTTTTTTTCTTATAAACTTTTTATTTGCTTTTGTTTATTTGTCACTGGCTAACAAGATAAGTGAGATGTGCACGAGCACACACGAGTGTTTCATTATATTCAATTTAAGTTCAACTATTTTAGTTTAAATAGTCAGGTTAAAACCGTCGACACGAGTAACGAGAATATCGCCGCCCTCCGTGTATGTAATATGTACACCATCGGTATATTTACAATAATAACCATACGCGCGTTTATTATTTACACTCATTAAATTATTCATTTCGCACTAAGTGAACACACTAAATACGAATACCAGATTCCGTCCGGCAATTATTTGCTCGACTCCCCCCCCCCTGGCCCGACGGCGAGAACATTAATAACAACTGACCACACGAGACGATTTATATTTATCCGAAAGGCCGCTTAAAACTAAGCATAATAAACTCTTAATTGATCAATTAATTGATTGATTGATTAATTAATAAAAATCCGAATAAATTACGCTGACTGAACAAAATCGTAAAGCTGGAGACCAACACGGACTAATTATTAGACCAACATTAGTCTGCGCAGAGAGAGTTCCTTTGGAGTTATAGAGATGCAGTTAGTCGCTGCGTCTGCTGCAATTGATTATACGTCTTCTTCTTTTGTGTTGTGCACTCGGCATTGTTATAATTATCACAACTGGGTGCTTCGCGTCTTCTTTTAATAACTCGGTTAAAGCTTGGTTCGTGGTGGCGGACAAGAGAAACGATGGATGAACTCGAACTGCGGCAGCGTTCGCGCGCCCACCTCAGCACTTGCGGTTGTTGTTGGCACCAGAGTGACGCATCTGGTGGTCGCAGCGACGCGGACGCTTGTTGCGCGCCGAGCCGACGTCGCGCGCCTTGTTGTTGCGATCCAGGGCGGCACGACGCATCTGCTGCGCACCCACTTTCTGCTGCACCTGAAAATTAGAAAGTTTTACTTTGGCTCATTCAAATACGCAATTCTTATAATAGTCATTTTGACCCCGGGAATGAACTCGATAAATTGCAAAACATGAGAATTGATATCTGACAATGACGGTTTTATAAGTGGACAATTTTTATCTTTCTCAGGGTATGCAGAGTCGTTCATATTGTTATGCTTTTTTTATGATAAAATAATTCCTTAGCACCGGTTCGTTGTGCTAAATGAATTTCCAAAACATAGAATTAAAATTTATAATTGTTTAATAGTTGCATTATTTGTTACCCTGAAACTCTTTCAGGGCGTAGGGGCAACTTTTAAAGCAAAGATTTAAGAACCTTCAACAGCGTAATTGTTCTATTAATTTCATAATATATTTATCGTTTATTTGTTCACTGCTCTTTTATTTAATTTGTGAAATGCCCACTCTTCTGAGGGTGCAAATCGATCTTAAATTTTTGTGGTGCTCAATTAATTTGAAAGTCAATGAGTTAGGATTTAAACTTTTAACTCAAATTGGTCTTAAATATCTTGCTTGGGAAACAAAACTACCTTTTGAGCAGCCTGGACAGCGGCATTCTGCTGCTGATGCTGCTTAGCCAGGGTGATGCAGAGGGGTCTCGGGGGGCGAGGGTTGACCGCGGTCAGGGGTTGGCGGGCGCGACGTCCCCTGGGGGGTGGGGAGAGCGACGCCGATCGCTGCTGGAGCGGGGCAGCAGCGATCGAGTGGTGAGGTCGGTGGTAGACGGACATGCTGGGGTGCTCGATGAGCAGGTTCTCGAGGGGCGAAGTCTCGAGTTCGACCGGGCCCTGAGAGTTGAAGCACGGCGGTGGCGTCACAAACCACGACTCCTCGAGTGCAGACACCGAGTGCGAGCGTGACCGCGGTGCCACCGCCATGGAGGCGAGCAGCGCCCCTCGTTGCAGCTGCGCCGCCTCCACCAGCAGCCAGTCGCCATCCTCGGCCTCCAGCACGCTCAGCTCAGCCTCGCCAGGGCAGCAGTCTTCCTCCTCATGCTCCGCGGAGGTCGCCGTGGCGCCCAGCAACAAGTTGGCCAGGTTCGTGAACATCTGTGAATGGGGGAAAAAAATTAGTCACTTGTCTATTTATCTTCATGAATAAATTATCTCCAGAGCTGGGCAACCCTGTCCTGGAGGGGGTTAAAAATCGACCTTTTTTGATTGAACGAATACTCAGGTTTAAATTTAAATTGATTGGTTTTTCTTTGGAAACCATTTTCATATTCAATACCATTGGCATGTAATTTGCGGTTAGTTTCTTCACTCAGGGTCTGTTAAGGCCATCTCAGGGTATATGTTTTGCAGTTAATTTAAATGTGATTGGAAATTTTCTTAACAATTTCAACACCTCATTACAGATCTCGGCTCTATATATTTTGTAATATTCTTCCATTGAATAGATCAGGGTTTTTTCAAGTACACGCTTGTACTTTTGTTCTTTTAAGTCTTTCGTCTTCTGAGCACGATTTCCGCCTTTGAAATATTTAATAAAAAATTACTCTAAGCTCAATCCGTGCGATTGAAATGCTAAACGGCTATTTATAATGACTCTCAGCTCTTCCTTTAGCCCCTCGCAATCGGAATGCGTTGCCGTAAACGGATCGGCCCAGCACTGTGCAAACCGTGAGTTATCCAATCAACAGTGCCATTTCGCGAGTCGGCAGTGACAAGCAAATAAAAACTGTAAACTATTTTGACGCGCGCGTGCGATTTTGCAAAACAGAGAGTCGAAGGCAAGACCCAAAGATGCACCTAGATAGTGACACACATTTAGGACGCGCGTGCGTGGAGGATCAGCTGGCGAAACGAGTGTTTATTTCCTTCTGTTCTTGCGAGTGCACTTGGCCGCAGATTTCGAATCTAATTTTGGACCGAATGCCATTCTGCCAAATTGTGATTTCGTTTTCTCCGTAGACGCTTCATTGCTAAATTGTCAAGCAGCTCGGCAGTTTTTATAACATATTTAAGTCATTCTTGTTACATAACAAGACCTTTTGCAACATTTGATCATAAGTTTGCAAATATAAACGTGCTTTACATAAAAATTAAATTGAATAATAAACATGTTATAGAAGAAGCATTTATAATTTTTCCGTAACTTTGGAGAATTTCATTGCTAGGATTTAAATTATAAGTTTTCAGCGGAAAAAAAAAAATACTTTTTGTGAGCTTGGCCACGCAATTGTCGGTCGTCAACCCGCGCGAGCAAACAAAGTCCCGTCGGTCGGTGTGCAGTTGCACAATTTGATCCGCTTTGCTGGTTTTTCTTCTTTTTCTCGAAACGCCACAACAAACGCCAAACCGTTTCCACCCCTTTTCCTCGGCCACCAGCGCCCCATTGCTTTGTGTATTTTATCGCTGATCGCTGACACACCAAATTCAATAAATTGTAAATTCCTTCTCGGCCTGGCCGTGCGCCAAACTTAAGAATAGTCTCGGCCAGCGCAAGATTTTTACTCTTGCACCTTGAAAACAAAGCGTTCAAAGTTTAGAAAAATTTTCCTTTCTCGCTTGTCCAAAGTGCACTTGACTTTCGGCTGCTTTTTGGCTAATTTTAGAGAGCTCGCTTCTGACGTCACCACGTAAGGGTCTTACGAGTGACCGAGTGTTTATTTCGATCAACCCGCCACACGCGATCCTTTCTTCCGCACTCACGACCTGAAATTCGCGTAAAAGCAAATCACGTAAGCGGCCTTCCCAATCCATTCGCTGCCTAGAGGCAGAGACGAATATTTTCTTAGCAACTTCCAATAAACTCAACTTAATTTTATTGTGAGTTAGCATTGGTTTTCTCGAGTTATAAATTTTTAAGTTCTTGCAAATCTATAAGAAGTTTTTAATGGTACCTGGTAAATGAATCCTAAACTTGGTCGATGTGGCCTGTACTAGTTTCACATAAGTCTAAAGTATCAATTGAAAATTCAAAATTTCAAAAAAATAGAAACTTTTCTAGCGAATCTAACAAACAGTCCAAGCTCCAATCAATTCGAGTGCAAAATGATAAAATGCGCGTCTGTTACGAGAAAGCGCGCAATTCGGTTGAGACGCTCCGAGTGCGTGTAGTTGTGTGTGCTGTCCTGCCGTTTTCGCAAAGAATTAAAAAGTGCGCAGTCTATTGGTGACGCGCGTCGTCGCGAGACTTTCGCAAAGATTCGCAGCTGATGTTTTCAAACCAGTTTTTAATTATAAAAATTTCAACGCGCTTCCGTTTCCGCTTCACGCTCCTCTGCCGACCCTACGTGTGCCTCATTTCGTTCTGTAATATGCCCATAAATAAACAAATTTAGTTTAATGGGGGTAAAAAAAGAAAGAAGTGATTTGCACGGAGAAGCCGTCAGCCTTGTGGTCGGGCATCGGTTGCCCAACGCGGTGCAGACGACTGACGGACAAGTCGCGCGAAGGCTGCCCAGCCAGAGTGGGCCCTTTCACTGCGCCGAGTGACGTCACCTGCGCTGCACCGATGCACCAACCACTGCCAAGGGCACGCCCCTAACAACCCCCTGAGAATTTGCATAATTATAGCAATGAGACCTAGTTTTGCAATAAAAAATGTCAATGGGTGTTTTTAAATAATATTTAATTTTACTTGCGCAATTTTTTTTATTGGTCATTCAATGTATGTTCTGCTGTATTGAGGGGTTGATATTATTTATAGGGACCACTGGGACCAGGAATATTTTTTCCTGTTGCAAATTTTCTTCTTTGAAATTTTGAATTTAGTTCTTTGAAGTTTTTATGAAATTCTTGGAAGATAAAAAAATTTCTGAAATTTCATCATCATTATTATTTTATTGTTTCTCCGAATTTTGATAAAAAAAAAAAAAAAAAACGGCTGATAAGTGTTATAATAGAGTCGCGGATTTTGTCGCTGCTAAACTGCTGCTGGGGGGAAGAGAAGCAGCTGAGGCAATAGCGCGATAAACTGGCGCAAACAACGGCCACTGTTGCAATCACCCCGCGCAATTACTCTTTGCGCTGTTTGATTTCTTTTAATCAAATTTAGAATATGCAAGGCTTATTTGAAATCGTCAGGGCCAAAATGTTGTTTGAAAGGGTTCTAATTCTCATCCTTAGCACTCCCACTGGATGTGCCCTAAAAAACTTGAGACTGTGTTGGAAAGGTCGATTTTGATCCGATATTTAAAATTACCCAAAATTTTGAAATCTTCAGAATTTATTCCTTCCCGAGAGTAATGAAAAGCTTGAAGAGCCCCACCTGGAACCCCCTGGGGTCCCCTGACTCTATGTTTTGGAGTTTGACAGCGACCTTGGCGATCAGCTGACCAATGTCAAAATCTCTAGCTCTTTAACAGGGCCCCCGGAGCCCCGCATTCTTTGCAAGAACTCCTGTAGGCCTTATAAAGACTGTCGGAGGCCTTTTGGGGGCTACTCACTGCGCGGGAGGCGGCGGAGGCGGCAGTCGTCTTGTTACCAACCGAGACGGGGAAGCTCCGTGCTAATGGCAGCTGGGCTGTCGATTTGCTTTGCTTTGCTTGTTGCCACAGCCGAGCAGCAGCAGCGGCAGTGACGTCACTCGAAAGCGTCTGCGCCCCTCTCGTATCCCAGCCAGCAAAAGGAACCAACGGGTTGCAATCCAAAGTGGAATATTCTGTTTTCGATCAGCGACGCTGCTGCACCCTTGCGATCAATGCAAAAAACCTTTGCGAATTTCTAACCCTAATATGAATTCAGATTTAGTTTTATAATTTCATAAAAAAATATAATATAAATTAATAAATTATGATTTGATTTTTGTTTCAGATTCTTATATTGCTGAAGTGAAAGCCTGCCTGCCCTTGGTCGCTGAGAAAACGATGTTGACTCCAGTAATTATAGAGGAGGAAATCTATTTTAAGAACTAAGAGGCTGTAAAAATTCAACTTCAGACATTTAATTTTTATTCCTCAAATTTAAATTTTCCATGTTATTAAAATTTTTATTGATTTGTTACTATTTTTCATCCATATTCTGTTTAGGAGTTCCATGCCTCGGAATTTTTCATTTTGGATTATTATATTTTAATAAATAAAAAAAATTTGTTTTTTCAATATTGAATTATTTTCTATTGTCCTTTTGCAATTTAGCTTATAGATGCTCACTTTGATGGTTAAAAATTAACCATAGCCTCTCTTGATATGTTGAAGGCCATCATTAATAGTTTCTAAGGGTGCGACTGCCAAGATTCTAGAATCTAAAATGGCACCATGAAGAATTGGGTCATTAATGCAACACAGTAGCAAAGTTTTTCTCCATTCACGCACACAAATTTTCATTCTTCTGGCACTTTTTGCGTCAAAGTTCATCCCTGTTAAGTTCTGCAAGGGCAGCATCATACTCTGCCCGCAGTTGGGAGGCGCACGGTCTCAGGGTGGGCGGTTGGAGGCGGCAGCGTCTGTGCAGACCGTGGAGGCGGTACTTTGCCCAGGCCGCTCCAGGAAGGTTTTGATCTCCGAGCAGCTGCTCGCACATAATGCTTGCTTTCCAGATGTCCGCCTTTTCTGTGTAGCCAGGCATCAGGGCAGGGACATAACTCAGGTCTGCAAAAGGCCAGCGCTGCTCAGGAGCAAGGAGTTCACCATCGGGTGCTGGTCCTTTAGAGCCTCCACACACCACCCCTCCTGGACCAACCTCTGGAAGAGCATCCATGTCAGTCAGGACAGCGCCAAGGTCGTCGGATAGCAAAACCTGAGACAGCAGCTTGGACACTGAGTTTGAGTCACACATCAGTCGCCGCTCCTGAGGGAAAGTATTTGAAAATATTTTAGGTTGGAAATAAAAATAATAACCTTCATGGGTCCCTCGCCGTGGAGGACCCTGAGTACATTAGCCCAGTCTCGGCACAGCCGCAACCTGAGGCGGACATCATCATCAATGTTGTTTCTGCGAAGAGAGTCGCTCAGATTAGCCAGACTTCCAAAAGGGTGCAGCTCGGTCAGGGTGAGAGCTGGCTTTTCACACATCCCCACAACCTGGATAAAGTGAGGCAACCCCGAGTATAGCAGCTGCATGCGCTGGCCTTCGGCAAAGTCAGCAGCAAAGCGACGGTTGTTCAGGATGGAGAGAGCCACTGGCAAGTCTTGCCAGGTTGCGTTGTACACCGCCTTCACACCTCCAACTCCGATTAGCTTGCCAACCTAAGAAGGACCAATTATCTCTTATAATTCATCTTCTTCCCACTTCTTCCTAAATAATAATAAAAAATTAAGCCTTTAATTTTAATTGGAAACTAAAATAACTAAATAAAGGATTTAGTAGAAAAGAAACAAGTGTAGATCAAGTTTAGAACCAATGAGACTTCATTCAGTAACACAAATGAATTTAGGTTCTAATTTTTTAATATCTACTGCCCCATGAAAAACAGCAACAAAATAAGAATTGACCAAAAATTGAATTATTAAACAACAAATGAAAAGAATCTTTGGGGTCTATTCAAAACTAACCGCACCTTCAACGTTCCCAACTGAGCGCATGTGAGCAAAGGGGCACACTCGGTCATATGGGCAATGCGGAATTGGCCCTGGGGGCAAAGGCGGTCTCCATCCTGTGCACCCAAGGCCACCGCCAACAGCACGAGGAGCGGTAGAAGCATCACTTTGGGTCATGGGGTAGCTTGAAGCCAACCATATTGGCCGTATCCCGAACTGAGCGCTCGCCCTTGCCGTGGTACTCGTCCTTAATGGCCATGTAACGCCGTGAGCTTGATAAGTAGCAGGAGTACGTTTCCGCAAGGCGTGCCATCTCGAACTGCTCTCTGCATAGCTGCTCGTCAGTTACCTGAAAGAAAAATCAATTAATAATTTTAGATTTGCCAATTATTGTAAAATTAAAATCAAAATGGAATCCCTACTGGGAAATTTGCCACTTAAGCAAGTTAATGTTTTAACTAAGCTTGCAATTGCCAAGCTTGATAAAAATTTTGAGCTAAATTGGGCCCCTTTCAAAAAAAAAAAATCTGGAATCAAAAATTAAAGCAGTATTACTTGGTTCTTTTTGTAAAGCTGCAACAAGTGCTGCACAAGAAGCGAATCCTTAATCTTCTTATCAGACGATGATCGCCGGATTTCAGAGATAAGCCCTCTCAAGGTTCTAAGATTGCCGGCCATTTCCACAGATCACTTTACCAGTATCGTTTTCAGGATATTCAGGTGCTGGCAGTTCCAGCCAAAATTCAGGTCTAACCTGCAAGGAAATTTTGAAATAAAAATTTTATTAATTTTATTAAAAGTTTAAAACCTTTTTGGTTTCAAACGAGTGGAAGGCAAGGTCGTTGAAGACGTCTGGAAGGCGGAAACAGTTTTTGAGGGGTACCTCTGACGTGAGTGGCAAAACCCTGAGGAGGAACTGCGCCGTCTCAGGTTGGCAGGCAGGGTTCTGAGCTACAGCACTGAAGCTGTTGGCCAGGAGAAGACAACGGGCAAGGCGCTCAGGTTGCCAATTGGCCCACAGAAGGTTGTTGGTCAGTTGTTTGGGGCAGTGAGGTGCAAAAACCAGGGTGCACCCTTCAATGACTCGTTTGCCCTCTTCGTTGGTCTCAATTAAAGAAAGACCAAACTCGGTGGTGAGCAGCTCACGTTCGAGCTCAGAGAAGAGAGGGTCGTACAGCAGGCAAGTACAAGGGCCAATCTGTGCAATCAGGGCCAGGAGGAAGCCTAGCTGATGTCGAGCAGCTGTGCACCTGGCAAAGCAGCCGAGTCCGTAGCACAAGAGATGCTCGACCTTTTGCTGGCCGCTGCGGTCTAAACTCTGTTGCAGGGAGCACAACGCCCCCTTAAAGAAGTGGCTGCTCTCAACCTCGGCCTTTGAACTCAACACCTGTCTTGTAAGAAATGAAGCTTATGTTACAAAAAATCAATAGAAATTTCAAAACTATACTCACTTGATTACAAAATCCCTGGGAGCCTCAGGGTCTATGGGAAGGTTGGTAGAGTCTCGGATCAAGGGCAAAGGTCGCAATTTATGAGTTGCACGCGGCTTTCGAGTTACAAGAGTGAAGCCGTCGTCACCTTCGAAGGAGAAAATTATGAGGTTTATATAAAAGTTGGGGTTCACACATACCATTTATCATTTGAGGGAAGCGGAAGTCGGCTGGACAACAGTTTCGACCGGTTTCACGACGGTCAGATGCCGAATAATGTGCGCAAAGCAGTGGAAAAGGAATCTGCGCCGCCGATTTTTCTGATTTTTCTAGTCGAGAAAAATAGTTAATTAAAAATGGAGTGTTTAATAAGGACTGAAAAATTATATAAGAGTTTTATAAAAAAAAAGACTTTTGTGAGTGATTTATTATATTAAACGTAAAATTGATAATCAGTGACTTTTAAAGGATAGATTTTTTAATTTCATAGGTTAATTGACTTTATTTAATTAAATTGTAATTGAAAACATCGTAGCTCCTTTAAAAACACCCCAAAATTGAACAGATGTTTTGAGTGCTGCCACCTGGTGACGGTGCTCGGCGAATTTGGTGTGCGCCGCAGCTGGATCGGTCGTCGGTCAAACTCCTCTTCGTCTTTTTCTAGTCTTTCTAGTCTGGTCGCGGGCATCAAACCAAGTTCTGCGGTCTTGAGAGATCGACGCCCCGAATCGCCACTTGACCCTTGCACGGCGCAATTGGCGCGAATTTCTTCTGTCAGGTGAGGAAAAGCCTCGAACCATCCCTTCCTGTTGTGTTTAGTGTCATACAAGAACACCTGGTACATGTATACCATGGGCCACCGAATCTCGCCCTGTGTTTATCGCCTGTGAACTCGCGAATCGATAAAATTAGACTGGCGTGTTGCGGCGCCTTCCGCGACGTGATTTTGTCACTTTTTCAAGCTCAAAAGAGGTCAATAACAAAAATATTATCTGAAATTTTTTATTTAAATCTATTCAAGTTATAACTTGTCAGTCAAAGTTTCATCACTGACTGCAACGAGAAGGGATTATTGAGCGCGATCAGTTTGTTTTCTGACCTCTGCGCCGCACCATCCGCATTATTTTTCTTGCCTCTGTATTATCTGCTATACTCATGCTAGAGATGTTTTTTAATCCTCTATTTTATTAAAACGACACCGCTCGATATATTATTGTTTTCGTTCTATTTTTCACAGCAAGTCTTGGCATAATAAACACGGTTGGATCACACCTGTTTGTTGATGTTTTTGTGTGATAAAAACCGCTGATAAAAACATTTTGTAATTTTTTTTGGACACGTTAAAAAATTAAGTAGCTTGCAGCTTTTAAGCAATTGCGTTTTAATAAATACTATAATGTATTATAATTTAATTCACAGTTCAGTATTATTTTGGGACTTATAAAAAAAAACAGTTAAAATTTTAAAATAGAGCCAAAACTTCTTGCATATTTGTTTTATTAAGAAAAGTAATTTTATTTCATTTATTCATTGATTCATCTCTCTAAATTTTTACTAAATATTAATGGCAAAATTGTTTCCAACGTTCAATTATTCGCTTTCTTTTTAAGTAAAATTATTAAGTAAATGAAATGAACATCACATATTTGAAGCATGAGACCAACCCAATAGCCTAGCTGAAAAGTACTCCTGAACGCCACAATAAGAAAAAAAAATTTGAAGCATAAAAAATTTGATTGCAACCATGCATTAGAAACATTAAAAGCAACAATTATTATTTTAAATCTTTTTTTTCAACGATTTTTATAAACTAGACACATTTAATTTTCAAAAAATAAATAATTATAAAAAAGTGTGCATAACATGACTATCAAAAATTCCAATTAAAAAATTATAATGCGGAAAACGGTTAAAATTATTTATTTTATTAAATTTATTATTTATTTATTATTATTTTATTCTTCTTAGTGTTGATAAAAAATTAGTCACAATAAATATTTTCTATTTTATTTGATATCACTTTTAATAAAAAGTATCAAAAGATTAGCGATTTTTTGGTATCCATCTTATCTTTATGTTAAAGAGGTAGTCAGCATTCAAATTTCAGGTCGAAATGAAAATTGTGAGCAATTTTTTCTGTTCATTTGCGTCCCCCACAGCAGTCTGGCGTGCCGGATAAGCCGGTTGATAGGATAATGCGAGGGATCTAATTGAGAGGCTTGTTGCAGAGATGCTGAACGAAAAGGTTTCCGAGGATGGCTCGCCGGACGCCGCTTTCTTTGAGGAGAACAATTGCTTCAAAACGCCCACTTCAGAATGCAGCAGCGACCTCGGAAGGAAGTGGTATCGCAAGGCTGAGCATAGGTATACATAAAATTCCCCATTTTTGGCTTTTTCCTCGGCCTACGATATTAAATTAAAACACTAATAATAAAAATGTCAAAAAAGAAAGATAAGATAGGAGAGCTGAGAGTGCGTTGCTATCTGCTTTTGGCGGCCTTGGCTTTGAAAATATTCTCACTTTCTCAGAAGAGCAATCAATTCAGAGATGGGTCGTTAAGCAGGAACTCCTCTCTTCAGATGATTTACACACCAAAAGTTAATTAGATCCAAGGGTCATCGCCCTTGAGATGTCGATCTCTACTGAAATCATTTTAAAATTGATTTCCAAGTAAAAATTGCTTTCGGACTTTATCTTTTGCCAACGATTAAGTAATGAGTAATGAGCCTTTGGTGGTGTGAGGATTTTGCGTTCCGGGAAAGGTCGGGAGTGGCGCTGTCGAGTGCCGAGCGAGTGAAATCGTTCTTCATATAATAGGTGAGCGGACGGCGGCCTATAGTCCAGTCAGTGGAACGCTGCCGCCGCGAGACAACACTGAACCTTCCAAACTTACCATGAACGGAATCTGCAAACGTCGTCGCCAACGCGACGCCTACGAGGAAATTCAGCCTGACAAGGGGTGCGTTTTAATATCTAACAATTAATAAGTGAATGTTTCGATGATTAATTTTAAATTTACTAAAAAAGAAAGTTTTTTGTTTACAATTTTTTTTTACTGCTTTGGGACATTTATATCTACAGTTATGTTTGTTCTCTATTAGGTTCTTTTTTTTAAACATTCTTGTAAAAATTTAGATGTATAAACAATATTAATGATTAAATTCTTATTAAATATTTCATCATACTTAAAATACTATTTTATTTTTTCATCTTTTCATAGATGCCATAGATTTTTTTATGATTGCAAAGTTCTCTCCTATAAAGCTATGAGAGAACTTGCAACAAAAAACTTTCGCATTCAATCAGAAAATAAATTCAAAATTTAGCTTCTGAATCCATCCAGAATAGAATAAGATTGTGAGTCATAGCGCTCTGGACCTTTCTGACTCTTTAGCAAGTTTGGGGTTGGGGGAATGGTATTTGAATCTCCACCTTTTATCCCTATTCTCTAATTGATTACGTAATCAATGGATTCTATCGACCGGTACACACATTAATCATGTCTATTTTTAGCTCATTCATTTTATTTCCAAATTGGGTTTTATATTTTTAGGTCTGCTGACCGTGTTCGATCGAATTGTCAGCTTTGACCAAGTATTAAAAAATATTTTGAGGCAGATTAGTAATTATAAAAGTACGTCGCATAATATTTTTGGAGGCGGCTTATGGTTTTGTTTATTTATTTTAAGATTAAACACAATGTTTTTGTTATGATACAATCGAATGATCTAGAGAAACAAAAGTGATTGGTATTGATGCTCCTTTTTGTAACTTTGTTTTCTCGTCCCCTTTATTCGCCCCCATTTTCATAATTTAAAGTTTTCTATAAATTGATTCAATTAAATAATGTTTTTATTAACTTATTTCTTAATCTTTAGTAAATGTATTTATTTTACTGGATTTAAATTAAGTTCATGAGAATTTCCTTTTAATTCCTAGAAAAATATGATTCATTTTAAAATTATTTTTTATTAAAGTATTGAGGTCCTAAAACTGATTTTTGTATATAATTATATCGCTTCTACCCAGAAGACTATTTTGCTTGGTATGGAAAGATTTTTCGTGGCTTGATTTTGGTGTTAATTCCAACCACTTTTTTGCGTGTCTGGAAGCAGATTTTTTTTTGTGATTTACATTTCAGCTATCCTAGCACGTTACCTCTGATAATTTTTGCAAGTAAAATCACAGGAGGGTCATGCAAATTTGTTGCTAATCGCTTTCATCATGTGTCGAACGGCGCGCAGTTGTCCATTTTCACGGAAAGGTGTATATTATTTGCCGTCAATTACTATCATCAACATTCCGAGCAGAGCTCAAACGAGTTTTTTTTGGTTAATTTTTCGTGGAAAATATCGGTGGGCTCAGTTTCATTAAGTATTCATTGAAAACGGAGCTGGCCGTGTAATTACTCGGTCACTCGGGCGCCAAAAATAAATCAAGTTGCCATGGAATCGTTTTGCTGAATCTGTCCGAGGCGCGCAAATCGATACATCCGTAGTTAGAAAGAAGACTCTAGCTCTTCGTGATCGGAGAGAAATTGCTCGGCTCGTGCCAATTCTCTCGCGCGCCACTACATAGAAAGTATATAACAACAAAACGTCGATCTGTAGGCGCTGCATTTTGCGACGCGTTCATTTGCATCGCTCTCCGTGCGACACATTTTACAAAGTGCATTTTATAACAAACAAGCACGCAACTTATACTTTCTCAAAGTGCCAACTTGCCAAGGTCGCGGGCAAAAGTCCATTTTTTGTTTATTGTAATCCACTCTCGATCTATCATTCTCTTATTATGTAACCCATCCATTCGATCTGGAGTGTCAAAACGAGAGCGAAAGTTATGTGGCGTCCACCGAAATGTCAAATTTGCGAGGCTGATTAATTTCGCAACCGGAGAAGAGGTTTTGGCCTCGGTGTCCGAAAGTGGTGTCTCCGCTGGAAGTATTCCAGCCTGGCTATTTTGAAAACGGCGACACCAAATTCCGTCCGCCAAAAGGAGCAGAAATGCGGTGTGATTGCGCGCGGCCAACTCGGACCTTGGCAGTCTCGGCTATTCTCGGCCACGCGGCGCCTAAACGCTCCTCAATCGGGCCATTGGTGTAACAATTGTAATTAACATAGTTTGAAAGAAATGCTGTCCGAGCATCGAGGAAAATGTTGCAGTCCAATTAAAAAAATTGCGAGCAATTTAAATGGGGACAAAACTGTGCAACGTTTATTTTGCTTACTTGGTGAATTCATCTGATAGTATAACAAAGAAAGAGCCTCCTTTCATTCACGATCAAAATCTTCTTCTTAGGAGACCTTTGCGTTGAGGATGTAAACCTTGACCATAATAATAAGCCACTCGATGTCTATCTCTCTTGGCTCTCCATCAACCCAAAGACTTTTCTTGAGTCTTAAATATTTCAAAATCTATTCGCAACTGCCACAAAAATGTATTTTTAGAAAGATGGAAGGTATCTTTTGCAAGGACCCATTTTTCTCCGAACTTGAAAGTTTATTTTCTTTTTCACACCCCTTACGTTGCGATTGTTACGCCTGCAAAAACAGAAAAGCCGCACGCGTGACCCACTTCTCTGTTACGATGTTATTCTACTAGTTGTTGAATGTCTCGCCCTTTGACCTGCTTGGTCAGTTTATACTCACGCTTGTCTTTAAATGAAAAACTTTTATTTTGCAGAATTTTCGTCAACCGGAGTTTGCACTTGGAAAAAATCAAGTTTTATGGTTTTGACATGGACTACACTCTGGCTGGTAAGCATTGATAATTATTTAAATATACTATATTGTTTTGATTTGAAATTTTCATTTTTAAAGAGTATAAAAGCCCGCAATATGAGACGTTGGGCTTCAATCTAGTGAAGGAGAGACTGGTGCACATGGGCTACCCCACTGAGATCCGCGAGTTTGAGTACGACCCGAGCTTCCCTGTTCGTGGCCTATGGTTCGACACTACTTATGGCAACCTGCTCAAAGTCGACGCCTACGGCAACATCCTTGTCTGCGTGCATGGCTTTGAATTTCTCAAATTGTGAGTGAAATTATTTCACACCAGGTCAAAATTAATAAAAAATATTCAAATTTAGTTCACAGGTGTACGAGTTGTACCCAAACAAGTTCCTGCAGCTCGACTACAACCGCCTCTACGTGCTCAACACCTTATTCAACTTGCCCGAGACGTACCTGCTTGCCTGCCTAATCGACTTGTTTTCCAACTCACCTGATTTTGTCAGGTTTGATTTAATAAAGTTGAAAAAAATTCAAATTATTTAGCTAATATATTCCTTCTTTAGGGAGAAAACAGGTGTGAAAGGTGGAGACATTTTCATGTCATACAAATCCATCTTCCAGGATGTTCGCAACGCCGTCGACTGGGTTCACATTCATGTAAGTAAATTCAAATTGAATGTTATTTTTGCACCGAATTTATTGATTATTTGAATCTCAGGGTGATCTGAAATCAAAGACTACTGAGAATCCTGAGGAGTATGTGAAGCGTGACCCTCGGTTGCCGACAGTGCTAGCTCGTATCAGGGAGTCTGGAGGAAAAACTTTTCTTCTGACCAACAGTGACTACAAATTCACTAACAGGATCATGACTTTCCTGTTCGACTTTCCTCACGGAGCACGGGTAAATAATGACATGCCTACCTTTTTGATTGAAAAAGTTTTTGGGGAATAATAATTTGATTTAAGAGAAACGATTATCACTGATTTTGATATTTTTCGAAACATCTAGGACTTTATTAATGTAAGACACTTTCAACTTACCTTGCGTTTAATTTTAATTCCTTTTGGCACTTTTTTTTTTAATCGGTCACACTTTTGGCAAGGGTCAACCGATTTGAATGAAATTTGGCAGGTCGATTGCTCTTAGGGTGTAAACAAATAGTTTAGAAGGATTTTTGAAAATTCTCAAAATTGCCTATTTTACAGGGGCTCAAAGTTTCTGATTTTGAAAAATGGCGTTTTCAAAAATCAAAAATATCTCAGCTCCTGTTGCAGATAGCGCATAAGTTTATATAAGCAAAATTGTAGGGAATTAGACGCCCTACAACTTTGCTATAGTGACCAAGGTCGTAGGTCAAACCTGAAGGTCATTTATTTTTTGCTCATTTTTTTCAGGCTCTACCAAAGTACCAAGTTAGTAAATTTTTTTGATTCCAAAATAGCCAAAAGTTGCTCCAGTTAGTAATAAACAACATATCAAAATTTGGTGGGACTTATTTTTTTCGTTTTTGAGATATTCCGGATCAAAGGGCAAAAAACGTGGTTTTCCGAGCGTTTTTTGTGCAAAATTTATTTTAAACCTCCATAACTTTTTTCCTGTTAGAATTAGGATTAAATGTATTATGACAAAAAATAATTGCCTTTAATTTTTCTTGCAGGTCATGTATCACACATGGTGATCAGGTCACAAAAGGGCATTGACCCCATGGTGACCTGTGACCTTTTTGAATTTTTTTACGTGTGTGACACATTGATGGAAAGAGGATGTCAGCAGGAGCATTTTGGTACCCGGAATTTTGTTCTAGCATCAATAGATGTGAAGTTACATCTATTTTTAAATAATTTATTCGTCGGATTCCCACTTTTGCAGCACAAAATCTATGATAACTTCACTTGTAATGATGCTAGAACAAAAATCCGGGTACCAAAATGCTCCTGCTGACATCCTCTTTCCATCAATGTGTCACACACGTAAAAAAATTCAAAAAGGTCACAGGTCACCATGGGGTCAATGCCCTTTTGTGACCTGATCACCATGTGTGATACATGACCTGCAAGAAAAATTAAAGGCAATTATTTTTTGTCATAATACATTTAATCCTAATTCTAACAGGAAAAAAGTTATGGAGGTTTAAAATAAATTTTGCACAAAAAACGCTCGGAAAACCACGTTTTTTGCCCTTTGATCCGGAATATCTCAAAAACGAAAAAAATAAGTCCCACCAAATTTTGATATGTTGTTTATTACTAACTGGAGCAACTTTTGGCTATTTTGGAATCAAAAAAATTTACTAACTTGGTACTTTGGTAGAGCCTGAAAAAAATGAGCAAAAAATAAATGACCTTCAGGTTTGACCTACGACCTTGGTCACTATAGCAAAGTTGTAGGGCGTCTAATTCCCTACAATTTTGCTTATATAAACTTATGCGCTATCTGCAACAGGAGCTGAGATATTTTTGATTTTTGAAAACGCCATTTTTCAAAATCAGAAACTTTGAGCCCCTGTAAAATAGGCAATTTTGAGAATTTTCAAAAATCCTTCTAAACTATTTGTTTACACCCTAAGAGCAATCGACCTGCCAAATTTCATTCAAATCGGTTGACCCTTGCCAAAAGTGTGACCGATTAAAAAAAAAAGTGCCTTTTAAATAAATTTTTTTCGTCTTTTTCTTAAAAATGAAAACTAAAAACCGATCGGATTATTTAATATATTTTAAGCCTTCACTTTTCTGCAATATTTTCTTCCATTGCAGCCGGACGAGCCTCATCGTGATTGGAAGACCTACTTTGACTACATCGTGGTGGACGCATGCAAACCTTTATTCTTTGGCGAAGGCACCATCCTACGTCAGGTGGATGCTCAATCAGGTGCACTCAAAATCGGTATTCATGTGGGGCCCATCCAGCAAGGTTTCGTCTATTCTGGAGGTAAAAATTTCCACTTGAACAATTGAATTGGAGATCTTAAATTTGAAATTTTCGCAGGCAACTGTGACGTGTTCACGCAGATGATCGGAGCTAAAGGTAAAGATGTACTCTATGTTGGCGACCACATCTTCGGTGACATCCTAAAGAGCAAAAAGATCAGAGGCTGGCGTACTTTCCTCGTCGTGCCTGAACTTGTGCAAGAGTTGCACGTCTGGACTGATAAGTGCAGTCTTTTCCAGGTAAAACAAATTAATTTGACTACGAAAATGAATTAATTAAATTACCCACTAAAATAAATATTTAGTCTGACAATGAAAGCAACGTAAATTTTGCATTTCTAAACTACTTTAAGCCACTTAATTTTGTCCATCAGGAGTTGCAAGCTCTGGACGTTCGTCTGGGTGACATGTACAAGAATTTGGACAGCTCGGCCAAAGAGAAGCCGGACATTTCAAAGCTGCGAGTTGCCATCAGGGATGCAACGCATAAGATGGACCTGACCTACGGTCTAATGGGCAGCCTTTTCCGCTCTGGCTCTCGACAGACCTTTTTCTCATCTCAGGTGGTTCGTTACGCCGACATCTATGCGGCGAGTTTGCTGAATCTCATCTACTACCCCTTCAGTTACATGTTCAGGGCGCCTGCTATGCTTGTAAGTTAAAATAAGAATTAAATTGAGAATAAGTTGCTACAATTGTATTATAAACAGATGCCACATGAGTCGACTGTAGCCCACGAACAGAGGTTCACAATGGAGTCTCCAATGATCGCCAGGTCGCGAACTTACTCTGTTTTTGACCAGCCGCCTGTCGAAGAGGAACCTGAGCAAATCAGCAAAAAGGTTTGTACTTATGAATTATTATTTAATTTGAAGTGAAGGATTAATTAAATGGTTAGTTTTTAAACTAAAAACTGCTCTTACTCCACAGATTTTTTATATGAGGAAAACAAGATGCTTTAATTTTATAATATTCATTATATTTAGCATGTTTTGATGGATCAATCCAATGGGAAAATAGGATTAAGCCTGCGTTTATGATCAAATATCAGAATAATTAATTTTGCTTTATTTTCCAATTTAGCTCATGCAAAATTTTGTGGCTGCTTACCTACTCCCAACACTTCCAGATAATATTCGCACTAATTAACCCTACCTTAATTCTCCAGGCGCCTTGCTGAGGTACTGATTCTGGACCCACCGATTTTTATTTCTGTTGATTTTTTAATTTGAAATTTGAATTAAATCATAATAATTCTGCTTCACAGCCAAGTCGCCCATTGGAGAGAGCGACGAGCCAGGTGCCGCATGTGCGTCCTGAGACGCCGCGCCACGTGACGCACAACCACGACGAAGACTGCAGCGACGACGAGTCGGACGAGGCTCGTTCTGCCCACAGTGAACTTGACAAAGTGGCCGCCGACTTGGCCGCCCTCCAGATGGCCCCTGCTGAGCAGGACGAGTGTCAGGTGCAGGACCTGGCTACGTCCTGTGTGCCGCCGCAAGCGTCCGGGGCCATCAGCGAGCGCGCCCTCGTTGACTGAAGCCTCTTGTGATAAAAACCGGAATTCCTCTCTCAAGTCATTTGAATACACATAAAACCGAGAGCTCAACTTTGAATCCAAACAGAGAATTTAGAAAAGATGCTTCTCAGCTGCCGAGGTGTCTTGTGATCGACGCACTACTTGCCTTGTTGATTATTAATTCTACCCGACCAAGACTTTGCGAAGCATTTAATAAGCAAACCCTGGAAACACCAAAATTCATTGCTATGCATTGTCATGTACGTCTCTTATGTGTGTGTGTATTTTTATAGAAGGCGGACATGCAGCACAAATTCCAGCATTTCCTCCAAAGCACAGACGGCTTAACCCCTTGTCTTCCTCGTTAGCTTCTCAACTCTTGAAATCTCTTGAAATGTAACGCAATAATAAAATGCATGGCGACCATACCTGTCGCCTAGATTTGCCAGCATTCCGACATTTTCAGGCCACTCGGGGCTTGCTTGCTTTTTTATTTCTACTCGGAAATAGCATTACTATTTGAATCGCTGGATGTTCAAAGTTTGTTCACGTTTGTTTTTTTTTACGAAAAGTGATCTTTGACGATTTTATTTTAAAAGTCAATGAGTGTCGTATTTATTCTGGTTATTTACACACGTTCTATTTTTTGCTTTTTTGTGGTTCTATTAAATTAAATTAAATAAAAAAAACGCGTAAATATTACCGAAATATTATTTATTACAAAACCTATATATTAGCTATGAAAAATTAAATTAAAGTCGCTTTAAATTTAATTTAAAGATTTGTGAGAATTATTTAAAGGATTTTACAGAAGTTACGTAATTATGTTTTCACGGTTTTTACGACTTTTTAATTGGAATATCCTGTTAGGCATCCTGCACAGCAGCCATGTCGCGCGGTGCTGCCTAACTCGATGGATCGCAGGCGTTTTTCCTGGCCGCTCGTTTTTTATTCAAGGTTTCCCGTTTGCACACAAAACTATACATTTAATCCACACTTTCGTGTGCCACGGCGTTTGAGTTATTTCGGTGCTTAGCCCGAGATAAATTTGATCGTGAGAGCGTTTCACACAATTTCTCCTTTGTTTGTTTTGTCCGGCGGAGGAAGAGAGGAGCACGCGAAAATATATTTCATCCGATTTTGGCAGATTAGCCTCGTAATTCACGACGGAAAGCGGGCAGACCTTGCCCGGGTTGATGGAAAGGAGAGAGAGAAAAATGGATGCATTAATTAATAATTTGAGGGCTCGCATCGCTCTGCTACTCACGTACGTCGGTTGGCGCGCGGGCTTCGATTGGTCGGTGCGGTGTCGCGCTCTGGCGGTGGCCGGGGGGCGGCTCGAGGGCGGGTGGGGCAGACAGGGGCGGGCGGCGAGGGCAGTCTGGTCGCAGCGATTGTCGCGGGTGCCCAACCATCCATGTCTGAGCGCTTCAAAGTCACCAAGTCGGCCGAGGAGATAGCCCTGGTCAGGAGGTATGGCGCAACCGAAGGTGAGCTAAAGAAAAAAATCAAGTCTTTCGAATGTCACTCTTATTCAAAATCATCGTCGGTAGAATTGCTAAATTTTCGTTCAAACACATATGTATCAATGTATCTTGCTTTTCCTAATTCAATCACAAATGAAGTTCAAATTTGAATAAACATATATGAGTGATCTATTTCTGACTAATTAAAGTTTCGAAAGAATGAAAGTTTATGCAAAATTAATTATTACAAAAATTAAATATTTTCATCTTTGAATGTACGCAATTGCATACATTAGTGGAAGGATAAAGATAAATTAAAAATATTTGAAAAGATGCTATAAGAAGATGCAAATTCCGCAACTTCCTCTTTTATCTCTATATATTCTTTTTTTTCTGCTAAGTATATATAAATCCACCAGATTCAGTTGTAAATCAAGTTTATCGGGAGACCACAGGGCAATATCTGCCTAAAGCGAGATACGTCATTCCAAAAATTAAATGAAAAATAAAAAATAAAAATGGAGACACATGAATTTTATTAATAAGCTTTTGGAAGAAAAAAACATGAAATTCATCAACCAGATCTTTGAAAATCACTTTTATGTTTGATTCGATTCCTTCGTTAGTTAAAGATCAAAATAATAAGTGTGCAAGTCTTTTAATTAATCTGCACCTTTTTAGACACAGATTTAGTTAAGCATTTATCTTAAAAATATTTTGCAAGAAAAATTATAAAATCTTCATTGTTGTTCATTAATTCCAACTGTTAAACAAATTTTACAAGTTGGGAAATATTCATTATTGGGAGGGAAACAAAAAATCTGATTTTTTTAGTTCCATTTCAACTAATGATTTTATTACTAGCACAACAGTTGCTGATTATTGAAATGAGGAATAATAATAAAAAAATTATCAATTTATTTTAATGAAAGTTTTACAAGCTCTTTTTATGCAAGAATAATAATGGGAGCAATTTAATGAATAAAAAATGATGTCAAAGCGAAAGACATTTATTACAATTCAAACAATTCAAGTCAAACCTTGAAAGTTCGTTTTGTTTTGGTTTCTATTTAAAGGATGACACTTGTTACGTGAAAAGTTCGAATTGAAGGTCGATTAAATTTTTGTGTCGGCGCAGCAGGTGTCATCTCCGTGGCCGAGGGAAACTCGTAGAAATGCGCTCGGCGGCCTCGTTCGATTTTACCCCGCGACAACAAACACACAAAGTTCTTTCTACATATTTACTATGACAAGTTGAATGTATACGTATGTTCGCGACAATTGCATCTCTCGCGGCGAGCAATTGTTTGCTTGTTCGGCGTGCATGTTTATTAATTGCATTTCGCGTTGAATGTTGTATATGTGCTGTGCCAACATGTGTACATCGGCAGTTTAATTAGCGCGTAGGAAATTGGCACACACACGCACCGGCAGCCAACAGCAGCACACAGAGACGACAGCAAGCACTGCAAAATAAACTTTCGAGTCCGGAGCATGCGATCCTATCGATTCCGGTGATAGAATTTGAACCGATTTAAACAGCACTTTGGAATAAATTAATTTTACTTGATTATACTAATGGCGTTATGGAGATCGGAATTGAGATTAATTGCGGAAGATTACCATATTTGCAGTGAATAATTTCATTCATAATTTTTAATTTGATTTCACATATTAGTTTCAATTATGATATTTAATTTTTATTTTTATTTAAAAAAAGATATATTTATTAAAAAATGAATTATTGCAGAGTTAAAAATTAAATTATGCTTGAAAAGAACATTTTTTTAGTTTAAAAAATAAAATAAAAGAGACCAGTGACGAACGGGAAAACAATGAGAAACAACAGAAGAACTTGATTAATTAGTGTAATTGAGGGGGGACTTTTTCTGGTCAATGGAAGGTTTAATCCAGGTTTAATCAATTAATTAAATTAACCCTCGTCTTAAAAGTGTAAGTAATTTTGGATTTTAAATAAAAAATCGACTCATCAAGAAAAAAATTTGGAAGTAAATATAATTTTTAACAATTTGGTCAACTTTAGAAGTTTCTTTAATATATTTTGAAAGATCGTTACTTCATCGCTCAAATCCCGAAATTTTAATTGTGGAAATCATAGTTTATTAAGATCTGTCATTTTGATCTTTCGTTTCTTCATGAGGAAGATTCTTTTGGTGCATATTTGACATTATTTCTTTGATTTATTAACAAAAAAATGTTTCTACTTTGTGCGGAATTTCCTTATAACTAGACGAATTGTACAAAAATTGGATATTAGGGGACAGCTGGAGGCAGAAAGCTTTTTACATTACGGAACCAGCTAAAAATAGCTCTTAAAAGTATCAGAGTGGCTTGTGCAAAAAGCAAACATCTTCCCACTCCCTACGTCTTTCCTTCTTCTTTGACAGTATGTCGTTGTATGAAAAAAAAAAAAAAAACGGAAGGACGAATAAATAGTGAAAATTCGAGAGTTGTGATGGTGAATGTCAAAGAATGTAAAAGTTACTTATTTCAAACAATTATTGTTATTATTCAAAATATTTTTGTATCATTTTTCTCTCAAAATCCCAAAAACCAATAACAATTTAATTACTTTGTTTCATGAATTATCTCTGCTCCGTTCATCAACTTTCTCCCAAAAATCGGCTTAAAACAGGGATTATATAAAAAAAAATTCCTGTATCTGAATAAATCGTTTAAATGTGCATCGAAAAATCACCCATCCCTTCCCAAACGTATAATTTAAACATACGTTAGTATTTTGAAAAAATTATACAAAAAAGGCAGAGTCCGTTTATGTATGAAAATTTGGACGTTCCTCCAAATTCCACCCAAATGGTCGCAGTAAAAACTTTTTCCGTGAATAGACCCCAGGTGAGATGAACATTTGAGTTTTTATTTTCGCCGCCGAGTTTTATTTTTACGAGCGGAAAGAAGTGAAAGAAAAAGAGGTCATTCGTTTTCTCAGGCGGCCGGCTGTCTCTCTCAACGTTTGCTTGGGGACGAAATTGAGACTTATTTCGCTCGCCTCTATTCAACGGTTTTATTTCTTTTGGGAAAAGAGACCATTTCCGACGACGATTATTATCAAAGGGCCAACTGTAATAACACGGTGAATCGTCACGCGGCTGTCGCGAATTTTCCCATCAATCAAAAAAAGCAACGTACACAGAAGGAACCAAAGCAAAAGTTTTGTTTGCGCAAATCAGTCAAAGTCGCCCCGGGAAACTTTTTTTGTATTTATTTTCCAGGTGTCTGGCACGCAGAGAGAATATCCAACGACCCGCTTTTCCGGGGCGGATTCACGCGAACATATCTGACATGGAGTGACGCGCGCGCGAAAAAGGCAGAAAATCGAAGCGCGATTAGATTATTCTGCCCATCAGCAAGTTCTTGTTGATTTTCTTCGCGTGCGCATCCATCTCTCGTTGCAGCGCCATTAAAAGTTTCCACGTGTTGAACAGAGGCTATACCAGAGCGGATTATTTGCATGCACCGCTCGCTCTCTCGTCAAAGGAGAGAAAAAAATTGCCACGGCTGTTTCGCAACTCACATAGTTGGTCGGCTGCTGCTAGAATTTTAATTCCATCCGCCGCAAATGCATTAAGTGAGCGACGAAAAAGCAGAGGCCGAAGCCACCGCACGTTCTCTAATTAAGCCAAGCATACGCGCCGTTGGATCAGAGAGAATTTTTCCGACTCGAATCCGCCATTTTATTTCTTCTTAATGAGGGTTAAACTCAGGTCGTTTGGCACGGGTAAGCGTATACGTGTTTATCAAATGAGCTCATTCAACGTAAATGAGCAAAATAAATGTATAAACCTGTTCTTCTGAACACAGCAAGGAAGAACAAATTGAGGAACTTTTTGTATACGTTTTTATTTTTAATTCCTCCCTATCTCAAATCATGGGTTAAATCCATTTTCAGAACTAAATTCATTTAGTTCTTTTATTTTAAGAAAATAGTCTCAAAACATTAAAATTGAGAATAGAATTTTGGAATGAAAACTTTAATGTTAAGACGAAATCGTCGATTAAAAAGTAGTCCTACTGTTTGAGTGCCAATTCTTTTTCAACAAGCAAGACAAAAGCCATAATCAATATCAACAACAACAACAAGACAGCAAGAGCCAATGAGTTTACTCCATTTTACAAAAGATTTTTAACAATTTCTGTTGAGAAAGTGTAAAAAATTGAGAATAAAATTGAATAAAATGTAGATTTTTTGTA